TTGCTCAGACCGAGGTTCGCTCACGGGGATGATGGGATGATGATTTTGACTACAAACACACACTGGTAGCTTCTAAATCCAGTAGAGATGAGATTTTTCCAACGCAACAATACAATACAATATAATCAATAGATCTACACATCCTGCCCAAATCTACCTTTTATATTTATTAACAATCACCCGAGTCGAAGAACCACATGCCAGCCTCACGGGGCCAGCGCCGAGATCTGGGGATTACGATTACGAATACACGGATTGTGTATGGTATGGTAAAGGGCAACGTCACTCATTGGGTGGATTGCGTCATTTTTGGTTTCTGGGATGCTGATCGATGCCAGATGGGGATTTATATACATGATCTGGCTCTCGTTTATTGTCGGTTAAAAGGGACATATATGCAAGAGATCCGAGGGATCGCTGTTGACATTGGGTGGCATCATCTAGGTGAGGTATTTGGCTATAAGTAAGTGGTGGCTCATTCGAACAGCTGCTTATGTTAATGGAACTGCTCTATTCAAATATTCTTCTCAAATAATGTCCCACACAAGGCTGATTTTACTATGGCGGCCTCAGGTTTCTTTCCCTGTGCTTTATGCAGATCATCAAATAACAGGACATCGTGCTCTCTGTACTCGCAGGATAAGATACAGATCCGACAAGGCTGTGATTCAGTTGGATGAGATTCAATATCTTTCTGTCCTGCATTAGTCCAGCGCATGTGTCTGGCGTTTATAGGCTCTGATAAGAAGAAGAAGAAAAAAACTGCCACAGTCAATTATGACAAACAGAATTGCTGTTCTGTTCTTTCTGTTTCTTCCAGGACAGAGGGGGTTATAACCCGGCAACCCACCACGTCTGCTGTCTCTTTCCTCCTCAGTTTCATTCAACTTCAATCCATCTCGCTCTTTTATTCCTTCCCAGGCTACGATTTCTAGCAAGATTGAGTCATGGCCCAGACAGACACAACTTTCCTAAATGCGCTGCAGTCAGAGGAGCAGCAAAAACTCCTGGACGAAATCGACAACTTACGACTGGCAGGAGTTAGCGAATTCGTCTTCCTCCCCCAGATCATCGTCTGTGGCGACCAGTCCAGCGGCAAAAGCTCCGTACTCGAGGCCGTCTCCAGTGTCCCCTTCCCCCGTAGCGATACTCTATGTACTCGGTTTGCTACAGAAGTCGTGCTCCGTCAAGGCCCAAATGTAACCGTTGATGTCTCGATCGTGCCCAACAAAGATGCCTTGGAGCCAGACCGTAAGCGACTGCAGGCTTTCAAGGAGTCGCTGGGAGGACTGGATGAGCTTCCCGATGTGATGGAGAAAGCCAAATCGGAGATGGGTCTTTTGAATACCAGAAAGTCTTTCTCAAGGGATATCCTTCGCGTTGAAATATGTGGTCCAAATCAGCCCAAACTCACCGTGGTTGACCTGCCGGGCTTAATCCATGCGGTTGAGGACCAAGACCCGGACTCAGCGGAAGATGAAGATGTCCAGCTCATCACAGACCTGGTCCATGGGTACATGGTTAACCCACGGAGTGTGATTCTGGCTGTCGTTTCGGCAAAGAACGACTACAATAACCAAATTATTCTGAAGCGAGCCAGGAACATTGACCCCAAGGGTTTGCGGACACTTGGTCTCATCACCAAGCCAGATGACCCCCCTGAAGGCTCAGAGAGCGAGATGGCCTTTTTCGACCTCGCTCAAAACCACAAAATCCGTTTCCGGCTCGGCTGGCACGTCTTGAAAAATCGAGACTACAAGGAACGACACTGTTCGACGCAAGAGAGAGACGAAATTGAACGAAAATTCTTTTCGGAAAGGATATGGAAAAAGCTGCCCCGGGAGATGGTTGGGGTTGACTCGTTACGTGGTCGGCTGAGCAAGATCCTTTTGGACCAGATCAAGATGTACCTTCCAACTTTGACCGCGGATATCCAGACTAATCTTCAGGAGTGTAAAGACAAACTGGACCGTCTGGGGAAGAGTCGTGACACGTCCCTAAAACAATTCCAGTTTTTGCTTGAACTGAGCCAGTCTTTCCAGAATCTCTGCAGGGCTGCCATCGATGGGAACTACAACTACCCCTTCTTTGGTAGTTCCGCTATAGACGACGAGTACCGCAAAAGAATTCGGACTGTGGTGCAAAATCGCAATCTTGAATTCGCAGAATCCATGCGTGAAAGGGGCCATCGCTGGGCCATAGTTGATGATCCCGAGGAACCAGAGGACCCAGATGAAGAATTTGATGACAATTCATGCCCTTATAATCCGCGAGTAAAGAGCCGGGCAAGTGCGATCAGATGGATACGAAGCCTGCTCGCGCGAAGCAGAGGTCGTGAGCTGCCTGGTTCTTTCAATCCTCTCTTAGTGGGAGAATTGTTTAGTGAACAATCCGTTCGTTGGGGAGATATTGCACGGGATCATATCAAAGAGATGTGGCTTGAATCCAAATTGTTTCTAGAAAAGGTCTGCTCTGCAATTGCAGATGAAGAAACGGCAACCGCTCTCTTTACATATTGGATTGACCCCATCACGGATGAAAGAATTGAAAAGGCCAACAAAGCTTTAGATCGCCTGCTGGCTGACCGAGACAGACACCCCATAACATACAATCATTATTATACCGAAACCCTGCAGGATCTTCGAGCGGAGCGTCAAATCAAAGAGCTCCAACGGAGCATTCAAGGGTTCTTGGGTGTCTCATCAGATACGACATACGTGAAGAGCGGTATCCGAATTGACGAACTAGCCAAGTCACTTTCAAAACGCTCGAGTGATATGGATGAGTTTGCGTGCTCTGAACTCCTGGACAGTATGCAGGCGTATTATAAGGTAAGTCCTTCAACATGGCCTTGGAGCTTTAATGTTTGTTAATCCCCCGGTTCAAGGTTGCCTTGAAGACTTTTATCGACAATGTTGCCATCCAAGTTGTTGAAGCTCTTTTGATTGGGGATCTCTGGTCAATATTCTCACCTTCTGATGTTGGAAAAATGTCACCGGATGTCATTTCGAGTATCACAGCTGAATCCACGGAGTCACAGGCGCTGCGGAAGCAACTAGAGCAACAGTTGGTGATCTTGGAAAAGGGAATAGTGATCTGTCGCCGGTACTCCACCCACAGTCTGCGAGGCCATGCCGACCAGAACGCCCAACCGGAAAAAAAGAATGGGATCGAGAAGAATGTAGTTCAACAGAATGGAGTCGACTATGACATGGAAGAGAGGGCTGCCTCACCAGAGCGTCCAGCGGAAGAGTGGTACCCCCAACCGGAAGAGCCCTTAGAAGAACCCCCAGATGATGGATGGGACAGCTGTGAGTACCAACCAGAAGAGTTTCAGACGTTACGTACGCCCTTAGCCCTAACATTTCAACAGTTCGAGCAGCCCCCGAACAACCAGAAGATATATGGGGCTATACAACGACATCCAAAAAGAGGAATAAGAAAAAGAAGAAGAGTGCAATGCTTACCGAACCGTTGCTGGAGTAAAGTACTTCATATTCATCTTTCTAGATGACATCGAAGACCTTACATTCAAGTGTAACTTTGATTGAGAAGGCGAAGATGGGACGAAATTACGCAACGGCTTTTGCGGCATGTATACCTACCTACATTAAAACACCTTCTCTAGCTGAATAAGAGTCTGGCTCTAGTTTCTACCTTTTAGATATAGGCAAAGGACTTTGGCTAGATTTTCAGCGCACTGTTAGATGATCAAAGGCCTTCCTGAATAAAAATGCAGAGGTCAAATAAAAATAAATCATATATTAAACACCTAATTAGTTACCTATTCCCAACACAACCGGACCAGAAACTCGAAGAACTCGAAAAACTACCGTAGACCGTAGATATAACGCGCAGATGGTATGGTATTACATTCGATGAGGATCCTTCCGTTTGGCTGTCTTACCCGACCATCTTTTTCTCTCTCATATTTTTTTTTTCTCGTTTTCTTGAAAGGAGTCATGGCATCGTGAGATGGTCAAGGTGATCAGGAGAGATCGAGTGGGTAAGGAGGGCCTTGCGGGAGCTGTATTAAGTAGTATAGTAAATCTCATCGGGTGATAACAAAAATATAAAGAGAAAGTGCAAGCGAATATAGAGCGTTACTTTATAAGGGAAAAAATCACCAAGAGCAGACGGTTCCATGGTTCACTTGTAATATGAAACCACAAGCCGATACTCTTGTATTTTTCTTTGTCATCGGCCACAAAATCAAGCACCGACGGGCTCTCTTTCTTCTTCCCGACCCCGAGTCTCTACGTCAATGGTGCTGGCTCCATCGCCATCCTCATAGCTTGGGTGTTGGTCTGCAGGGACCCACGAGTCGCGGTCGCCTTGCAAGGGCTGGTCTTGCTCAGACAGGTCGACGCCTTCAGTCCGCTTGGCCACATTGTCGCGGTGACGCTGGGAAAGGGTGCGCGATCGGGTGGAAAGGCTGGACTTGACAACTGCCTTGGATGAGACCCAGTTGGTCAGGGCCTCTTCGCAGTCCTGGATGATGGCCTTGCTGGCGTCGTATCCGTCATAGGCATGACGGGTCTCACCCGGAGTGACGGGATTGTCGTCGATGAGATCCAAGAGATGCTTTCCGTAGCCGGCGATGACGGCCACCTTCTCAGAGTGCTCACGGAGAGCATCGAACTGGTACTGGAAGGCCGACTTCAGCTTCTCTCGGGTGATATTCGACAATTGAGCCTCTGCCACGAGGGACTCGGCTTCGGCGCGAACCAGCTCCTGCTCCAAAACAACGATGCGAGGAGAGTTGGGGTCCTTGTACTTGAGCTTGGCGATTTCATCGGTGATCTTCTGCTTGCCTGAAAGAAAACGTATTAGTATCGAAACAGCTTACAATTGACCTGAGCAGACTTACGGTCCCGGCTGGGCTGCACAGACGCCTCAATGTTGCGAATGCTCTTGATGGTGACACGGTACTGGTCGTAGCGATCAACGTACATGTCTTCCAGCTCTCCAATTTCGTAGAGCAGGACACCGAGCTTATCGGTAACATCCGAAACATCTTCGTCGCAGTTCTCACCCCAGATGGAAAGTTGTTGCTAGAATCAGTCAGTTAGTGTTCATGCTGCGACACTCCAGAGCTATTCACATACAGCAGTTTCCATTCGCTCTCTTGCTACCATCTCCATGCTGCGCATGACGTTCTTTTCCATCTTCACGAGCTGAGACAACTTTCTGGCGAGATCCGGACCGAAGGCTCCGGCGGCATTCTTGCGAAAGGCGTGGCCTCCTCATCGTGCATGTCAGCATATCTATTCCATAAAATCTCTTTCTTTTATTTCACTATGCGCTGGCAATGGGTTCGCTTCATAGCCCCTGAGACCATAACACAAACACATCCCATTGCACTGTCCGTACAACATCCTAACAAAAGAAACCAACTCACCGAAGCCGCCCTTTCCTAACCATCTGTTTGTCTTGGTGCTCGACAATGGAGGCGGTGGGTTCTCGACCTGCGAAGCGGTCGGCAGGCGCGACGTGCGCATAGAGTAGGTGCGATGCATTGTGAGTCCTTTGTTGACGGGTATCCTGAGACAACGAACGGGGAGAACGGGCGAACACGAAGGGAGGCGAAAAGGAGGGAAAGGTAGGATAAATCAGACTCGAAGCAAAAATCGGGCGGTGCTGGTTTCTTTCAAGAGATTCGCTTTGCGCAGGAATGACGTGAACCAAAAGAGGGGGTGATCCAAAGAACGGACGGGATGCGACGGAAGAGAAGCTGCAAGCGGATCGACACAGGGATAAGAGGTGGATATAATGAGGAACTAGAGGGAACAGACCCAAGGATAGATATTTTTTTTTTTTCTTCTTCTTGACTCTCGTCTTGGACAGTTGCAATGAAACGATGATCCTAGCGTCGAGGAAGAAGCTGCTGGCTGCCCAATGCCTTGGAAAGCGCTGGTGACGTCGACACTACTCGGTTAATTAACCCAATTCGGAAACCAATCAGCCTCACGATCGTTGCCATCGCAATAATCATGATTCTTAAATGACGAGCAGATCCAGGGTCGATTGGCTCATGACTGCCCGGTCGAGCCAGGCACTCAGGAGAGAGAAGTAAAACCTCTGTCTCTGATCTGCGACGTCATCAAGTGCTGCGTCTTGTGGCTCTGTGAATTCATTGATGTCATGGATTCCCCTACATCTGTAGAAAATTTTTGAGTCGCAATTGTCAAACCTCGATAATTTAGCTCTTCGATAATGTCATAACTAGTAGGATAAGTGGTTTAGTTGCAGCCCCTGAATTATCAGTGATGCCCTGCCCCTTTTCCTGACTGGATCGTAGAATTTCCTCTACACAATTCCACAAGATATACAGCACCTGTGCAGAATATAATCCTCCGTCTATCGATAGAAAAATCTACGATGATAGATAGCATTCCTCAACAGCTGAAGATACCCACAATTGATGATCGCCCGTCTCCGCATTCGGATCGACCAGATCTCCAGTAACGCATTATTGCTTAGTGATCGGTGCAACCCCAGTGGGGATCCGTCAATTTGATGCTACCATCCACTGTAGAAATGTAGTTACAAATAGTATAATGCTGATGAATATACAACACTACGTACGATATGCAAACCTGGTCATTCATTAGATATTACTTGCTGGTGCCTTGCCGAGTTTTCCGCTTCTTGGTCGTTGCGTCGTTGCCAGTGCCAGGTGAGTCTCTCGTAGTCGTCCTCTTCGTGCCTCTCCCCTTCCCTTTCCCCTGTCCTCGGGTGCGTTTATCATTATTCTCCGAGGGTTCATCAGCTGGCGCAACTCCATCCTCCCCTTCCTCTGGTAAATCCTGGTTCGTTCCAGCCTCTTGTCGGAGTCGGCTGAAAGCCTTTTCCATCCGACTCTTCCCTCCAGAACGAACCCTTGGCGCAAAAGCACCTGCCCCTTGAGGCCCGTTGAAAAATGTCGTGATGTTGGACTGTGTGCCTTCTTGATCCCTGCGGTTCATATCGCGGATGACGGGCACCAGGACTTCGTCTGTCCGCTCCTGGCTCCACCCGATCGTGGCCATGAGGAAGTTCCTCAAGCCGTGTAGATCGGGCACACCCCATTGAAATGCAGACGGGTCCGAATCAACTTCGGGCTCGAGGTAGGCGGTATCGACGTGGTTGTTGGGGAAAGCGGGTGGCAAGAAGATCTTGGATGCGTTCTTCTTGAATTTCTTATGAAATGCAGCGTGGGCGTTGTCCGGATCATTCACACCCATTTGCACTTGTGTCCACCAGTCGCGAAATTCCTCCAGGTTCGAAAATTCAGTCAGAATCTCCAATGCTGTGACAGGACCAACCCCGGGGATGCCCTCCGTGTAGTCACTGCCCAGTAGATGGGCAAAACTGATGAGCTTCCGCCGGTGGAGTGCATACTCCTTCTCCAAGTCAGATGTGAGATAGCATTCGACAAACTTCCCCTGGTTGAACATGTTTTTGTAGACTCGTGTACCACCGAATAGAAAGATATCACTGTCGTCTGTGATGATGCCATCGACGAGGCCCAGCGAGACCAGCTCTGCGCATTGTGCTTCCGCCTCCATAGGCGCTGTGATGTAGGGCAAGCCAAAAAGAGACAATAGTTGTTGGCACTCAGTAATCATGACCTGTGATACCTCGTCCGCGTCTCTGCGGTCTTTCTTCTGTTGCGACCGTAATTGTTTGAGTTCCTGCTCGTAGTCAAGTGCAGTCTGACCACCTGAAGCTGAATTCAATGTGGCAGCGAAGCGAGCATGTTCCTCTCCCTCTGCGGCCAATTGTCTCATGAGATCTTCATCTTCAGGGTCTGACAAGTATCCCTCTTCTTCTAATAAATTTTCCGCTTGGTCAACCACAGGCGCGACTTGCACTTCTGGCCTTGCTACGGAAATGTCAGGCGTTTTCTCTTCCGGCTGTATTGTAACGTCTTCGAATTCAGGTGATGGCGATGGTTCGGCACGTGAGAATTGCGTTTGAACATTCTCGGGTGGTTTCTCATCATCGGTAGCTTCCCATTCGTAAGTCTCCTCATCTGCTGTTATGTCTTTCGCGGAAACTGTAGAAGCTTCGGCCTTTTCTGGCTGCGACAGGTCCAGTGTCTCCGGAACGTTATCGTTGGTATCCTTAGCCTTGTTGATGGAAGGAATAGTTTCAACAACTTCAGTATCCTTGTCTTTCACAGAAGGTGCCTCTAAATCGACAACTTCATTAGAATCCGAGAGCTCGTCAACATCAATGACTTCGGGAGGCTTATGATTCTTCAGAAACTGATGATCTGGAGTCATTTGTCTCTCATGGTGTGCTTCCACCGCACTATCATCAACCCTATCCGCAACAAATTCAGCATTGAAATGCTTGCCAGAGAACCATGGTGGTAATAGCTGCTCCTTGGACGGTTCCGTGGGCTCTTTCTCAAACCCACCGTCATTGTCATCAATTTTTTTTTCCCGGGGTTGTTCTGTATCAGATTTTTTGTTCAATTTGATGGATTCAAAAGGCAGCGGGCCATCGAAGGGGTTATTGGGGAGCACACGCGTAGCATCCTTGGACGGGTCCTTTTCTGGCTTTTTTGATTGCGCCAGGGCAGTGGCGAAATCCATTTCGTCGTCACTCTCGGACATGAACGAGGGTTCCCGTTCCTTAGGAGGCGCAGGCAGAGCATTATCTCGATTAATGGGAACCTCTGGCATTTCATGATCTTGATCTTTAGGTCCAGACTCTAGCGACATCTCAATCGCTTTTCGAAGATCCTCATCTTCCGACTCGCCATTATCCTCGAAGAAATTATCGATGTCATGACGTTGTCGACTTTGGAGGCCTTCATCTTGGACAAACAGGGAATCATCTTCAGCCGCAATTCCTGCGCGTCCATCAGAGGCTTCTTGCATATGCCCGATTGACTCGTCAAAGACACCTTTCTGGAGAAAAGGAAGCTTGGGGAGTCTATTAAGGCCTTCGACTGGAACATCTTCAAACCCTTCATCGTCATCGGATGTCTCATTATCATCAGCAAACACGACTTCTTGCTGGCCATATCGATCGACATCGATAGGTTTATCGGCATGTGCTCCTTCCTTGTTCCCAACAACACCCAGAACCCAGCCGCCTTCGACCTCATTGTCTTTGACCAAGACATATTCCTTTCCACGCTCTCCTGCAATCCTCTGCCCTGAATCCATCCCGTACATAGCATCGGCGCCGTTCATGCCATTAATATTCATTAACCGTTGTGTAAGATCGTTTCTCTCCTTGACACGTTCAATTTGAAACTTGGAAAAGGCCATGCGGTCAGGAAACATAATGTCTAGTTGCTCCTTTGAATATCCCATTCGTAGTCGGCTTCGAAGTCTGGCGGCATTTAAAATATTATACCGATCTGTAGCAGGAAGGCTAACGAAAAATGCACTGTCAAAATCAATCTTGGAGAAGTCGTAAAGATTGATATCCTCGCCCCGGTAAAACTGTCTCGCATATTCTTCTAGTTCATCACGAGACATGATACGCGGATCATTCGGTGCTCCCATCTCCTCCAGCGACCCTTGTAGCTCGGGAAGATGGTAGGCATCCTTCTTCTTGAATTGGCGAGCTTGTCGTCTTTCATTTTCTGACATTAAGATCTCCTCGGCGTAGACAGGAACATCGGGAACGTCTTCCTCTTGTCTTCTGGATGTCTCAGTTTTATGCCTGGCCGCCTCTTCCTCTGCAGTTCTCTGTAGTTGCACCGCGAGCAGTTTCCCAGCGGTTCTCACGGCATCTTCTCTTCGGCCTTCCCGTCTACTTTTCCTAGATGCGATGGTCTGTCGTTTCAGAATGGGTGCCCCTCCATCAAACACGAAAACCGGCTTGATGCCGAAATAGAGGAGTTTGCATATCCGACGAAAGAATCCGACAATGTGAGAGTTACGAAGAGCATTGCCTTCCTTGTCGCGGACAGCTTTCAGGAACTGATATATCCAAATCGATGCATCGACTGCTAGTCGTCTCTTATTGAGGGTTTCCAGTTTGATGGGCCGCGCACAAGGCTGGACAACCGTCCACAGCCCGGTGACACCCATGGCGACCGGAAAGTGGTCTTAGAATAATCATGTAGCTCGAAAATATAGTTGCATGGTAGATGGAATGATGCACATTATTCCATCCAGCACAACTGATTTAACTGAGCATGAGTTCGTGCTGTGAGACTGCTGCCTCCGCGTCGCCACATAATCGACACGAGGATCGCGATATCACGTGAGTCATTATGCTCCTTTCGGAAAGGCGTCGATAAAAGAGTGGATGACATAATCGCTTTTTCAGTGGCATGTGGAAATTCTGGAAATTCGAAATTAATTCTCGATGCGGGGAGATTCCAGCGCTGTTAAGCTGTTAGTCTTGGAGAATTAAATATTGCATAAATTGACCTAATCTCTAAAACCAGGCAAAGGTTGATATTCGCCTGCGCCTTTCAATGAGCGCTGTTGCCCGCATCAATGCATCTCTCGCTTGAGGTCAGTGACGGTCTCCCCACCAGATTGGCATTGCGCTGACTCGATGGCCAGCATGTTGATGCTTGCCTTCCCATAACTACGCTGAAGGCGCTTGTTCTAAGGGATACTAGGCTTGTCATCCAAGGTCAAGGCCCATATGCACGTTTAATCGATGAAGCGAGTGGAAATCTGCTCGCTGAATTGAAGACTTTTAAAAGAAACAACGCCCATGGGTTTATAATTCTCGATCAAAAGTCGCAAGATGCGGAAAGAGAGCATGTTCAGCTCATAGCCTGGGGAGGCCAGTCTCTCAGAGTGATTGACTTGTTCTATGCCCGTAACCAGGCAACTGGGGCCTCAGAAGCATCCTTTTCCGGCGCAAGTGCTGAATATCTAGCACCGGATTGGATGCTGGCAGGATGTGCATCCTGTGATAATTCCGCAGGAGTGGCATATATGGTCACAGCACATAATGCTCTTCTCGGCCTTCGTGTTGTAGATGGGGGTTCGTCACGATACGAAAAGGCCATTCATCTACAACAACTGGTGACTGGGGTCAAATCCATCCTCTACTCGGCTGATGCTATTTCAATTTCTGCATCGCATGTATTGATTACAGCCGGGACTGTCTTTGGTGAGATCATCGTCTGGTCTTGTTTCATAGACAGCCCTGAAAGCTTGTCCTCTAATGCCATCGGCTCTATCCACCACTTCTTCACCGGCCACGAAGGATCAATCTTCGGTGTGAGGATATCTCCGCAAATTCCTTCCTTACAAGGTAGTCAATCTGGTCGGCTCTTGGCTAGCTGTAGCGATGATCGGACTGTTAGAATATGGGACATATCCGACTGTGAGCGTACGTCCCGCGAAGATCCCTCGGCCTACTCAACGGATGGTTTCGAGCTTCGAAGCACAGGATTTGGCGTCGGAGCCGCACAGGAGCAGAAGGTCGGATCTGAGTCCTGTGTTGCAAAGGCCTTTGGTCATCTGGCCCGGATATGGAGCGTCCATTTTCTACCCACGATAGTGGACGGTCAACGCAAGCTGAGCTTGATATCACGTGGAGAAGATGCAACCTGTCTGCTGTGGGCTTTGACTTGGGACCAATCCTCGGACAAAACAAATTATCAGATCCGCCAGAAAAAGTCGTTTCACCATCATGCAGGAAAGCATATTTGGTCTCTTGACATGTGCAGCACAGAGACAAAGACCGTCGTTTACACTGGAGGTGCCGATGGGGCTATCAGAAGCTTCAGTGTCGAGCTTAGGGAATTGATCGATCAACCAGAGGCAGAGGCCACCCGTTCACCCAAGTCTGAAGTCTCATTGAAAACGTTTGCGTTTGTCGCCCCGGATTGCTTCCTCGCAACTTCTTTCAAGGGAGAGGTCCAGATCGGATGGGTTGAGTCTGAAACCGAGACAGAAACGAAGCCTCAGATAACCAGGGAAACACTGTTTGTGGAGGATGACCTTCGTTCTTTCTCCATTATCTCTAGCTTACCAGGGAAAGGACTGGCACTGCTGGGTACTGGGCAAGGCCTGATTAAACTATACAACCATGCCACTAAATCGCTTTCCAAGATAGCACAGACGGATCGGAGGCCACTTGGGCTATATTTCCTCGATACCGATAACGATTCCAACTTGTCATCTACTTCGTCTGATACTCTTTCATTCATCACATCCTATGGAATTCAGGACAGGGTAAATTTGTTCATGGTCACAGGCTGGGACTCAACAGAACCAAGCGTCGAGAACATAACATTGACTCTGCCCCCAACCTTCGAAGTGACATGTGCCTCCTTCTTGTACGGTACCAAGTATGTGGCACTGGGATCCAAGTCTGGTGGACTTGTCATATACCAGGTTTCAAACACAGGTGAACCCCTGCAGCCATTGTTGACTATGCGTCGAGTTCATGGTGATTTGGGCACGAATAAAATCATGCCTTTTCTGTCAGTTGGCAATGACAACGGCACACTAGTCGAGTATGTCTTTACATCTGGTCGGGATGGAAACTACTGTGTCCACGAGATTGAACCTACAGCAAGCCCAGAAACACCAATTCGCTTCCAGACAGTCCACCAGTCTTCTACTTCCATGGGCCAGGATATCTCGGGTGCCTACTTTGACAAGACGTCTCAGGACCTTATGATTTACGGTTATCGAGGCAAGGAATTCGTTCTCTGGAACGAGTCTACTCAAGCAGAACTCGCTAAGGTTGATTGCGGCGGAGCGCGCCGAAGCTGGGCTTTCCAACCAAGCGGTGAAAGTGCCCATGGTGCTTTGTTCTTGTGGAATCAGGCCGCAACATTTTATGCGCTTCGGATACCTACCGATTCTAACCGTCCTCTGCGCATTGGTGGCCATGGCAGGGAGATCAAGTCCATGGAAGCTTTCAACTCCGCGGATGGCAAAGAGCATCTCTACGCTACTGGCGCGGAGGATACGGCCGTGCGTCTCTTTGCACCGACACCTTCGCAGAAAGAAAGCCCATGGGGTGCATTCAAATGCCAGCGAGTTCTGAAGAAGCATACGACCGGGTTGCAGCAAGTAAGCTGGTCCAAGGATGGAAGGTTCTTGTTCACAAGTGCTGGGTACGAGGAGTTTTTCGTCTGGAGAGTCCGTTCGATTCCTCGATTTGGTGTTGCAGCTATTCACGTAGCTTCGAGTCCTCTTGACGAACTCAACTCTGATCTTCGGATAACGAGTTTCGATATGTTGGATGTGGGTGAAGGCAGTGAGCATGGTTTTCTACTTTGCCTGACTTACTCCAATTCTACCATGAAGGTAATTAGCCGTCTTTACTTTTTTTTTTTTTTTTTTCAAACCCTCTGCTAATGTAATAGATCTTCCATTACTCGTCGTCTGTGGATGCATTCACCTTACTGGCAAAAGGGACATACACCAGCAACTGCCTTACGCAAGCCAAATGGATGCTCAAAGACTCATCAGTGAGCCTGGTAACAGCGTCTACAGATGGATACTTTACGCTCTGGAACTTGACATCAGTTCTCGAACCCTTCTACTCGGTCTCGTCGTCGACCTTGGCAGTGAAACAGCTCATCCAAGCGATGAAAATCACCCCCGAGCACATCTCATGCGAAAGCCGATACCAGATTCACTCCAACAGCATCAAAGCCTTGGAATTGATCCACTTATCTGAGACTGCGTCTCTGATTGTGGCCGGTGGTGATGACAATTCCCTGTCGCTGTCTTTATTGGTTACCGATCTTGCCAACTCTGAGGTCAACACTCGTGTGAGCAGTATTACCATCCCAGATGCTCACGCAGCTTCTGTTACGACCATCAAAATACTCGAGCAAAAGTCGTTGGCAGCGGATATGAACACAGGCATTATATTTGCTTCCTCGGGGAATGACCACCGAGTCAAGGTCTGGTCTGTCGACGTCGACACCACAAGAACTGGAGCAGATGCGATCACGGCCCGGAATCTCGTCGACAGATACAGTTCTGTCGCTGATATATCATCCTTGGACGCGATCCAAAGCAACGCAGATGACGTTCTCGATGCAGAGACGAAGTTGCTAGTCTGCGGTGTGGGAATGGAGATGCTGAGTGTTCGGTTGGATTAAGATCGGAGTACATGCCTGGAATGATGCGATGTTTTATGTATAGAATCTTCAAAAAATACCTGGATAGAATAGAGGACTGAACCCTGGGGCCATAAGGTAAACGAACTAAACTTTTAGAAATCGACGGTGTCGTTTGGAGCGGCAAAAAGACGGGTCGTTGACAACTCCACTGACGGCAGAGCCTTGGAAGAATTGAGATCGACAATCACCAAGAAATCCCGCTGCCAGCGACTGGAATTTATGCGAACTGCCAAGCGAACTGCGGACTGCAAATTGCGAACTGCCGAGGTTGGCGTTCGCCAGATGATGAAATTTGGATGTTCAAACAATGCGATAGAAAGATCGAAGCAGTGAAGAAGGCTGTGTTGTGGCAGCGGCCCGTAAGCTGATGAAGCTTCGCCATAAACTCGGGACTTGCTATCATGATGTAACGACGTTGGGCAAAACAACCAATCGCGAATCCTTCGAGAGAGAGAAAACTGGAGAATGAAGCTGATCTTATTTTTACTGGGAGCTTTTCTATCGTAGACGAAGACACTTGGGCTGGGCTTGGACCCTGGCACGAGAGCACATCAGATTAATTAATTAACTCATCCTGCCGCTTGTCGATGGCCGCTGAAATAATAATATTCTCATCTGCCTTGACCATGATATTTCCTCCAGAAGGGTGCTGATGGATTGATCGGAATGTTCTCTTTGCGCCGGTCTTTGTTGCTGCTGGTTGTGGTGGGTTTGTGCTGGTGGTTTCTTCCTCGCTCATCTTCCACGGGCGGAAATAACATCAAGGCAAATCCACCATCGCAACAGCCTCACTCTCCTCCTTCGCGTCCTCTCCGCCGGCCGGAAGACAGTGCAGGAAATGAAACATTAGGGGTAAGGACTTTCTTCTCTTTCTCTTATTCTACTCCATACTTATGGCCATAGTTTCAACAAATCTTGGCCCTCTCCAATGGCCCCTCATGGCGCACCAGAGGCCTCCTCGCCGCGGCCGACCTGACAGGCCTTCAAATCAGCATTCCACCTCAACCCCCCTTACACCCGACCATCGTCGAAGCCTTTACACATTTCGGCGCTGAAGACATTCCCTTCTCGAACCCCGCCCACGGCGCCAGCGTCGCTTGGCTCGCCCACCTCGACCTAATCAAACACGCCATACAATCCGACCTCGAAACCGTGCTCATCCTCGAAGACGACGTCGACTGGGACGTGGGCATCCGGGCACAGATGAAGCGCGTCTCCAGCGCCGTTCGCGATCTCACACATACCCCCGCGGAAGATACCAGCGCACCCTACGGTCGTGCGTGGGACGTGCTCTGGATCGGCCACTGCGGCGAGGCGTGGGATCAGCGGTATGATACGGTGGTTTTTGATGACCCCGATGTGCCGCTCCATGCGGACCATCTTGGTTGGGTGAAGGGGTATCAGGGCTATGTGCCCTGGCTGGAGTATCCCCGGCGCGGGGTGTATCGATCGCTATGGCCTGTGTGCAGCTTTGCGTATGCGCTGTCGCGGAACGGGATGAAGAAAGTCCTCCAGTTGACTGGGGGTGGGCAGGGTCATGCCTTTGACATTAAATTGGCGACTGAGTGCAGGATGGCTACGCTGGAGTGCATCTCGGTCGTGCCGGAGGTGATGCATCAGTATTTCCCGGATCCGGGATTCGGAGCCCGGAGTCTGGTGGATATAGGGAATGGACAGGGAACAGGGCCGGAAGGGAGTGGATTTGAGGCCGTGATGGGAACGACTGAGAATATCCTCAATAGTGCACGATGCCGGGCTCTATGGGGGGACACTTGTCTGAAGCAGCCGGAGCCGGAGCCGGAGCCTCCTGCTGAACAGTAATGTGTATATGATGTTGAATAATGAATATAGCGGAATTAATATATATCGGAATATCTGACATCTGCAGCATTGGTGAAACAAAGATCATCGGCGGAGAAATCCAGTCCGTCAGGCTATCAGCGGTGGATTAATCCATGATGCTAATTAATTGAACGTCAGATTGATTAACTGGGCTGTATATATAATATGATTTCCATCTGATAATTGCTATCAATCATCAAGTATCATCCAATTGCCATTGTAACCAAAATGAAGTCACTCTTGCTACTAGCCAGCACCATCTCGATGGTCGCTGCAACACCCGTCCGCAGGGCAGATACCAACACCACATATTTCTTCACCTTGTACGATCATCGACTGTATCCCATGAATTCTAATTAACAATGATATCAGCGGCGACTCCTACAGCCAAACCGGCTTCTACCCAGAAGGCGAGAAACCCACCGCTTCGAACCCCATGGGCAATCCAGAACTAGGTATATACATTCCCCCAACACTCGAAACCCTCACTTTACAGTAAACATGAACACCACTGACAAACAAAGGGACCGGCACAACAACCAACGGCCCAAACTGGGTCGGATACCTCACCACAGCCGAAAACGCCTCCCTCGTCCTCTCCTACAACCTCGCCCAGGGCGGTGCTACAATCGACAACTCAATCGTCTCTTCGTATGCAGATGATCTCGTCGCGCAGGTGGAGACTTTCCAGGAGAATTATAGCAGTAAGCCCGAGTCTGCGCCGTGGACGGGCAAAGATGCCGTTTTTGGGTTTTGGTTTGGGATTAATGAGTGCGTTCCCTACTATATCTGGGTGTTTGAAGAGGTTGAGATGCTGACTTTATTCAGTGTTGGAAATGCATACTCGAGTACTGATGCAGACACGCTCACGCCCAAGCTAATCACTCGCTATCTCTCTCTCGTCGAAAAAATCTACAACGACGGCGGACGTAAATTCCTCTTCATCAATGTTCCCCCCACAGGTCGCACTCCGATGTTTCTCGATCAAGGCGATGAGGCAGTGAAGCAGCTCGGTGCGTATGTTGAAACATTCAACAAGAATCTCGAGGCGAAGGTAAAGGAGTTTAACGCGAACCATACCGATGTACGTCCGCATATCAAATAACCCACTGTAGGAAAACTAACAACGTAATATAGACCACAACAGTCGTCTACGACTCTTGGTCCTTCATGACCAAAATCCTAGACAGTCCCAGCGAATACGGATTTCCGAATGCAACATGCATCAACGACGATGGAAGCAGCTGTGTGTGGTGGAATAATTACCACCCCGGATTCAAGTATCATAAGCTGCAGGCGGAGGATATGAAGCCGAAATTGGCTTCTTTGGGGTGGTGATATATTTATTTAGATTGGATTTATGCAGTTGAATTGATTAAGATGGCTATGACTCCGTTCCCAAAAGAGTAATTGTATAGATCCGTTCCTAAAATGGCACGGGTGGCTTTCAATCCTTGATTTAATATCGATTCGATTGTTCAAATATATATAAAGATGTCTACGGGAATCTATCAATTCCTCCTCATCATCACATCTTTCAATATGAAGCTGAACAACATCCTCCTCTATGCCACTCTGGCTGTTTCAACAGCAGCAGCTCCTCTCAAGGAAACAAAACGATCCTCAGTCTTTCAATGTCAGTTCTTCATCTCTATATAAATACCCATATTGACAAATCAGGGCTTGGAACCAACGAATCCGGCGCCGAATTCGGTGAAAACAACCTCCCAGGCCAATGGGTATGTCTCATCTGAATACATACCCATATATCCATAAAACACAGCTGATGAACCAGGGAACCGATTACATCTTTCCCGACCCCTCAACTATCAACACCCTGATTGATAAAGGGATGAACATCTTCCGAGTCCAGTTTAGGATGGAACGATTGGCTCCGAGTGGGATGACAGGAGGGTTTGATGAGGATTATTTGCGGAATTTGACGACTGTTGTTGAGGCGATTACAGAGAAGGGGGTGTATGCGATTGTGGATCCGCATAATTACGGGCGATTGTGAGTTTCTTTCTGTTGATGAGGATGAGGATGGCTAATTGTATAGCAATGGGGCTGTGATTACCAGCACTGAGGACTTTCAGACGTTCTGGAAGAATGTCGCTGGATTATTTGCGAGTAATGATCACGTTATTTTTGATACGAGTGAGACTCCGTCATGTAATCTGGTTAAGGTATATGCTAATAATAAAGACAATGAATACCACGACATGGACCAAACCCTCGTCGTCAACCTCAACCAAGCCGCCATCAATGGCATCCGCGCCGCTGGAGCCACCACGCAGTACATCTTCGTCGAAGGCAACTCATGGAGTGGCGCGTGGAGCTGGACCGAGATCAACGACAGCATGAAGGACCTCACCGACCCACACGATAAGATCGTGTATGAGATGCACCAGTATCTGGACTCGGACGGGTCAGGAACGTCAGAAACATGCGTGTCGGAGACTATTGGGGCGGAACGAGTCAGCAGCGCAACGCAGTGGCTGAAGGAGAATGGCAAAGTGGGGATTCTGGGGGAGTTTGCGGGGGGCGTGAATGAAGTCTGCAGGAGTGCTTTACAGGGCATGTTGAGCCATTTGGGGGAGAATACGGAGGTGTGGAAGGGGGCTGTTTGGTGGGCTGCTGGGCCTTGGTGGGGGGAGTATATGTTTAACCTGGAGCCTACGGGGGGAGTGGCGTATACGGGGATGATGGATGTTCTGGAGGAGTATTTGTGATTGAATAAATATAGGGCATCTGATCGACTGAGATATTTTGGTGAACAGTGGGTTCGGTCCACTCCCGAGTTTTCAGTAGGGCTAGTAGTGAATTCTATAAATTCCATCTCAAGAATAACACTAGAGAGAAATAGAATAGAGTAGAGAAATCTAACATCACAGCCACAGTTAGTGTGTTGATGAATGCCAAGGAGCGACGTAAGCATTCCGACTGACATGACGCTAAGAAAATCAATCAAACTAATTCTCAGTTTGCCTGTTTGGGTATTTCTTCATCTTGAATATTTAATAAGAGTATTCTCATACTGCATATTTATAATATATGTTTATATATTCAAATATATTATGTATTATAGAATATGACTGTATTGTAAGCTGACCCTGGCCTGATCCTTCATACCTGATATTCTCCGCAGCCAATCACAGAATACAGAAGCCTAAATCTACTACGTATGCCGGGCTCCACTTGATCGGGATCCCTTGGTCCAACCGCATCAGATAGACTACTCGACAGCACCTGGCTAAACTGCATACATAAAGTTCTACAAGACAAAACTACTAGCTTGATAGATCCACATAAAGATTCTGATCAATACGTAAGCCACTCTGACGTGGCCTGGTGCAAAACTGCAACTTCTATAAGGCTGCCTCGTGGCCTGTTTCGGACTAGTGCCGTTCTGCCGGCCATTAATAGAAACAAGCCGTGCCGGGTCGTTTTGTGATTGGTTTGTTGTTTGCCCCACACCCTGCGCCTCCCCAGAGTGGCAGGACAACTGCTGACTGATCCAGCGCCGATCAGAAGGAAGACACGATAAATAAAACCTTCACCACGTCTGCATTTCTCGCTCTTCATCGTCTCATCTTCATCCTATCCATCTTTCATCCCTAGCTTCACCCTCACTTCACTTATCAAACCAGCCATCATGGGTAAAGCAGGCCGTGTTCTGTGCATCTTCACCCCATATGTCCTCACCTTTGCATCTTTGATATGCATTATTATGGTGGGCTTGGGCTGTACCAACAAGGATTCCAGCACTCTCAATAACCTCTACTTTTTCCGAGTATGTCCTCTGCTCCCAAAGTGTCCTCATCAATCACTAATTATACCAGGCAAACACGTCGGATATCACAACCAATTCTACTTCAATTACGGATAAAATCAAGTCGGCCACTGGCCAATCCGTCTCGGAGAGCGACTTCGACACCGCCCTCGACCAGGCCCAGAAAGAACTCAACATCAAGGACTTTTACACCATCGGTCTCTGGGGATACTGCGATGGAAACATCACCAGCAGCAACAGCTTCGACACCACCCACTGCTCTCAGGCCAAGGCTGAGTTCTACTTCGACCCGATCTCCGTCTGGAACTTGAACGGCACTGGATTGGAGAGTGAGCTTCCCGATGGATTGGACAAGGCCCTCAAGGTCTACAAGGGTGTCTCCAAGTGGATGTTCATCGCCTACATCATCGCCTTTGTTGCTACCATCCTCGAACTGGTCGTCGGTATCTTTGCTATCTGCAGTCGCTGGGGTAGCTGCGTGACCTCTTTGGTCTCTGCCGTAAGTTTACCTTTGCAAGATTCTTCTAGATCGACTCTAACAATCACCAGGTTGCTTTCTTCTTTACCGCTGCTGCATCGGTCACTTCCACCGCGCTTTTCGCAACCCTTACCGGAACCTTTAACAGCGCTCTGAAGCAATACAACATCCACGGTTCCATGGGCAAAAACATTTACGTCGCTACTTGGCTCGCCGTTGCTTTCGCCCTGGGCGCGTCCCTGTTCTGGACTATCAGCACCTGCTGCTGCTCCGGTCGCTCCCCCTACAACAACCGCAGCGACAACCGTCACAAGGGTGGTGTCACCGCCGAGAAGGCCCCCTACACCTACGAGCCTCTCGGTGCCAATGGTACTCAGGCCCCTTACGGCCCCTACAACCACGGCGACACCTCTTACGCGGGCCACGCTGGCCAGACCGTCCCTGTCCAAAGCAACAGGACAAACGCCTACGAGCCTTTCCGTCACGTCTAAAACAAAATCACCAATCACCATGCCTGCTAGAAAATCCTTTCCTAACTGGCATTCTCGGCGTTTTTGAGGTCAGCGCATGACTTTTTATCACGATTTTAGGGAATCTTCATCCACACACTGGGAAAGATTCCTATTTAATGAACATAATGCAAGCTGCGAGAAAGCAAAACTGTTTGTACATTGTATGGGCTTTATTTTTTTATTTTTTTTTTGTGTTTTGATATAATCGGGTGGTCGATTTGACGTGCCTTTTACTGGATTATATAGATATCTACAGATACCCTCCTTTTTCAAACCAAGATTTTATCTATTCAAATCTTATTTTCATCTATTTTCGTAGCTGTATGTACCTCCGTATAACTTGGAATTATCTTAATGGAATGGTCATGCGGTGAGGGATTTCTATTCCCAAGTAACGCCAGATGATGCAATAACGCATATGATCAAGAAACAGCATGGATAAATTAGGTCATTTTTATATTTTATACAGCACTAGAAGCAAATACAGCTAGCTTTTGGTATCAAGTCTCCACTCCCCCCCCTGCATGATCTGCTTAAAAACCATGCACTGGGATATCATACATCCATATGTCATGGCCCATTGGGAAATAGAAATCAAATGGTGAAAGCAAGGTCTATCTATGCGCGGAGTATGTGTTGTAATATAGCAACCGAGAATAATAATAAAGAGAAGAGAAGAGGATAGGTAGAGCATTGCAGTCTCGCTGCATGTTTGGTTTGGTTCTCATGTTATTGGTGCTGTGTTGATTTATCACCGTCCCCGTACGGCCGTTGTATTACACCCTTGTTGTCAAAAGGGAATGCCCACCCACGACGATTGCGCTCGGAAAGGACGTTGAAGGTTGCCCTGGCCCACGACTTGAAGGGTGTGTTGGGGTCGTCGCACCAGAGTGGGCCTGTGGGACGGAGATGGCGGAGGGAGTCGAACCAGTTCTCGTTGTCGCTTTCTGGTTCGCTGGGGGGTTCGGATTCGACGCCTGGGAGGGGTGCTGGGGGTGCGGTTGGGGGGTGTTCGTTGTCGTCTCCTAGCTCGATGCTGGCGGTGGAGTGGGCGTCTTCCATTTGTTCGTCTTCGTCTTCGTTGTTGGGTTGTGTTTGTGTTTGTGTTTCGATCAGGTCGGGGTTGATGTCCTTGTGGGTGGTTTCTTCGGAACCTGGTGGCTCGGGTGTGGCCTGGATTTCTGGTTCTTCTTGTTCTTCTTCATCCTTGTTGTTCGTCTCGAGTTCCTCGTCTGTGTCTTCGGGATGTGGTTCAGGAGTGGCCTGGATCTCTGGACCATTAATCTCAGGCTGTTGTGCAGGACTTGGTGTGTGTTGGTCTAATTCACGGCGAAGTGGCGATGAGATAGGCACTGGTGTACGATCAGGAGTGTCTGGATGGTCACTCTGAGTTGCAGGTCCAAGAGAATGCGCATGAAAGTTGGAAAGCTGATTCACGAGACTGGTGGTAAACGAAAGGTTTTTCTCTTCATGTCCCACTGATGGACTGGCGGTTCTCAGCATACTCGTGGAACGATACTGCGCTGCAGATACATCAATCCCACTGATAGTCAGACTTCTCTTCTTGTGAGATGGTTTGGAGACGCGGGATGTGAAATATTGCTCATATGCCACAGATTTGGAATTCGTAGCATGGCACTGCTTCAGGTAGCGTGGATAATCCTCCTTGTGCATAATGATGAAATCGTCCCATAGGAAAGACCGTTGTAACCCCCCCTTACTTCTAAGGCATTGCAAATCAAAGCACAATTTAGTAAAGTGATCAAAGTCTCCTGTATAGTCGCTATAGTCACTTTGAAACTTTTCATACACCCTTTGCGCTTTTGCATATTTGGCAGCGCTGCTAATGTAGCTCTGTCGACGAGATATGATATTGGACACTGGGTCTTTGGTCTTTCTTAGTCGCTTTGACGGGGACGGGGCTTCATTGTCCACCTCAGATGCACCGCGTTTCAAATTAGACATGAGAGGCTCATTCGTGCTATACCTACTTGGTGTGTTTTGGGGTGAGCCGATAAGATTTCCTTCCGCATCTGACTGGGTAGAAAGCAAGTCACGGCATGAGGAGAACGGATCAGAAACCCCTTCAGTATGGGGCGCAGTAGCTCCTATGGGTACACTCGACTCCCGGTCCTTGGGCTCGGACGAGTCCAGGACGAAAGCAAAATGTGAGTTAGGCGAGGTGTTTTCCATTGTCCAATTGCCACCACTCATTTGCGTTCCCATTATATCAACTGCAACGGATTCTTGATCCTCATTTTCCAGAGAATGATTCGATATTTCTTGAGAAAGCCCGCCCTTGGGGTCGCTACCATGGCTAGCATATGTATTGAAAATGCGTGATTGTGATGACGATTTGGCAGCCTCAGAAGAAGATTGCGGCTGAAAACTATGCCCAAGACCTGTGACTTCTTTGTTCAATCTCTCGGGGCGTAGGCGATTGAGCTCGGCAGCAGGTGTTTCTACCACTTGGACGCGCTCATGTGCGTTTAATATTGGAAGCGACGGATCTGAGCTAGTAATCTCTGCCTCGGGCTGGCTTGCTTGTTGCGAGCTAGCCCCAAGAGGACAAGGAACAGATGTGTCCATGTTTTCATCGCTTTCATCACTCTCATCGCCGGATTCTTCCACAGGTTCTTGGGTGCGAGCCCTAGTGTCCGGCTGAGAAGCAATATTCTTTTTCACTTCATGACTCGGCTCGTTCTGCTCAGGGCTCTTCTCAAAGCTCTTCTTAGGGCTCTGCTCGTGGGGTTGACCGTGATTCTGCTCCAAGATCTGCTCACGGCTTTGCCCATTTTCCTGCTTAGGGTCCTGATGAGCAGAATCTCCAGTAAATTCTTCAAGATGGTTGGATGCTTTAGATGCTGAACGCAAATCCCTGGTATCGTCCCCAGCTACCTGCGCATTGGTGTCATCTGGAACTTGGGGTTCTTGGATCTTGTCATGTTTTGTGGTAAGTGAGTCTAGCCTGTTGGCTCTCGGTCTGACGGGACTGCTGTCTGCTGGTAGATCATGACGAGGCCGAGAGAGATGTTCCGAGGGACTTCGAGACCATGGATATTCATCCTCCCCGCTCTTGCTCTCATCCTCACCCTCCCCATCCTCCTCACCCAAGGATAAATCTGCTTGGGGTGCAGAGCTGGAAAAATTGGGTGATGTTTTATGGCGCTCCTGATACTCTGGCCTCGGACTTTCCTGTACATTCCTCTCGGCAAAGCGGCGCTTCTGCAACGCAATCGTATTCCATTCCTTTAATAGTGTAGGCGGCACATGCCCCTGAGGCATACTTTCTCCTGTTGCAGGGGGGACCCATTGACGTTTATCTTCTAGTAGTTCAACCTGATTCCTGGGTATCTTGATGTCGCCTTTTCGGATCTTTGTCAGACCAGCCCAGGGGTCAGAATAGACAACCGCGTCTCTGGGTTTGGGAGAAGGCAAGGCTGGCGGGTCCATTCCTCCATTTTCTATGCTTTTGTGATTTGGCTTTTCGACTTGTGTTATTGATAGCCTTTGACCATTCTCTGACCCAGCTAGTCTAGTATCCGTATTCATGGGTACATCTGGACTAGGATCGACCCTTAAACCCGGTGATTCAATGCTAGGAATAGGCTGAGGAGGTAGACTTGGTACAGGGACAGACCCAGATGCTTCGCCATCGTTTTTTCTAGAAACATGCTGACTATTGTGAGGCATGGGTTCTATTTCGACCGTGTCGGCTACCACAGGAGCTGTGGCGGCGTCCTTTTGATGCGCATTATTTGTTGTAACGTCATTAGATGGCGCTATAGATTTGGACCCGAGGAGCCCCAGAAGATGTCCTGAAAATCTCGAAGTATCATTATGATCGGTAGGAATGTAATGCGGCGTAGTGTGGTTATGGGTACGTGGTGCTTGAGAAGCAAACACTTCTTGAGACACTCCACTGTCAGGAAGGCTCAATTGAGATGGTTGTAGACGGGGTTTCCCCTCATTTTGGGATTTTATAGAACCATCAGACTGATACCCACCTTCTAGGCTAGCTGTACCTTGCAATTCCTGAGATTCTCTGGTTTTCTTGAATACTTCTCGCATAAGTTTATATGTATTCCCGATGTTCGTTATTTTTTTGCCTTTCCCATAGCCTTTGAGCTTTCCACGTTCCCAATCAATATTGAAACGCTTGACATAGAAATGAATCTGGGGGTCGGAGGTGGAGTATTCGAAGACAACCTCGAAATCCACCAGCTGCATGATGTAGCCTTTAGGGGACCACTGGCTCAAATCCCGGCCATCGTATTCATCTATTGACTTTCTCGTAAGGATCGCTTGGATTTGGGCTCGCCGGTCGGTTAAATCGGTAACTGGGGCTCGATCTCCTAAATTCAACTAGTAAAGCTGTGAGCAGAGTGATTCTATGTCAGTTTAAAGTCACTTACTCCGTCGACCACAGCCAGCCCCATGCCGCAATCTGTAAAGCGAAGGTTACTCCCATCATCTTCCACCTGCAGCTCGGAGTCTTCGGTCTCATTCAGGTAGAGCGTAAGGCAGCGTTCAATCAGAGCGGAAATCCAGTCATCCGAAGAGCTCATTTTGCTAATTTATCAACCAGCCATAGAAAAGCACAAGTGTGTACAGCATCGTAGTATTGCATAGAATAGAATCATGGAGTGGTCTATCAAATCACAGCGGTGCAAGGCAAAACAGCTATCTTATCACGCATTGTCAGTCATTCTGGCTGAGATCCTTCAAATCCAGCACAAATTCCCAATCGCAAAAAGAGAGGAAATGAGAGTTAAAACAAGGAGAAGCGAGGACGTGTCACCTTGCTCGCAAACAAAGAAACGACGCTTTCGTCTCCTCATCTCTCTCCAAAAAGTGAGCGGAACGCGATCAGCAACGCGCCTCACCGCCGAGTCATTCTGCCATAAAAACGTGACATCCCACCAGCCACCAGCCACATTAAAACTGCGCCACGGACACGTCATTGGGCAGCGGCACATGCATCTGCCCAGGAAGAGTAACAGCAGGTGAGAGATAGAAAACCTCCAATCCTGCACATCGCAGTCCATGACGCGGTCGATGCTGAATTCTCTCCAGATATGATTTGATCCTCCCTGTCCAGTTTTTTAGGATGCTCACTCGGCCACTTTACGGATGCTCCTTGCGCGGATTCCGACCATTCCCCACCGTTCCCTTCTGCCTGCAACGAGCTTCTCCGCAGCTGCGCAGCAGCACGAATGATTGCCACCGTTCACATGTGTTAGGCTGGGGTGATCTGCCCCGAGAGCCTCTTGAGAATTTCTTTCCTTAGGTTTACACCTGCTTCCATCATAAAATCGGATGGCTTCTCAAAAGTCCCAAGGGACTTCGAGTCCGTCTGCGTCGTCCATTTTCCTCCCTCTCGGACGTCGAGGCTCACGAAGCTCCATCTCAACCCAGGCAGAACAAGAAAACCTGAATGCAGCTCTTGACCAAATCCATACAGCGGCCTATAATTCAGACTCCCTTACCGTATTCAACGAGTTCACCAACCCACCCGCGCCGACATCTGCAACGGACGAGAAGAGTTTATCAGGCGAGCTTCAGGGTGGTCTTAGTGGGCTATATAGTCGATTTCGAACTTCGGTCGGTGGAGTGAGGGATATTGTGAGCGGCGTGGGGAAGTCATCTGATAAGGCTGCTGCTGAGAGCTCTGCGGTTAAGAACTCTACATCGGATCAGGCTGTGTCTAAATCAGGTTCTGAACCAACAGGCGCCGCCGCAGATTCGCAGCACTCACACCCAAACTCATCCCAAGGGTCTAGATTACATTCGCCAACACTTAGCTATTTTCAATCTAGCGGCGATGGCTCGAATCAGCTTGGTGTTGGAAAGGGATCCAAGATCTCCTCCAAAACTGCAAGCGTATCCTCTAAGGCTTCCGCCTCACCCTCGCCAGCCCTAAAATCCCCTATTGCACCCTTGCCTAAGGGCACAACCAGCTCCACAGCCGTGGATCCTGCAGTTACTGAACTTAATGTGAATGCCACCAAGGAGCCATCATACCATTCAAGCAACAACTCTATCAATCTTTCCACTCATAGCTTCCAGAATATCGAGTCTACAGGCGTGGATAAAGAAGAGGCTCCTCTTCCTACACCATTGAGTCAGAACTCCTCGGTATTGAGCCAACCGTTAACACATTCTCCCGGTCTATCAGCAAAGGCGTATAACAATCCATACAATGAAGCTCCTGCGCCATCGGATGCCAGCAGGTCTTCAGCAACAGGTGGCCAGCTACCCGAGAGCTCGACAAGGACAGGATCAGTAGACTGGCAGATGCACCACGAATTGGAAATGCCTTTATCTGGCCCGCTGTGGAAGCCCAGACATTCAGTAGATGGGGCACCAGATGGCACGCAATCACCTAAAGATAAAATTAGATCCAACTCTGCGGCCTCGTTCAACCCAGATGGACCCGTCGTTCCATTTTCGGCCACAAACAGCATTTCGCCATTGCCGAACAGTGGGGCGAATTCATTCCACGAAGGACAAACAGTATCTCCTCTTACAACCCCTGCAAACATTGGCGATGGAGATAGAAGAGGTAGTGAATCATCCAAGATCCAGGCCAAGAATAGGCCCAGGGAGTATCCGACGCCTTCTGGCACGAGTCGTGCCTCTGATAATGCGACATCTCGAGGCCTTAAACCTGAAACATCAACGAATTCGTCTGCTGTGACTCCACTGAATACAGTCGATCGCGTCTCTTACAACGATGTGCGGAACAGACGCCCACAGGCTGGTGGAGGCGAAAATGTTGTATCACATCTCACAAGTAAACTGCTCAGTAGGGACTTCTGGATGCGTGATGAAAATGCAAAAGATTGCTTTCATTGCGGAGAAACCTTCTCTACGTTTCGGCGAAAACATCACTGTCGGACTTGCGGCCAGATATTTGATTCCAAGTGCACCCTCCTGATCCCCGGAGATCGGTTTGGACAACCCAGCAATATACGCGTCTGCAAGCCCTGTGAGGCTATGATAAATGCACATGATGATGATTCGTCGGAATTCTCTGATAGTGAACAAAGCCCGATGGTACCCAATCCCCGTGTTTCCGAATTGGGCTTGAGCAACAATTCTCGTATGCCCGCCGACGATGACGACACTTCTTCAGTAATCTCTCAGTCAATCGATCATGTCATGAAAACACCAACAATGGCAATTCCAGCTACAAGACGTGCTGGTGAAGGTCATAACCGCCGCTCGGCAGTCCTGGAGATCAGCCCAGACCGACCGTTAGCGAGACCTACATCCTCAAGGTCACTTAAATCATCACTCAGTGGAAGACCTCATTCAATGGGCCATAAACGTCACCATTCACGTCAACAATATATTCGCAATTTCAAGCCTTTCCATGATGAGCGGGCCCCCTTCCAACGACGCCATGCGGAAGACATGGGCCCTGAATCTCGACTCCCTGCGTTTCACAAAGACAACATTATCGACCCAGATTTAGCACAGTATCTCTCTGATGATGCATCCAGCGGCGATGAGCAGCCAAACTTGCTATCTGTTGCTTCAGAAGGGTCGTTGTCCAAAAGTGGAGGTGACAACGAGAGAACAACATTTGGTGGGTTCCTTGCTGCCATGAAAAAGGGTCGATCAGCGTTTGGTGACCGGAATACTGGAAATTTCAGTCTTGGTCGAGAAGGGGATGAAGGTAGCATCACTAGCTCAAGGGCAGTGAATCTGCCTCGTCCTCGCCGACGTAACTTGAGTGTCGCCAGTAGCGTACACCAGCGCCATTCTCCACGAACATCAAAGGAGGGGATTTTTAATATACATGAGTCTCCAAATCCTGGGGCCTCTTTTCCTATAAGCGCGGCTTCACCAGGGTTTAAGATGACAAGAAGTTCGTCCATGAGAGGCGCCGGTGCTCCGCCAGTTGAGTTGAACAGGACTAGCTTGCAACATGTCCGTAAGCTTTTGCGGCAATTACTGAAGGATGAATCTATCCCTCATGTTCAAAGCTGGGAAACTGCGCTTCTGCCGATTCTCTTGAAAGTTGCGGATGAAGTTGACCCCGATGTCCAACGTGGCGATGATATGGATATTCGCCATTACATCAAACTCAAAAAGATTGTAGGTGGTCGGCCAGGAGATACATCCTACGTCTCAGGTTTGGTTTTCACAAAGAACCTCGCTCTTCGAAGCATGCCAAGGAGTATTTCACGCCCAAACATATTGATTATCGCATTTCCTCTCGAATACGCACGCCATCAACAACACTTCATGAGCCTGGAACCTGTCATTCGACAAGAACAAGAGTTCCTTGAGAATCTTGTGAGTCGAATAGCTGCCCTTCGGCCCAGTCTGCTTCTAGTTGAGAAGAATGTTTCCGGATTGGCCTTGGAACTGCTCGACAAGGCCAACATTGCGACAGCTTACAACGTAAAATCTTCGGTGCTTGAAGCTGTTTCGCGATGCACTCAAACAAGGATCATAACCTCCATGGACAAACTTGTGACTACTCCCATGAGCAGCGAGTGTGGCAGCTTTGATGTCAAAACTTATGTTTGCAACGGCCGTAAAAAGACGTACATGTACATTTCCGGTTGCCCCAAGGGGCTTGGATGTACAATCGTTCTACGTGGCGGTGATAATCATGTTCTAGGGAAGATCAAAAGTATCACCGAGTTTATGGTTTATGTTGTTTACAACCTTAAACTGGAAACCTGCTTGATGCGAGATGAATTTGCTCAAATACCAACTTCGCCTGACGAGAGTGCCAAAAAGGGTGCTAATGATCTGGCACAATCAAACACCTCCTCAATAATAAGCGACATGACCGGCTCCACAATGTCAAACTTACTGCAAGACTCGATGGGGAAGAAAGACGATGCTTCATCCATTGATAAGAAGATTACTGCCACTGGTGAAGTTACCGAAGTACCTGATGATGTTCCCATGCCGACATACTATGAAGATATGGTTCAAGACCATGAAACCAAAATATTATCTGCTTCTCCTTCTGTTAAATTCGAGCCTCCCCATCTACTCATGCGCGCGAGAGAAATGGAACGCAGGTTGGCATATTTGAAAAGACTACGGGACCAAGACCTTGGTTCTGATCAACAGGTAGATGAGAAATCCAAACCTCAGAAATTTGTGCTTATCACCCCTGAAATGGTTCACGAATCACCCCAGGGTGCTCCGCCCAAGGTCAAAGAGGTTTTGCGTGCGGCTCATGATGCTGAGTATGATAGAGCACTTCATCACTACCAGACCCAGAAACGCCAATGGGAAGCTTATGTATCTGGAAATGCCAACCTTTTCGACCCGTATGAGCATCAAAATATCGCCGTCCTTTTCAGTCTTGTTTGCACTACGACCTCGATACCATGCTCAGGTCCAGACCTCTTTGCTTTGGAGTACTACAACGAACATGGGGACGATGAATTTGAGCCGGATTGTACCGTTGGACAGTATGTGGAAGACCTTTGTCATAATAACAATGCTATCTGCACCGCAAATGGCTGTGAAAAAAGGATGTTCGAACATCACCGTCAATATGTCCATGGAGAAGCCCAAATCAGCGTCTTCATCCAGCCATACCCTTCCAAGGTTCGAGGTCTGCAGGATACCATTTTGATGTGGAGCTGCTGCAAAATATGTGGTAACGAAACGCAAGTCATTCCCATGTCTGACAGTACCTGGAGATATTCATTTGGTAAATATTTGGAACTTGCATTTTGGGGTAAAAACATGCATGCCCGGGCTGGAGTTTGCCCTCACGACCTACAACGTGACCATCTTCGCTACTTTGGCTTCAAGGACGTCGCCTTACGAATCCATTATGACGCCATTAATCTGCTCGAAATCATTGTCCCAAGAACACGAGTAACTTGGAAGGTCGACAACGACCTCAAACTTCGAAATGGCGTTTATCTGAGAACAGAACAGCGCTTGAGCAAATTCATGTCCTCTGTTAAAGCACGCTTGAAAGGAATAAACATTGAAAGCGTTGTTCCGGAACTGTCAGAGGATTGCAGAAAAGAGATTGAATTCTTGAACAAAAAGGCCAATGAGGACCATGCCGCTTTGATCAAGCAATTGCAAGACAAGTATACAAACTCTCGATATTGGGAGGTTATCCCATTGAACGAGGTGCTGCGTTCCGTTCAGGAAAAGGTGGTCGAGTGGGACACTGCATTCGCAGAGTTCGAGAAGAACTTTTTTCCTTCCGAAAAGGACATCAGGCGTCTAGCAACACTGCAGTTGAAGAAAATTTTCTTGGATAGAGATATCTCGAGTGCATCTCTTACACCAACTGAAGATTCCCAGGCGGCTCCAAGTGAGCCTGAAAGCGAGACAACGCAGGAGAAAGAACAGGTGCGGCCAATGCGTCGTATGACTCTCTCTCCAGAAAAGGCGCAGGATGTTCTTGTTTCTGTTGTTGAAGAGCACTCTGGCAAAAAGAACAGGGATCAAGTCGAGGAAATTGAACCACCTAAAGCAGAAGAGGTTGATTCATCGGCTTTATCCATCAGCCCCGAAGAAGGCAAATTATCTTCTTCTCCACAGGCCGAGGCCGTAGCACAAAAGGAAGTCCGACACCTTGATTTAGCAGTACCTTCCGGTCAACCTGAGCACCAGCCCCCGGAAGTGATTCCTCTTACGGAAGCTACGAACTCGTCGGGGCCTGTTCCCACACCTGTCGATCCCGTCAAGAAATCGGCAGAGTCTCCTCCCGATGACAAAGCAGGAAGTCCTGAACAGAGTCAGCCCCAGGGAATGGCTGAGGGTCCTGAAAGCCCTCAACCGACCACACCACCCCAACCTCGTTCATCTATTCCACGGCTCGCTGAAGCTGCTTTCCGGCGCAATGGAAAGACCAGGTCTCCGCCTTTGTTCCGTGCCCAATCTCAGCCCGCTCATCTCAAGAAGGAACGGAGTAATAGTGGAACCCCTCTGGCAGGACTGAAGATTGGAGCCGGAAACAATAACGGTTCTGGCGGTGTCGCCAACCCTCCTTTCGATTCAAAATTGAAGATCACGGAAAAACTCTCGGATCGCTTTAATTTGAGTGCTGCGCTCAAAGGTGGAAGGGGAGGCTCTTTGATTCCTCGCTCAGTTCCTGGTAAAAAGCTCAATTCACGCGTGTCTAACCTGGCGAAGCATTTCGAACAATTAAGCCGGGAGTTTGAAAAGGAACGTCAGCGTGAACGACGCCAGCGGGCTGCCAAGGGTACTCACTCTCGTGCATATCCACTGGCATCTTCAAAGCCCATTGTAGAGGTCTACAAGAATGTCAGGGAGGCGGTTGAGGAACGAGAACCTTCAGGTGAGAGTGAAGAGTTTCTGTCGTCGGCCTCACGGATTCCATTGAGTGAATCAAGGAGGGGGAGCGAAGAGCTTCCGAAGAGAGAATCGGAGGAAGAACCGAGGAAAGAGCCAGCTCCAGAGCAGCCAGTCGCTGAACCAACCGGAGCAGATGACCAAGCTCAAGCCGACAATCAGAACGCATCTGAAGGTGAGGCAGAGGATGGCCACAGCGACGAAGATCGGATTTCGTCAGACGGTCTTCAAAACCCAGACTTGCAGGACGACGTACCCAAGTTGTCGCCAGATGATGATTCTTTGCCAAAACACGAACAGAATACACTATTAAAGATGCTGACGAATTTCTGGTCGGAGCGCTCTGCTAGTGGATGGGCACCTCTTGACTACCCACTCGCCATGTCAGACCATGTCTTTGCGGACTGCGACATTATTGTTCGTGAAGATGAACCAAGCTCTTTGATAGCTTTTGCCTTAGACTCGGGCGACTATAAGGAGAAATTGGCAAGCATCCAGAGGCGCTATGAAGAGCTTGATGAACAAAATTCGGCACCTGTAAAGGATCTGGAAGCTCGGAATGAAACCCGTGTTGAACATGCCCTTCTGAGAGCCACAGGCACCCATCTCAAGTACCAGTTCCAGGAAGGGCAGGCCAAAATGCTTTGCAAAGTGTTTTACGCCGAGCAGTTTGATGCTCTACGGAAGAAATGCGGTGTTTCTGACCGGATCGTGGAGTCCCTATCCCGCTGCGCGAAATGGGATTCCAAGGGAGGCAAGACCAATTCCTTGTTCTTGAAGACGCTTGACAATCGGTTCATTCTGAAATCCCTTTCAACCATTGAAACCCAGGCATTCCTCAAGTTTGCGCCGGCTTATTTCCAAATCATGTCCGAGGCTCTTTTCCATGAGCTACCATCTGCAATCGCAAAAATGTTCGGCTTCTACCAGGTTATCATCAAGAACCCCGCCACAGGGGTAGAGTACAACTGGTTCTTGTTGTTGATGGAAAACCTATTCTATGACCGTGTTCCGACGCGTATCTTCGACCTGAAAGGATCCATGAGAAACCGCAAAGTACAGAGCACCGGGGAGCGCAACGAGGTGCTTTTGGATGAAAACATGGTGGATTTCATCTACGAGACACCGCTGTTCGCCAGGGAGCACTCGAAGAAGCTGCTCAGCCAGAGCGTATGGAACGACACACTCTTTTTGGGTAGACAGAATGTCATGGACTACTCGCTCATGATTGCGATTGATGAAAGCCGGTCTGAGCTGGTAGTAGGTGTCATCGACTGCATCCGCACGTACACCTGGGATAAGAAGCTGGAGTCATGGATCAAGGACCGGGGATTTGCAGGTGGCGGCAAGAATCGACCAACAGTTACCAGTCCCAAAGAGTACAAGGGTCGATTTAGAGAGGCAATGGCCCGATACGTTCTGCAGGCCCCGAGCTGCTGGCAACAGTCCCATGTGCCTCGATACCGCCAAGTTGAAAACCACCTGGCTCACGGAGCCAACACCGTTGATGCTGAAAGTGCCGATGGGCACGCTGAGTCTGGTTAATGAAAAAAAAAAAAAAAAAAATACTGCTGCTGATGATACGAATGATAATTTCATGAGCTCATGACACTACATACTTACAGACACCATACATACCTACAGCTTACAGACCTACAGTTATTACAAAAGGCGTTTATATTTTATAACATTGTACAACAGATTCTGTACATACCCTCGATCATTTCTGATATCCTTGACACTGTCTTTTTTACTCTTCATTCCTTTTCTTAACTGGCGGTTTTTTTATGTTTGCTGGCATTGTGTACTACCCTGCAGCATAGCCTTTTCTTGTAACATTGTGAAGCTTCAACCTGCTGCAAGATTCTTCATTGTCTGATTAAACTGCAACTCGTGGATATTTTTCCACAGCCAATGACGTACAGGTCTCCAACTGACTCGGATGGACATTGTCCGGAAGGGCCGAATAGTACCCGACTAGGCTACTGCGGCCATGAAGTTATTCAGATACTATCTTCGCCATTTACTCCATATCGTACTATGATGACACCCAATAGAAAACTAGATCAGCTCAAAAACTTCACCTCATCACTCTCTATAACCTCACCGAAATCAAAATACGCACATACGGCCGTACACAAACACACACACAAACCCCCTTCCGGTCCGGTCCACCGGAGATGCAGGACCGGGATATCGGCTGATTTCGGGACGCTCAACCCGTCGGACGGCAAAGTGTCTGCTTTTGCATCGGGAGTTTCCTTTTACCAGAGGGAAAAAAGAAAAAAGAAATTAAAAATTAGAAGAAAAAAGACCCCGCTATGAATTATCGATAAAACATACTTAATTTTCTAGATTTCTCTTTTTCTTTTTTCCCTTTTTTCCCTTTCGTTTAACACCTGATCGAGTGTTGATGCAGAAGAATGCATGGAGAGCCACATGCGTTTGCCTCGGTCTGCGCCTTTGGCGATTTACGTGATCAGTGATGGGCACTTTCCTATTTCCCCCGCATTGAGGGGTTTTCTTATCTTTTTCGCTCCTTCGTTCGTCTTTTTCTTTTTCTCTTTTGATATTTTTTTTCAACTCTTCTTTAAGAAACTGTTGTCTATTTGTTGGGAAGGATTTGAAATGACAAACTCTTGCTTTGGTGTCATGTCTCGCCGGCTATTCTATGGAGCCGGCTATATTGACATCCCAGCTCACTCTACTTAGTTGACTAACACAATACTAACAACATACTACCAACGCCCAGTTGAATATGAGACGGTATTGGATTCGTTCTCTTCATGTACAAAAGCAATTATTCTAGCTTTTTGAGGTTCCAAGGAAACCTCACTGACAGATGGCTGATTATCGTTTAAAAGGAAACAGATCATAACTCCAAAGCATCCCATCATGCAAGCAACACCATCCGAATCATAAAAAAGTCATCCCACCAACTCCACGTCGCTATCCTTTCGACACTGCCCCGAAAGCCACACCGGACTGACGAGCTGCCGCGATTGAGGGATAGCAAGGGAGTGCGAGCACCGGATTTGGTACGTCCGTGCCTCGACGGGAGCCTTTCTACATCGTCTTAGACACGCCCTTAACTTGAATATCCAAGGATAATGGTCGTTACTGCGCCCACCAAACTTGGCACGTTTCCGACACTTGGGTCAATTTACTCAACGAGGCCAAGGTTCTCCTCGGCAGGGACCACACGGACGGTGTTGGTGTGGCCCTGGCCACCGCGCCATCCCTGGACGCAGACAATGTTGTCGCCCTTGTTGATGATTCCGAGCTTGAGACCGTGGTTGATGGCCCACTTGAGGCGACGGTCAACGTCCTCCTGCCAGATCTTGACGTTGAAGTCGGGCTTGTTCTCGGGGAACAGGAAGGGCCAGACGCCACGGTACAGGTGGGAGTACTGTGGTTCTCTTGTCAGCATTGCACAGCCAATGGGCAGCGGATCGAACTTACTCTGGAGGCAGAGGGGTTACGGGTAACCATGAGGATGGGGCACACGGGGCGGTACTTGGAGAGCAGACGGGCGGTGAACCCACTGGTGGTCAAGACAACAATGGCACCGGCGTTGAGCTCGAGACTGGCGCTGACGGCAGCCATGGCGATAGACTCGACGGGGTCGGTGGGACGAGGAGCAAGGTTGCGCAGCTCATCGAAAACGTTGAAGTGAGGGAAGGAAACCTCAGCGAGCAGACAAGTGTCGTGCATCATCTGGACGGCCTCACAGGGGTAGTTACCCTTGGCGGTCTCTCCCGACAACATGACACAGTCAGCTCCATCGAGGACGGCGTTGGCGACATCAGAAACCTCGGCACGAGTGGGGCGAGGGTTGTATGTCATGGACTCGAGCATCTGGGTAGCACAGATGACGGGCTTGCCCTTGATGTTACACTTGGCGATCATCATCTTCTGGGCGATGAAGACCTTGGGGGCGGGGATCTCGATACCAAGGTCACCACGGGCAACCATGACACCGTCGGTCTCCTGGAGGATCTCGTCGAAGTTGTTGACACCCTGCTGGTTCTCGATCTTGGCAATGATCTGGATCTCCTTGCCCTCCTCGCCGAGGACCTCACGGATGTGACGGATATCGCTACCGCGACGGATGAAAGAAGCGAAGACCATGTCGACCTTGTTCTTAACACCGAACTTGAGGTCGCTGATATCCTTCTCGGAAAGAGCAGGAAGGTCGACGTCAGTGCCAGGCAGGTTGACACCCTTTCTGGAGGAAATGTTGCCATTGTTCAAGCACTTGACCTTGAGGGTCTGCTCATCAACAACCTCGATCACCTCAAACGACAGAATACCGTCATCGACATAGATGAGTTTGCCGGGAGCGATCACCTTGGTGATGTTCTTGTAGTCGAGGTACCTGCAGCAAGAAACATTGTTAGTTGATCGATATCGTGCTTGAAACAGCGTCACCCGCGCATCTACAGGCAACAGGCACTCGTTTCTACAACTGGGCAAGAGTTAAAACTCGAGGTACTGGGCCACTTACATGTTCTTGTCATCGCTGGCAGTGGCGTACTGCTCGTCGGTTGTGATGTTGAGGACGTGACCCTGCTTGATAGGGATATCCTGGTCGCCGGTGGTGTTTCCGGTACGGATCTCAGGTCCTTTCTACAACGGAGTCAGGTCGCGCCTTTGAAGCGAAGCAACTGTGGAGGGGTCAAACTTACAGTGTCAAGAGCAATGGCGAGGGGACGGCCGGTCTGGGCCTTCTCGGCCTCACGGGCATGGTCGATAACGGATTGGTGGTACTGGAAGATATCAGAGCCGTGTCCTGCGCAATGTCCGGATTGGGAAAACTGACCTCGTACGAGCCGTGGGAGAAGTTCATACGAACAACGTTGAGACCAGCTATCAAGTCCCATTAGCACGACAATTCATGAAGAACCAGTCTATTAGGCACGGATCCATCTTCATACCTCTGCGGAGTGCGTTAATCTTCTCGGACGAGTTTGTCTTGGGGCCTGGAGGGGGAAATGTAAGTCAGTACTGCTATGGCATGTATCGAGTATCGAAAGCAACAATGAACTCGAGAGCCAGTAAGACTATCAGAAGAGACATACCAATGGTGCCAATGATGGAGGTGCGACGATAGTTCTTCGCAGGAACCATCTCCGTGTTGAGCTTGGAGTGCCACTCCAGCTTCATACGGTTGCTAAGGTGGTCGAGAGAAGTGCTGGCGGCCATTTTGTCTGACTTTTCTTACTGTACTGATTGTAAAATGAAGAAGAAGGGAGATAATGGATTGAGAGGAGAGGATGAAGAAAGAAAAGGTGGGTGGTCGATGAGGAGAATAATAACAGAGGAGAGTTGGCGACCCGGTGAGTGAGAGAGGAGGGGCTTTTGTCGTGCGCGGGAGGGAAAATACTGTTGGCCGGCGGGATTCTTGGGACTATCTCCGGTGACCCCGTGGGAGGTCAAAAAAAAAGAAAACTACAGTAGTTGAGTTACATGGTTTCAAATAGACCAGCTGATCTTCAATTAATAGTAGTAGCTTTTATTAATTTATTTCCTATTTTCCTGCTGGGGCATGCATCTTAATTCTTCATCCAATGTTGAGTGCCAAAAGGCACTGAGTTTCAAGAGGAAAAAAAAAGTAGAAGAAAAACCTGTGCCTGGACCGCCACTACTGATAAGCGGTATCATATCCAGGCATATATGCATACATCTCAAGTAGCGTCAGGTCAAATGACGATAGTGACAGCTGGCGATGAGAATCCCATTACAAATATGAGGAGAGGACATGATCCATCACGATCCCAAAATGACAGTGCAGCCGATTCAGTCCCAAAAGGGTTTATCACCGCCCAGAGTCCCCCAAGCACCCCAACGCTCTTGGCCGACGGCCGGCCGCTTTGGCAATAAGTATTACAGCATGGATTTTATGCTGGTCAGCCGAGCCGCTGATTGGCTGGGATAACCAGGCAGAGAAAAAAGAAAAAAAGAACACCGGTGGAATGTTGATCCCAACCGGACGTTGACATGTCCGGAATGCGCTAGTCTGCCTGTAGTTAGGTGTGTTCCAGCCACCCCCAGCCACCCCGCGTGACTCTCCAGCCACACAGCTCAGCCTTACTGTGTTTGTTTGTCATGTGAAAGGCTCACAGGTCAGCTCATCACGTGAGATACCTTCCCCGATTCCCGCCGGAGACTTCTTCTACCATCCCATACGGGCTTCAGCTACCCATACATACGATCGTTGGCGATTACCTCACAGCATCGAATTCCTGAAATTCCCTCTGTTTGGCTCAAGTCAAGCTTCCTAAACGGGTTTTTTTATGCTTTTTTTCCCGTTCTTGTCCTTGCCCTTCATGATGGTATGATGCGTCGTTGTTTTTTCGGGGGTCGCATAGCTCGGGATCTGACTGATGATGATGAGTAGTTTGGCCGAATCACTCACTACGCTTTTGATGCCGTTCTCGGTATGTCCTTTTTTCTACCGCTTAACTTGCTTTTATGTCGCATCAGCTTTTCTAATAGTTTGTTCTTTCTAGTCTCTGCCTTTTTGGCGGGCGTTAAACGGTCCACTGGTCTCACGTAACTACGCCTTCCCTTTATATCCAACCCCACCATTTTCCATATATATATACATATGGCTCTACCTCGCTATATCAATAGATATACTAATCTTTTCGCCCTGCGCCTCCACCCGGAGGATCGCGTGGGGTACTTCACAGCCCCAGCCTCGACTCCGACAAAATCACCGATAACAAGGACTTCAAGAAATGGATCGATCAATACCTCGGTGTCGGCGAGTGGGTGATGGATCAGTCGGTTGCAGTGTTGGGATCTACGAGCTTCTTCGACCGGAGACGGTAAATCAACCAATCAGTCATTCAGTCATTCTGAGATAGATGGTTTGGGGGAAGAACGACGTCTTGTAAAGAAAGAAAAAAGAATTCGGAAAGAATGGATTGGGGACTGTGGTTCCAGTCTCGGTCACTGTATATGTGGCTTGTACTTTTTTTTTACAGCCAGTTGATGATGATATGACCTTTGCCTCTTCATTTTGTTTTCTTGTTCTTTGATCTTTGTGTTCTGCTTTGTGTGGTCTGAATTTTTTGTTGGGCTCGTGCTTGGACATTTATGTTACGGATACCTTGATTGCTGCTTTGCAATTATTATTTTATTCTATGCCGGTGCGTTCTGTAGTTGCGTTCGAGTCTCAATCACCACTCACCTTTAGTTGTTGTATATTTGATTGCATTGCAATGATCCAGTTGCTGTCGGTTCTGGTATATCTTACCTATTCTTGGGATGCGCTACGTCTCTTGATCGGCCCTGCATGGCAAGACCAGGGCTTGGGTTCATCAAATATATGAAAATGCAACTCCGTCTCTTCAGCGAGGGGACTGATAACACCCCACCGCCACCCATAAGCTATATCATCCATTCATTCAATCATTAAGTTCCGACGTCATCTCTCTTCATAAAATGAATAGTCCAATGCAAAACATGCGAAGATTAATGGGGACCAGTACCAGAACAGTTTGCAAAACGAAATTGTCGACGCCAGTAAAAAGGTGCAGTCAATATCAGCTCTGGAGGAGGGCGTCAATGTCAACACGGCGTAAATATGAAATATGGCCCATGGCTTCCCAGTAATGAGCCACACAGTCAGTTGATATGAGTATGAGCTGAGAATCTATAAAGGTGTCTGCAGAATTGGTCAGATCATTTTTCGCAGACTTGACCCTGACAAGGAGACTTACCATCTCTGAAACCAAGGCCTGCGACATGGCCTTGACTACGCACCATTCGTGCTCCCTGAAAGAGGGCTTCATCCGCCACACGAACAAGGCCACCTGGTCCAATATCCTGAGCGACAAAGGATATCTGACCACGGGGCACATTCGGATCCCCGGTGAGCTTAATCGCCTCTAGACTACCCCGCGGTACAACTTCTTCATCATCATTTTCAGACTCGCCAGCCTCGTGGGATTGGATTGAACCTGGTTCAGGGTCACGTTGCATGAAAAGCATAAATTCACAACCATGGGCCGAATAATCTCCGACCCATATGCCTTGGTAAGGCTTCTCCTTTGTTGGCGTATATAATTCTGGATCGAGAGTTGCATACGTAGACAACGCCTCTGTACCGTCCGCCATGAAGATAGGCATGCCCATCTGCGCCCATCGCCTGATCCGAAAAGCCGACTCGGACATCTGTGCGAGACTCCGGGGAGGCCTATCCAATTCCGACCTGCCGCCATCCACATCACGATAAACTCGATGGCGACTGGGAATCGTCAGAGGCGGCCACTGTTGCTCTGCGGTCAGGGCCAGGTCCGATGGCGTCTCGTTGGAACAGAACGAGAACGAATTGAACACATGCTGTGACTCTAGAGCCGCCATGGGCATGCGGGTTTCCCCATACACATATCGCAACCGATCCGGCGCCCCAGACGAGTTGTGGTTCTTCAAAAGCAGAACCGGGTCATCCAACCAGAGGCTGGCCTTGGGATGGAAGGTATTGATGATGACATCAGGATTCTGATCCCAGATTTGAAACTCATGGGATTGCCGTTCGGCAACGACACGATAAGCCTCGATGACGCCTCTCCGGTTATCGTACCGTGCCAGTATCAAATTGCCCGTATGTTCCGTATCAGAAAACCAGATCTTGTTCCGCGGAATGAACCAGTAGGGGTGGTGAGCAGCATAGAGAGAACGGAAAGAGTTGAATGGACCGGGGTCGTGGATTCTGAAGGGTAGGTGTGCGTTGACCAGGCTGGCCCACAGCAGATCGTTGGAACCGTGCTCGGCGAGGATGCGACATGTAGCCGACACCCGGGCGAGATCAAATGCGGAGAAATAAGAAAGGATTGCTTGGAGCAACTCTGGGGGAAGCTGCACGAGGAAGGATTCGGAAGTCCGAGGGGCCGTATCGATCTGGTGGGGTTGGTGATGCAGCGGATCGCTCGAGGTCTGGTATGGTGGTGATGAGCCCCCCTCGATAGGATGAAAGGATGGCAAGGCATTGCCGTTTGAATCAAGATCCATTATTTCAATAACGGCAGCAGACAACCTGCTCACAGGTTAAGACGTGGGGAATGTGATGGACACGAGGAGAGATGAGGGGATGGGTTGGCAACAAGAGGAGAGAACAGATGACATGACATCACCGCCAGACAGGCGAAAGCATTGGAGAGAATAACGACAGAAATGATACCGTCTTGGGCTTTTAGAGTCTTGAGATGATGCAGAGGAATAATAATGAATAGTTTGTCGAGTGTAGAAATGCTTGCTTGAAGTGGAGGGCTTGGAATGATGTGCGATCGGTGGTTTACGATAAGATAACAGTTACACAGTCCATATTATGATAATCTTGATGCACGGTAGAACAATAGCTAACAGTTCAAATGGGGTAATTATACGGGATAGATATGAGTTTATAAGTCAGATAAGATGGACTATTTGAATAAGAATGATTGACTTGTATATGAGGTTTTCATACTCCTGTATAATCGCCCCTCCATGATATCATGAACAATGAACAATAACAGTAGGGAGTAACTCGACCATAAATCTACTCGTATATTCTCATATTATAATATTTATATCCTTATATCATTTACATCTCATATTTACAAGTATAAAATATAAAATGCTTTCTTCCAGCCAGATCACCTGATAGGCATTGTTTACTTTTCCCGATCTGGCAATACGCGTCGAATGGAGGCATCAATCAAGGAGGTGTTGCTGCCTGTGATCAGTCACGAAGAATCCAATCCTCATTTCGTTGGGCTCCAGGAGTCATTGATAAATTGATTCTGCTGCAAGGATCTTTCGGATAATCTGCGCTTTGTTTTTCGACTTCTTGACTAGTCCAAGCTGTCGGCCTGTCAGGAGTCATAACAATAATATATTGCCACTTGTACGCGTTGTTTGTTTTGCTACTCCTCTAGCCCACCAACTTTGTTTATGCTTATTTCACCGTTCTATGCTCATCAGATCTATCTTATTATTGTTGATCATTCATCATTATTAGGTGCATTACATATTGCACCTCCAAACTATCACGATGGAGTTGAGAGGAACTCGAAGGAGTAAGAGACTCAGCTCTATATCCACTTCCAGTCCCCAGCCTCCTTCTCCAGCCTTGCGCAAAAGAAAGGAGCAATCATCCGATCAGACTTCTCGCACTCCTCCAAAGAAAAAGGTCCGATTCTCGGATCCGGGGCCTCGATTGCAGAATGATCCCAACTGCTCGACTACAGGTCTGACTCCTGCTTTGGTCCGCACATCGTTTGAGGAATCAGATGCTGCACAGGCAGATTCCGTGACTCAGACTCCCACTCGTCGTTCGCGGCGAAGACGTTCAACCCCTCTGCCTCGATCTCGCCGTTCGCGCGAGCCCTCGCTCCCCTTTATCGAGGGCTCAGCGGACCGAGTGGTGCAGTTCACCCCATTGCGGCAGATTTTGGATCCACGGGCCCAGCGAAGAATTTGTCGAACAGGCCTCAGTGATGAGATTAATCACATTCAACGCGAGAAGCGGCAGGCGGCCCACTATGAAAAGTCGCTGCAGTCTCTGCTGCAGGAGAGAGATGCACTGAGGCACGAGCTCGAAGCGGCAAAGAGAGACAATGACGGTAGCGAAGTCAGCACCATCCGGGACGAAGAATTACTGTCACCACCAGCTAGCTTCGAACAGCTAGAGTTCGAAAACAATATACTCAAAGAACAAATTTCGTCTAAGAATGGAAACCCAGATGACCATTCTAGCATTGCTAGTAACGGGGACGGAGACACCATGATTCTTAATGACAGCACTTTTGAGGGTGACACATTTCTCGTCTCTGACTCCCCAGATATTCGAGGCATAAAGGATGGCCAGCATCCAGTAGCAGACGATCTGTCGGTCTTGAGCTGCGGAAACTCCACCGATGCTTCTATCCAAGCGCAGCTGCCAGATATCATCCACGATACCGAGATAAATGCCCTTTCCCGCGATTTAGAAGCCGCAAGAAAGGAGAAGTTGGATCTATTTGACGCCTGTCGCACTCGCATCCCCTTCTCCGCTCTTGAAGGCGCCGCAATCAGCAACAGTCTCCGTCAGCTGTCGCCGCCGCCTGATTTTCTGGAACAGGTTTTTACCACCCTAACTGCTGCTCTCGCCCGGGCTTCAGATGCTACTAGTGCGCTGGATTCGGTTCGACAGGAGCTGTCCACTTTGGGCTTTCCTGGTAGCAACGTGGACGATATTGTGTCTGAGATGCGTACTCGCTTCCGCTCAGCACGCCTTGAGCTAGAGCGTGTAGTTCCGGGAGAGACCGCAGACGTGAGTTTGAATGACGGAAATGCCACACTCAGCGCATTGGTGAAGCGAGTGGATCTGCTCGTTCAGAATTTGGATGAAGAACGGGGTCTCCATGACAGTTCGCTTGGTCGTGAAAAAGCCTTGAAGGACCAGTTCGACAACTTGCTAGCTCGGTACGAGGCTGCATCGAAAAAGATTCACGATTTGGAGGATAGCATCACATCATCTGCGGGTGATATGCTACACACTAGAATGCGCATGCAGGACATGGAGCGTGAAGGAAAGGAACAGGCTGTGGGAATTGAAAGGCTGAATGCAGCACTCTTCAAGTATCGTGAGGAGGTCAAGAGCTTAGAAAACCTCGTAACTGGTTTGGAAGAGGACAAGACCACATGCAAAGAGACATACTGCCAGAAAGTCTCGGAACTGGAGGGCAAGGTTGCTGATGAGGAAAAGGCACGCCGCTTTGCTGAGACAAGCGTCACGGAGCATGAAACACGCATTCGTGAATTGGAGCAAACGGTCGAGCAGAATCGCATCCGCGCTGGTGACTTGACTGCCCAAATGGAGTCGCTCGAAAAAGAACGTCAGAGAGTCGTGGAAGGCTTGGAGCAGGATGCCGCGCAGCAGCTTCAACACTACGAGCATGAGATTGGGTCGATGAATGTCCAAGTCTCAGAGCTCACCACGTCGCTTGTGGATGCGAAGTCGGAGGCGGAGAGGCTCCGTCTCAGCAATGCTGGATTGGAGGAACAGCTGCAACTCGAAATCGAGGCGAGAGACAATCTCCTAGACAGATGGTCTGAGGAACAAATGCGTTCTTTTGCCTTCATGAAGGAAACCGTCAACGCTGAGCGTCGAAAGGCCAAGGTTCGCACAGCAAATTGGGAGATGAAATCAGGCGATCCTCAATCAGATAACGGGAATCTGGGAAGCGAGCCCATCACCCCGGTCAGCATGACGAGATTTGTAGATGTCGGGGTTGGCAGGGGAAAGCAACGAAAACGATTAGACAGTGGGATTGGAATTCTCACAAGCGACGGGCCTCTGGAAGATGATGAGGGCAACCAGACCACCACTTCAGACATTCTGTTGCCATCAGATCCCGTCAATCTTTGATTTCTTGTTGGATGCTATCGTGTCTATTTCTATTTTGTATTATATCTGGCTGGTACTGGCTTTTCATTTCTTGGGTGGCTCGGGCTGGATCTTGCTTAGGGATAGTCTTTCTGCTGATATTGCTGATATTTTCCTGTCTATTATATCTGATGTTGTACAATATATTGCTATTCAATAGTTAGTTTTGAAAATAAAATGATCACCTAAATAGTCTTTGAAGATCCTTCAAGCGGTTCTATATGATCTCAGCGTCCGCATGTTGCTATGACGTCGATAGGTGTAAGAACCAAACTCATATCTAAGATGCCCACGATCAAGAGGCAATTCAATTAATTCAGATTTTTATTAAATTCAATTATATTCGAATAAAATATTTTCCTGTTACATATTAATCGCCAGTTCGTGAGATATATAACGAGTCGAAAGAATTCTACTCTAACAAATTGATAAATCAACGCTTCATACCCAAACCAGATCGACTAAATGCATCATCCCGGCACCAAATATTGATTAAAGGTCACAGCAGGCACAGACTATAATCCAGAAACACATCAAAGTGTCCCAGTCAATGCCAACCAGACTATCCGAATCGAAAACGAACATGCAACAGTGAGTCTTTGTGTTCGAATCCAGAATTATACAGGTATGCTCTTCTTCCACCTTATATCCTTTCTAACGATATATAAAGGCTACCCTGACAACTCCCCACCCACACACCCCTACTTCTCTCACCCCCTCCACGAACAAGATCAATACTCCATCGCCTTCTCCATCATCTTCAAACACCCCGTCAACGGCAACGACCTCCTCTTCGGAAACGACTTTGACCGTCCCCTCCGCAACCGTCTTCCCCCAGGCTTCAACACCGCCCTACGGTTCGTGAAATGGGCCATCGACCCCGCCATCGACGGCGACGCCTACGCTGATAAACCCTACCTTTTCAGCCCGGCGCTGGCGACCGTCAACCAGTTCCGGGTTGGCGAGAGGATGCAAAAGGCGGATCAGGTCCCCACGTTGCATGATGCGGTTATCGAGGAAGGAGGGGATGGGTCTGGGGTTGGTGTGAGGGAGGCCGGTGGGGTCCCTGATAGTGTTGATGCGAGGAGGAAGTATTTTCTCGATGACGAGGCTAGAAAGGGATTTGAGTTTGAGGCCGGGAGGGTTTATTCGGCGGATTTCGGGAATCCGTATTTGGATTTTAATGGTATTTCTCCCTTTGTTTGTTCCTTCTTGGTGGCTTGTTTGGGATATACTGACTGCATAGGAAGATTTCTCTATTCGGCTTCCTGGTATCACTAGTATTCATGTTATCCGATATATTGATGTGAAGGATCACCACCATCTGAGATATGTGCTGAAAGACAGGAATACGAATCAGGTGTATCTTGTTGTGCTTTTTACGCTGGTCCGGCTGGGTACGGAGGATGAACCGGTACACAAAGAGCGCATTGCAAATGATATCCATCAGATTCAAGAGCGAAATGACCAAAACGAAGGGAAACTCGGTACTTTGGAATGGGATCCTGAACAATCGGCCAGTGATGTTGATTGATATAGATCGAGGTTAGAGTTAGATGGAGCTGGTCAGATAGGTATAATAATTTTGCACTTGATAAACGTAATATACTCCTATACACAGGTCATTTTGCCAAGTCCTACATCTGGACTGTTTACAATCTCTTCAGAACATCGTTGAGAACCTCGTCGGTAGAGGCCTTTCCACCCATGTCGGGAGAAAGGTACTTGCCGGCGTCCAGGTTGCCATCGACGGCAGCGTAGATCTTGGCAGCAGCGGTCTCCTCACCCAAGAACTCCAGCATCAGGGCAACACTGCGCAGGGTGGCAATGGGGTTGGCAATTCCGCGGCCCTCAATGTCGGGGGCACTTCCGTGGCAGGGCTCACCGATGGCGAAACCGTCACCGACGTTGGCACTGGGGACCAGACCCAAGCTACCAACGAGAGCAGCGGCACCGTCGGACAGGATGTCACCGTACAGGTTGGGGGCAACAATGACATCGTAGTACTCGGGCTGACGGAAGAGCTTGTAGACCATGGAGTCGACAATCTGCTCCTCAACCTCGACGGAAGAGAAACGCTCAGCGGCAAGAGCCTTGCGGGCAGTCTCACGGAAGAGACCGTCGGTCTGCGAGAGGACGTTGGACTTGTGGGTGATGGTCACCATGGCCTTGGAGCGGCCAGCGGCAGACACATCGCGGATCTTCTGGCGACGAAGCGCAATCTCACCAGCAATGGTGGAGATGCGTGACGAGGCGTTCTCGGAGATACGCTTGATAGCCTCGGCAACCTTGCCGTTGGGGGTCTCCTTGGTCTGCTCCTCCTTGACGTACAGGTCCTCGGTGTTCTCACGGACGATGACCAAGTCAATGGGGTCGCGACCACCACCGACGGTAGTCTTGACGGGACGCACGTTTGCGTAAAGGTCCAGCTTCTTGCGGAGAGCGACAATGGGGGAGGAGTAACCGGCGACCTTGGTGCTGGGGGAGCTATAGGAGAGAATAGTCAGAAATATGCCATGAAAGGGGACCGCAGGGAATTGTTGTTAGTACCTGACGGCTCCGAACAGAGCACCGTCACATTCCTTCTTCAGAATGTCCACGGTCTTGTCGGGCAGAGCAGTACCGGTGGCCTTGAAGGTGTCGTAACCGGCATCAAGGTCGACAAAGTTGAACTTGAGGTTCAAAGAAGAGGGAAGAGACTCCAGAACCCGTCTTCCGGCCTAATTATATCCATACAATCAGTTTTCATGACTTCGGAGACCATTCGGTTGTGTCATACCGGGATGACCTCCCGTCCGATACCATCACCGGGGATGAGACCTATACAACAAAAACAATCAGTCAAAATTGCCAAATAGGCAATCAAGGAGTCAAAGGGATATCAATTGACCTATGCGAAGTGTTCTAGCAGCAGCCATTGCGACTCCTTTTTTACTGTCTGTCGTCTCTTGTTCTAAGAAACCTCCGAGCACCCGCAATCGGAGCGAAATCGCTCACACTTTTGTATGCGGCATGGGAAGAATATTGATCCGCTGCAGTACGGGACAACAGCAGCAACAAGATGAATTGCCATTGAGAATGAGGATAATTGCGATGAGATGGTTTAGATGTTTGATATTGTTGGGGCCTAGTATTATGGGGATATCTTAGACTGGTGGGTATGCTCGCTCTGGCATCAACACCAGTATGCATGCACTAAACTGCAAGGGATATATTGTGATGAATCGACGATAGTCTAACGGTTACCCCTGGAGTTCCTGTGTCTTAATAAAGGATCCCTTTCATGATCGACACTTGTATAGGACTGCCTTTATTGAAGTTGCTATCAAAGGGTTGGAATGCTGGATCTCAGCGCCGTTATATCGTCATTCGTCATGTCTCGATTGACAGCTGCCATTTACTTCTGTCAGGAGGATATAGCGGAGCAGGTACGGAGACTAAAGCAAAGGAAATTATGCATGTACCCCTGGGACATTACGATCAGATACTGATTAGAGCAGAGTGAGGTCAGGCAAAGAGGGATCAACGGATACCGTACATCTGGCCTTTTCGATCATGGGGGCGACATGGTAATTAATAGTCCTCTCCATAGTCCAGCTAGCTGGTTTCCAGAACAATTCGCTTCATGAAACTAGGCAATAATAATAGAGCATTAAACAGCCCTAGCGTCGCAGCCGTGGAGTTCCTGGGAAATAACCACACTGGGAGTGTCAAATAATCAAGATGAAGCCGCGGATCCGACCCCTGAAACCCTTGGCTGCCTGAGGCCATCGGCGGTTGTCTTGCCCGCAATCCAATAGTCCAACGCCCTCTTTCCTCCTCTCCTCTCTCTCTTCTCTTCTTCTTTCTTGTTCAGCAGGATTATCACGTTGATTCAATTGTTCCCATGATGATTCTTCTTTCCACAAAGCCTTCTTTGCCTCTGTAGCATTGGTCTCTGCACCGTGGTCTCACCCCTCGTTCAATTCAGTACAACAACACCAACCACCAGTCAACAATCCCACTCATCGCCCCCATCCATCCGCGGTTCTTGGGTCTGTTTATATCACGTCACCCAAGCCCCCCCAGAAAGCGCGTCCAACTCAGCAGTCTGCCTATCTATATTGCACCGCCCAGTTGATCAAGTTATATCTCCTCCCAGCGACAGTTCGATACAATTTTCCTACACTCGTTTGATCTCTCAAAGTTCGCTCTTCGCCGATCGTCCGGTTGCGTTTTAAAGATCCATGTCCCCTCACCCCTGATACACCGCGCCCTGGACTTTTATCCCAATCAGTAGCCATGGCAGACACTGGTCACCCAGGCGTACGGAGCCTGCTGGCCAAGTTCGAAAACAACAAGAATAACACCACCTCTCCACCTTCCCGTGGTCGATCTCCCGTCGGTTCGGATAATTCGGGTTCTGGAAGGCCACTCTCCAAGGTTCGCGCAAGTTTCGTCGCAGTTGACAGAGCATCTCAAAGCCCTGTCGCAACGTTTAGAAATGCGAGTGGTCAGAGTGACAGCCCCGCACCTCCGTCGAGAGTGAGAAGTTTCAACTCCGAAGATCTGGATGGAGGCCCAAAAAGCCCTGCATCGTCTTCCCCGCCAAGCAACGACCAGGCACCTGCGCAGAAGACGACAGAAGCGCAGCCAACGAGCAATGACACTCCAAAGGAAACATCGGAAACCGTGTCGGCGCAAAATGACACAACCAAAGAAAACGCAAAGCCCAGTGCGCAGTCACCGCCCGAGGCATCTCCTGCCAAGAAAGGGGTCGCATCCAAGAACTCTTCACCCCAGAAACTGGCTCCAGCATCCAAGACGGTGACCAAGCGACCGTCGAACATCAATGTCACCAAGAACAATACCGCAGCCAAGCCAGCATCCAGGTCGCCGCCCCACTCACGTACGCCAAATTCGCCGTCGAAGCCTGCCAATGATCGGACCTCCAAACCGACACGCCCAACCAGGCCAGTTGCAACAAAGGAGCCTGCCAAAGAGCCTGCCAAAGTCGCAGCCCACAGGCCGAGTCGGACAGGGTTGAACACGGCAGCTAAGACGGCATCAAGACCCTCCCGCTCCTCGACGCCTGCGCGTGACACCCCAAAACCCGCCTCCAGCACTTCATCTAACACCAGGTCTGCTCGCCTTCCGACTTCCTCGACTGCCCCGAACCTGTCATCTGCGGCAAGGGGGGGAACAACCTCTAGTCTTTCTCGGAAGCCTTCCACCTTGAAGTCTGCAACCAATGGAAGTCACAACCGCGCAACCACTCCTACCACTACAAACGTTCGCAAGCAAGCAACCCGCCCTTCGCCCCCCAAGGAGCGTCCCAGCTCTCGTATCAGCAATGGAAGTTCCAAGCCTGTGGACGAGGGATTCCTCGCAAGAATGATGCGCCCCACTGCCAGTTCCGCAAGCAAGGCGCATGAAAAGGTCGAAGTAAAGAGTCCTCCAAGGACCAAGACGGTTCGGGCGCCTCGTAAGGTTGCTTCGAAGGTTGACGTCCGTGGATCGCGCCCTATCAAAGAAAATGATGCAGCCGAAAAGACGCAGGAAATCAAACCACAGCAAATCGCGGAGGAAACAAAGCCTGAAGAAGAACCAACAGTCGCCCAGCCGGCTGACGAGACGAAGGAGAGCTCCGTTGAGTCTGTACAGGAACTGCCTCAAACTATCGTCGAAGAACCTGTGGAGTCTGCCGAAACTGTTGAGCAGCCCAGTGAAGCCCCAGTGGAGGCCTTTGCAGCACTCCAGGTTGAGGAATCTGCCGAGCAGCCTGCGGAGGCGTCTGCAGAGCAAGCCACTGATGCAGTTCCATCTGCTCAAGAGCCAACCACTTCCGTTGAACCAGCTGTGACTGAAACAGCCGAGCCCCAGGAAACCACTGCTGAGGTCACATCGACTGAAGCTGCAGTTGAGGCCCCAGTCGAGAAGTCTCTTGTCGACATCGCTGAAGCCGCTGTCCTCGAAACAGAATCTAAGCCGAATGACGAGAATGTTGACGCCGAAAAAGAGGCGCTCAACTAAAAAAAATGAATAAGGCAATATCAGTTTTGATAATTTGGAGAATCTCTGGAGCTTTCTCTTTTTTCTATTTCCATTCTCAGTTTCCCTTCTTTCCATCATCTTTATACCCTTCATGATCGTGACTTGGTCCGGTTATCTTCTTTCTCTTCGTGAGTTTCTCTTCTTCAGGATATTTTGGTCCAATTTGGGAAACCAATATGTCCTTCCATTTGAACCTGCCGACTACTTGGTTGGTCGGAGCATTTATGCATGTATCTGTGTGGAGTTGTGATCTTTAGCGACGTGGACTTTGCATATGTATTGAATTAAGCATTTTGTGCCTTTTTTATTCTCTTCTATTCTTCATTGTCATTTTTCATCTTTTCATTATTTTTCTTTCGATCTTTTAGCTTGATTTAATTCTTGTCATTATTTTTATCTTATTTATTTTATCCAAAAAAAAAAAAAACCTTGGCCTTTTGATATGATGCTGAACGGTCTATTCATGAAGCTGTCAAGGTTTGTTGCAAGTTATTTCGGATTTGTCTTTCATGTACTGGAATGGGGCTGTTCTACTTGGTACTCTAGTTTAGGCATTCTATGAGGTTTTGCAAAGCGAAAACCCCCGTTTAGGAATCAACGAGCAGATGCATATCATTTATATCAACCAGAAAACTGTAATCTTGATTGGGTATCCTCATTGATCATTCTTAACTAAACGGAATTCATCGGTTCTATATAAACATTAAATCCGGGAACCGAATACCGATTGGAACAAAAAATATAGCAACTGCACACACTCCCAAGCAGTTTGAATTACAGCTTCTTTTCAAGCTTCTTCAGGAACCTGTTGACGCTGCTTTCCATTCGATGAGCACCGTCTTCAAGTTTCCGTGGGCGCTGCCCGGGGTTCTTCATCGCTTGTTGCGAGTACTTCTGGGAGTGCGAGTTGGCCTCTGCCTCGGTGGGTCGGTATAATTGGGAATGGATGTCATATTCGTTAACGGATGGGTGGCGCTTTGGGGCCTGGTCGTAGGAGTAGTTTGAATAGCCACCGATTGGGATTTGGGGGGCAGTCTGCTGGATCTGCTGGACCTGCGGAACTTGCTGAACCTGTGGCACTTGCTGAACCTGTGGCACTTGCTGGACCTGCGGGATTTGCTGAATCTGTGGGATTTGCTGGACTTGCTGGACCTGCGGCGGCGTACCATACAAAGACGATCCATAGAGATGGGCGTTGGGGTCCTGAGGAGGTGGTGCGAAGGACATGGCCCCCGGTTGTTGGAATTGTTGCCCGCCACCGGGAAGGAATGTCGGCGAGTAGGGTGTGACACTAGGCGGGCTCTGGACGGAAGAGCGGGATGAAAACGATCCCGAGTGTGTCAACCCGGCACTAGGTGGTGGCGATGCATAGCTTCCTGGGACAGAGTATGCCTGGCTTGGAGGAGGTGCGAAGCTTGGTGCTCCTGTCATCTGTGAAGGGGGAGTATATGGAACCCCATGGTCTGCTGCTACTGCCGCTGCAAGACCTGTTCCGTCCGCACCGTCTACGGGAGGCGGGGTCTTCTCGCGATGCTGAATCGGTTCGGGGGCTGCAGGTGCTGCAGGGTTGTACGGGAGCGGTGCAAACTGCGCAGGTTCTTTCTGCTCCTCAGCAGGTGGTTGGCTTGCAGCTGGCGTCTCCTGGGCATTTGTGGGAAGAACCCCCATTGGAGGGGGAGGGAGGAATGAGCTTGTCCCTGTAACACCCTGAGGATTGCTTGCTGGATTGGAGACGGTTTCGGATCGCGAGTTGCGAGTCTGTCCATTCTGGTACGCAGGGTCTGTGACAGCTACGTTCTCGAGTTGCTGGACGACAGTACTCATGCGATGGTCCGATTGGGATGGGAAAGGATGCCGGTCCGTCTCAACCTGTGTGCCGGGCAAAAAACTTTCCATCAAGTCCATATATTGATTGGCATCATCCAGAGTCCAGAAGTAGATGTCCAATGTATGTAGACGTAGAAGATCACCACTATCGTCACGGGGATCATGGCTAGGCAACCGCCATTCATAGATATCGGCGCTTGGCGGCGGGGGAAAGCTCTGCGGTGTGGCATTCTGTCCGTCGACTGTCAACGTACACAGGGTCGGAAATCCACTTGAATGCCGCAGATGGACCTGGTCCAGCGCTGGTGATATTCAGTCAGCTGCGTAACGCCTTTCATGATGGTGTATGAACCAACCTCCATTGAATGCATCCTGGTCAGGGGTCCCGGGATTATTTGCGATTTCAATTCTTGTTTTATGTTGGGCGGCGTTGTGGTAGACATAGAGATAGGAGCCTTTATCAAACCGATGACGGAGTGGTCTTGGAGTCGGTTCTGTGAAATAATAATGGATATCGGCGAAGCTATGGAGTGATCCAAATCAGACCAGACCATCTATCATGTGGATATGCATTGCTGGGGAATTATTCTGCGGGGTAAGAACATTCGACTCACACTGTCAGCAAACGCTCTTCACCAGGTAGTGGAGGCATGATGCGGGGGTTGCGATGTATGTAGAGAGGGAAGTATGAGAAAGGGAATAATGAGGATTTGGGGGAGTTGGACGATATATAGAGCCCTATGAATGCAGTCGATGGGGATGAGCAACGTACCTGAGGATCTTACTGGACATGTGAAATGCAGTCTCCAGACGCCGGCGGCTACGAGGGCGCTTCGAGATGCATCCTGATTCCTGGATGGTGTGGAGTGGTGTTGCGCTGGCGGCCTGGTTTATCAGGCATCAACACGGGCGCATGGTTTCTCCGAAAATTTCTCAGAGTTTCCCGGCATCATCTGGAGACCCTCTGCAGCCAGCGCCGCATTATTGCTCCGTGGTATCCCAATTGCTGGAGACTACGTCTTTTTAATTGTACGTGAATCATCGCACCCTCCTTTATTCTGCAGGGATTTGCTAATATTCCTCCCATCTATCAGCTTGAAGCGTTCGTTGTTTACCCGAGTCTCGCGGAGACAACTTTCTCTTCCGCACCTTTGATCAACCCCCAGGGCCGCCCATAAGGCCGATTGTTTTCTCGATTCACGACTCAAAATGTCTCTCGTCAACCTCGCCCACGTCTGTTCGCATTTGAACAATGCGACCAAGGCCCGTCTCGGTCTCACGTCGATTCCCAACACCAAAATGCACTTGAAGCTATGCCTCGCGCTCCAGAACTCCGGTTTCATCTCCTCCGTCGTCCGTGGAGGCCAGGCTCCTCCTCCGCCACACCTGCTTTTGAACCACCCGGCTGTCAACGATGAGATTGAGGGTGTGGAAGAATTGACCCAGAGCAACGTTGCTTCGAGACGACTCTGGCTTGGACTGAAGTATTGGCAAAGCGACCCGGTGTTAGGCAAGATGAGCATGGTCAGCAAACCCAAGCGAAGAATCAACATCGACGTTGCTGGACTTCGTGAAGTCGTTCGTGGGGAAAAGAGCCAATACGTGGAAGGGCTGCGGTCACCCGGCGAGAGTCTCTATCTGTCCACAGATCGGGGGATCATGGAGGCGCGAGAGGCGGTCGAGAAGAAGGTGGGAGGATTGGTCCTTTGCCGGGTTAACTAGGGGAGAATTCTGAGAAAGGGATTTGCGTGTGTATCTGTTTTGCATTTCATTCGGAGTTCGGTCAGTCGCAACGTCTCCCATGACTTTTATTATCGATTTTTCTTGGGACGTTGAGATGGATACCTACCTTGGTCCAGGGTTCTGTATAGTAACGTTGTGAGTCGCTTTTTTATGTACTATTCATTTTCTTTCCTCCATTATCTTTACCTAAACTTTGGAAAGAATGTCTGCCCTATGTATAGATACAAAATTATATTCTGATTAAAGCAAATCAGCCATTTGATAGACGTTTTTGCTCTTACCGAATATTTGCGTCGTCGGAGAGGATGTCTTTTCCCTGTCGCTGCTATTAGCTAGACTGGTTGACTCGCGAACATCGAGCGAATGCCTCTTCACTGCGCGACTTGTCACCAACAAAACCATTTCTCACAACTCATATTCACACCTGGTCATTTTCACAACCAGTTATCCTCTTATTTTTGTTGACATTAGTGTCCTGTTTGTTACACTCAGGCTGGTGATCCCTGACTATTAGCAAGCCACCAAGGGGGAAGTGGCTGTCTTGTCTGCAGGGAAGAAAACCCCCTGGTAAGCCCTTCTTCGCCTTTAAAATGACAATAGAAACCAAGGCCCTGAAAAGTGTCCTTATATCAGGAGGCACTGGCTTCGTGGGTGCAGCAATTGCGAGAGCAATCGCAGAGAAATACCCCAAGTGTAGCATCACCGTCATTGACTTGAACTCTCCTGGCCCGATACACATTCTACCAAACGGTGTCGCTTTTATCCAAGCTGACATTACTTTGATAGACGATGTCAGCAAGATCATTCAAGAGGTTAAGCCAGAAATCGTCATCCACACTGCGGGGATTGTTCCGCCCCTCAGTGAGCGATTTGGAAGGAGGCTGGAGCAACATGTGCGGACGACCAACATCGAGGGGACGAGAAATATGCTGGAGGCATCCAAACTAGCTGGAGTGGAGGGATTCATCTACACGAGCTCATGCTGCGTTGTGACGGATGATATGCGCATGCCATATAGAAATATTGATGAACAGTGGCCGACATCACACTCGTCATCCCTCATCTATGGGGAGTCTAAGGTCATTTTACATTCATTCACGCAGAGTATTGACCGAATTAACGTTATGATTGTTTAGGCCGCTGCAGAGGCCATAGTTCTGGAAGCATCAAGCAGCACAATGGCAACCTGCTCTCTCCGACCTTCGGTACTCTGCGGCCCTGGGGACTGTCAATTAGTCCCAGCCATTCACGCATGCATAGCCAGAGGCGAGACCCCTTTCATCATCGGTGATGGGCTCAACTTATGGGACGTCACATACGTAACCAACGTCGCAGATGCTCATGTGCTAGCGGCAGAGAACCTGGTATCCTCCAAGACCGCAGCGGGAGAGGCCTTCTTCATCCAGAACAACGAGCCCATCACATTCAGGGACTTCTGCCTGGCGATTTGGGCGCACTTTGGGCACAATCCACCGTTTGAGATCCACATCCCCAGGGGGGTGGCGTCTTTTGCCGGGTTCGTATCTGAATGCTTGACATGGGTGACTGGTACGCCCAGAGCGCTGAGTCGCGGCAGCGTCGGTGATGCGTGCTCCGTACGATATGCTAGCGGGGAAAAGGCAAGACGGATTCTTGGGTATGAGGCGCGTGTTGGAATGGAAGATGCTGTCCGACTAAGTTGTGAGGTACGTCAACCGACTAAGATGCTCTCTTTCGTTTCGAGCTTTGATATTCACTCTGAGACAAGGATCTTGCTAGTCGTATTGGGATCGAACTACCTACCCAATTGAAGACAAAGAAAGAAGAATGATTGGCCTTCGATTATAGTCGAATGCTCTCAACAAAGTGAGACAACGCGGGCCATCACCTTAGCAGCAAGAATGCGTCTCATTTTACGCAGTAATACGAATCGAAATTATCTGGGGGCAACTCGATTCTGAATACTTAGGGGTTATAATGAAAGCTACGCTCTGAGTTGGGCTTAGATAAAAGCGTGACACTTTCGTTGGGATCTTCTCTGGCTGCACGTTGCCATCTGAAACTTTAGGGATTGAGTAGGGTAAAATCAAACTGGTTTCAATACAATTACCAGGTGGCAATTTCCTATATCCGAAATGCTAGGTTGATTATAGGTAGAGTAATGGATAACCATAAATGAAAAATGAAGATAGGTGCAACTAGAGATGATATCAATCTGAAATGCCTAGTAGGCTGCAGTCAGACACATATCAAGCAGGTAGGTACCAAAGGCCTCCACATATGTGACTACTCTACTGATCTGATTATGGGAAAAAGCACAAGAGTCAATCATTCTCGAGAATGACTTGAACATGCTGTCTAGTGGCAGGGTACCCATGTCGCTGACAGTGGTATAGCACTGCGCCTTTCTAAGAAAATACCAAGCCATGAAATAGTTCTATGAACCCGAGGCTGCATTGCCGACTGTGTAACACAATGTGCGTGTGACAGTGCCGGCATCCTGCTTATATCTTGGTTGTTCATGGTTCATTCTGCAGATATCGAAGGAACCAAGTCATCGATCTCGCCACCAATGCCCCAAAACGAACCGAAAATATGACATCCGAGATCGGTGTGTTCCTAGGAATTCCAAAACAGGCCAGAGACTTCATCGTCGCTCAATGCCTGACATTTAGAGGCTTGTCTATGGCCTTTGTAGTGTAGCATTTCCATAAGAACCAGGATCAGAAGACTGTAGAGAAGAGCGGGACTGCAAGATGAAGAAATGGTATGGAGTAATAGGATATGGCTGTGTGGATGTGTTGAAAAACGCCGGCTATCGTCCCTGGTTGTTATTGAAGCTGGGCATTAACTTCAAGTCGAAAATGCCCTTGAATTTCGCTCCATCCACTCCATTTCCATATTGGCTCTAGGGTGGTTTCTTTTTTTCTTTTTTCTTTCTTGTTCACCAAAGCCGGTTTATGTCGGTTTGGGGTAGGAGATCCTGTACAGTGTAAGAGTCAATAGCAATAAGCAAACACTCCCAGGCAGCTCGCCAAAAATCATCAGACCTATTCGATTAGGTAGTCCTGGGAGATAGAGAGACCCTAGAAATTCCAGGATTCAAACTTCCTCAAAGGACGAGAATTGGTCCATGCGTCCGCTCGGGACTTGGGCAACCAAGCGTGCAGCAAGTGTATGCCCAATATTATTAAATCCCTCGAGAGAAGAGATAATCCTCCCGGCGGACAGGGTGTAGATCCATGCTCTCCACATACCCGAATCCCGAGGGTCAGGCTGCGATCATCTCTCCATGTATGTTTAATCCTTTGTTGTGGGCCGGTATACGCCAAATCGCCAATATAGCCCCCATCGTGAGGAGAAGTCCCGCTCCGTGGACGGGTGAGCTGCAGAAGCTAAAGCTCCCACATCTGTTTGAGTAGCTTTATCGTAACGTAGAGAAATCTGAAAGGCAGCAAATTATGAGGGGAGAGTTATGGAATTGGTGGTGGTGATGGTAGTAGTCTGAAGGAGATGTTTGTTGCCTAGACAGTAGCCTGGCGGTTGTCTGCCTGAGGTGTCGCCCACTGTGCCCTCTTCTCTCGACCTCATCGTCATCTTTTCTTTCCCAACTTCCAGCCGACATCCACCACGAATCCATCTGCTGATTCATCTCTCTCATCAACCAGTTTTTCCGATCCATCCGGAATCACAGGAGAGAGACAGAGTCAATCCCCACGTTATTCTCGTTCTGCAATGTCATTCATCATAGTTGACTGGACGTCATGAGGGGGGGCCGAGCATGATACCGTGGTAACAGGATTGCCCAGGAGTGGATGCATGCGCCCTGTTGAATCCTAACGATTGCTGCCCAAAACCCTATGGATGCTCTCTCTTCCAGTCTCCTTTGCTTTCGTGTCTGCTTCTCTATCTCTCTGGGGATAGGATCATCGTGAGAGAGGTGGCGTCTTTCTCGCATTGGATGATGGTGGCTTTTGACCTTCGCCTGTCTCTTCTTCCGGGTTCCCCCCGGATGCTGAAATCGGAAAAGCGGTACTGCCTATTCTACATTCGACTGATGCTACTACTAATTATCCAGGTGATTGAAAGTGAGACACGGGGGGCAGCATAGCCTCGGGCTTCTTTCTCGAGTTATTATTATTCACGCTATTATTCTTCGTGATATTGCCTCGCCGTCGTCTCCAACGCCCGGCCTGATCCATCCCCATCTATCCATGCCAACGAGGCACAGTGGGGGCACCAGATCTGATCGGTTGGCGGTGAGATGAAGCTGGCTCTGCTGTTCGATTTGTATGCACTCCGACCGATGCGATTGTTATTAGCATGCCCCTGGATGGGAATCAGCGATTCGCTTCGATATCCACTTTTGCCACTGTCGTGGAGTTCTTCATGCCCTCCGGTTTCTCTGGTTGACTTACCTCTAAACCTCGTGCAACCAAAAAAGAGCTTATCTGGCTTCTCCATTGATTGGGTATCGCTTGCTGCCCCGGCGCTACTATAATAATTAAACAGCTCCCTATCTGGCATTCACACTAAGTCTCAAACCTACTAGACTGGCTGCCTGCCTTCGCGAAGGTCCCGAAAAACCTTCTCCGTGTCTCTATAGTACTATATATATTATAATTCCTTTCCGGTCCTGCTACATTTTTTTCTTCTTTCACTTTTCTATCTTGGTCTATCTTCATGCCTCCTGTTGTTCCACCGCAATTAATGGCAATGCCTACCACTTTCAATCCTTTTTCAGGAGTCGCCTCTACTGTCAGCTCACGGACTCACTCAACGAGTAGTGATTCGGATTGGTCTCGTCACAGGTCAGCTTCAACGGGCATACTTCCCCCTCCTCCTCCTCCGCTGCTCTGGGAGTTTTGAGAGAAGCTCACCTTCTTCAGTTCTATCATGTCCCAACAATCTCAGATTTATGGGAGTTCCCCTGAAGGTCCAGTCATTTTCCAGCAAAGGTACATATATGCGTGTGTTGATTTATACGTCGTGTTTTCTTTTCTCCCTTGTTCCTTTCCCCTGGCGATAGTACCATGCTGAGATCCCCTTTCGTTGTCTTTCCTAGCGCCAAAAGGGCTTTCCCCCCACATCGAGAGTGTGGTCCCATAGATACACATATTGCATCCACAAAGCCCCCCAAAGCGTCGTCGGAATTTGACTTTCACACTCCTTACAATGGCATCCCTGTGTCCACGGACAGTTATGGTCGTTTTTCACATGGCTCCGGGTTCGTGTCATTCTCGCCCGTTGGACCACAAGCGCCTCCGGCTGCCCTCTATCCAGAGTGGGATCACCCCGCTCGCTTACCTACGGAATCCCTGAGGCGTGACTATGATATGGTCAAGCCCTTGGAGAACCCAGAATATCTCGTGGAGCGAAGCAGTCGTCGAGCAGCGGATAAGTCCAAGAACACTGCTCGATATCATTCCCAGAGACGACCTTCTAATCGGGATGAGTTTGATGGACCTCATCAATTACTTGATATTCCTTCCCAGAGGGTTATAGCTGCCCAGGCAAGGGAGTTGCCGCATCTTCCTACTAACCTTGATGTCTCAGAGCAAGACCGCATTTTGACGGCAGTGAACGATCGATTGTCGCAGTGCGCATTCGATTTCGTTGCAAAGTATCAGTTCCCAATTCCGCTGGAAGCGGACAAGAGACAGGTGAGGGTACCCTCGGACCGTGAATGGACCGAGTGGGTTTATCTTCTGAAAAGACTGGCCACCAAGCGTCGCATACCCGCCAGGGTCTTGTATAATGGCCAGATCAAACAATTAGTTACGGTGCTGGAGAACTCTTTGGAAATGAGACATGCTGCCAAGCATCAATCCAGACCAATCAAGGATGATCGAAATGTGCTTCAGCTCATTTCGGCTGGAACACAAGTCGCTAAAATCCTCAAGGATGCCACCGCAATGGAATACCTGGACCGTCTTTATGTCGAGACGGAAAAGCGTATCCAGGAACGACGGAGCCGTCGTGTGAAATTCGCCAGTCCCTGAAGTGACCGGCTCTATTTGCTCTTAATGATGATATCGTCCCCGTATGGCCATTTTTTATTACCCATGATGGATCCATTCCCTGTGGCTCACATCCGTGATCCCTTTGGCAGCCAGCCTCCAGGAGAAAATCTTCCCACGGAAAATCAACCCTTTGTCCTTTGGTTATTGGATCTCCTTTCCCGTCCACATGGTTCAAACAGATGACTGTCCACTTCAATCCTGAAGAATAGGAAGTCACCCCTACATCCAGGATATTGCCCCACAGGTTTCGTTCCCAGGCCATTCCGGATTTTTTGCCTTTTGCTTTTACCCCCAAGGCCACATGAAATCAGATTACCAGGATATCCCGAAACCACCATGGATCTGGTTATCTCTGGCTATCCAGCCATGAGCTATTGTTCTGTTCTGTTACGTATTAAATCGAGGTACCCGAGCGAATATGTTTTACCTACCCCCCTACGCTCCTTATGTCCTGTAACTATGGCTGGCACTTTGTCTTTTATTTGCAATTTGTTGTCTGGTTTTGTTTTCGATTTACACGATCTCCGGGTCTTTATGTCTTGTACAGTACAAGCCCTGGGAGTTTTTCATGGGATTGGATATCTGCTTTTCATGTCCGTCAGTCATGAAATTATTGACTGATGCTTTCTGTTCTTTTGTCTTGATTTCGGCTGCCTCCATATTTGATGTCATCATGTCCCACTGGAGTTTCAGGGATATACCATTGTGAATCCGATATGTCCTATGATTGCCTTGTACCGTTATGAATATCCGTTTTGTTCCGGGAAACATTTCTCTTTTTCGAGGCCGGAAGCGCCGGCTCTGTTAAGGACGCAGCGTTCAATCTGAGAAATGGTCTCCGTTCGATCGAACTTGCCCGTATGTTATTTTTATTTTTCATTTTCCTACTTACTACTCTACCCGAGCGGGACGTTCAAGCTTCAACCACTCTTTTTGGAACATCGGCGACCCACCGCGAACCGCTTCAATTAGTAGCACCACAAAAATCAAGCGAGGGGAAAAAAAGTTCAAAAAGAAATGACCAGACTGGGGTTCGATCCCAGGACCTTATCGGATTCAGTTGAAGAACTGTTAACGATACGTGATAACCAACTACACCATCCGGCCAACTGATGTCTGTGTGCTTTCAGTTTTGCTATATAGGGCTAGACAAGTATCTTGCCCTAATTATTACTATCCTTGTCATTATCACAAAACTCATTTGGGGAAGAAAAAAAATAAAAATAAAAAGAGGTTTGATCATAGAGAATCTAAAAATAAAAAGGCTCAATACAATACATGACGAGTCTGGGTACTATTTCCTGTCTATTTCGAAAGAAACAAAAGATGTATGGAGTGCAGATGTATAAAGTGAGAGAATATCGGCTCAAAAAAAAAAAAAAGAGATAAAAACGCCCATTTTAAAAATAACACAAAGTTCAACGGACTGTATACCATGCCTAAGTAACCTTTCGCAAGACGTTCGCCCAAACCGACCCCAATTGTCGCAGCGAGCAGCGGATGGCGCACATGGGGGAGAACTGCCTGGGATACTTCCACATGAGAAGCGCTGTAGCGCCAATTCCGGAAGCAACAACAGATCCCAGACAGAGACTGAGCACGATGCCTTGTCTCTGGGCTGCCTGGATGACGTCCGAATAGCGCTGGGTGCTGAAGCTAACGCGGGAGTACTGAGTCTGCCAACCCAGGCTAGGAAGGTGACGATCCAGCGCTTCTTCGACGGACTTGCGAAGTTTGTACAGTGGGGATTTGACGCCCCATCGCATTTCGAGGTAGTTTTGCTTGGATAGGTCATTTATAGCGTGGGTGTCGGCGGAGCGTTGGTTGGTGTATGCCTCGAAGGCAGCTTGACGGGATAGAGTCCGGTTGTACATGCTGGCTTCCGAGTCGTACACGTCATGTTTGTCCAGGAGGTCGAAGAGGACCCGGACGTCCTCGAGGCCTGCATTGAGACCTTGGCCGTAGAAGGGGAGGACGGCGTGGGCAGCATCGCCGAGGATGACGACGCTAGAGCCGAAATGGTGAGGCTTGCATTTGATGCTGATCAGTGGGAGATGGGGATTGATGATGAATTGTTCTTTCAGCGCATCTGGAGTGATCAGGTCTGGGCAGACGCCGGGGAAATGAAGATCGAAGAATTCAACGAGATTCTGCGGTGAGCTTTCCAGATCGGTGTAGTGTGAGGCTGGCGCGAACAAGGTGCATGTAAAGGACTTGTCAGCTGAAGGCAGGGCGATGAACATGAACTCTTTCCCAGGCCAGATGTGCAAGTGATTCGGGGAGATGCGAAAGTTTCCGTCGTCTGACGGGGGGATGCGGAATTCACACCATAATGTGTCGATATATTCCTGCTGATAATCTACCCGGGCAAACTTCATCATGTGGTATCTTGAGGCAGAATGGGCGCCATCTGCCCCGATCAAGTAGTCAAATGAGACTTCAATTTCAGTTGCACGATTGGACGAGTTTGAAATGGGTTCTTCCCCTGGTAAGCGACGTTCGAACCATGCTTTGTTTTCCTTGAAGTCGGCTCCGGTTAGTTTGTGGTTGAAGAACATCTTCACATTGGGTGTTTTTTCCAATTCGTCAAGGAGAGCATTGTTCAGTGTTCCTCTGTCTACTGCATTAATTGCCTGGGTAAATTATCAGCTCTGACTACGATAATGTGGGATGTGAGATCGCAAAGGACACCAACCCGGCCGTGGACATCATAGGCCTGCGCAGCTTCCCAGAGCTGGCCGAGATCTCTGCCGTGGATCATTCGACCATGCATAGGGATTGTCTCGCGCATGACCTTGTCAATCAACTCCTGCCGACTGGATTGCTGCATAGCCGTAAGCCCACGCTCGGATAGAGCGAGGTTGATGGACTTGGTGAAATTCAATGGGATGGTGGCGGCATCGCGGAGATCTGCAAAATGCTGGTCAGCTGTGACCAAACTGGGAATTGAGATATGATATTATTCGCAAAAAAATAAGACTGATATTAGATCCGAAGTATGTCATGTAATTTTGACGGCGAACAGCTGGGCGATTTGGAATGTGTAAGATGTGATACATATCGCTGTATGAGGCAAGCGTTTATGCAGCCCACCAACATGCAAATGCACGAACAAAAGCACCACCACACAGACAAATGACAAAAAGCCAAAAGAATGTGCAATCAATGAAGCAATAACACATACCTCCACGCAGCTCATAAATCTCGACGTCATCGCCTCTGCCCGCAGCGTAAAGAGCTGCAAGAGATCCCACTGGACCCGCGCCGACAATAACCACCTTCTGCTTTTTTTGTGTCTCTGCCATTGCTGCAGATAAATGGACAGATGATGCTCTATTGACCTGTCAATGATTGCGTTGCAGACTTCATATGAGAAAGCTGACAAAAGAGTCACTGTTGGTCACGTGCTACGAGGAGCGGTCGGAACGATTTTTTCGCCGATCTTCAACTCTATTCACTCATGCGGATAACGCAATATGGCTTGGTTGCGGGGATGGACTTGAGTGAATTTTTGGCAACGGTCCAGGTTTGGGAGGCTTCAATTTGATATTGAATATAAAACTGTTTATTTCATATCACCAGGACGCTTCATAGTGGACGCGAAATGCCAGGCGAGCGTTATCATGCCATGTCTTTTCGATGCAGACGTCAGGAGGCCTTGATCCTGCTACTTTATGTCTTGTCTGGACAGTAGAACCCTCTATTCCAAGAGTCTTCTTACCGGGAATGGTTAGTTTCTCAGAGTGACCCTTTTTGCTGTGGTAGTCGGCGTGGAATTGCTACCGGGAGACTAAGAGTTCCTATCTTGTCTTGGAGATGAATACTAGTATATTCATCTCTGGTTAAGATGTCGGGCCAGTTTCAAAGCTTTGGATTAAGGATTTCCAATGCTGCCGTCTCCTCACTAAGAATGTCCAGTGCTGCATATGATTGTTGACTCCTCACAGCAAGACCGGTCTCTAATGATGTCTGTAACTATCCGACTTGAATAACATGCCGATATTTGAAGCATTTGGCCGTTTGCTTGTCCATATATTGGACAAATATGTCGATGATAATACGTAAGTTCCATGAGTGTTGGGCAATAGCCCGCTGCATTTATAGTAGATGCACACGCCTGTGTTGGGTCTTGATATGGATAATATATTGGTTGGGGAGCGCTGAATGCCAAGGGGCTCTCGAGTTTTTGGGAGCGATGATGTGTTCAGTGCCCTAGAGATATCTTGAAACTTGAGTAAGCCTTTTTTTCTCTCGCACATAGTAGTTTCAAAGTATTGTCTAAGGTCTGAAGAGGTGAAGACAGGAAGATTCATTGGAAACCAACCCAACTTCTGGCAAGAGATCATAAGAACAATCCAATGTTGACAATCAGATAAGATTTCAAGCCATGCAGAGTATCATGATATCATTGGAATTCTGTGAAGTCCTTTGGCCGAATCTCCAAGAAGGCATGGTGATGTTAACTAGCAGGATGAAGATAGGAGAGGGGAAAGAAGATAAATAGCGGTGGTAGATATTGTCTCCGCCCTTACGGTTGTTGATCTTTTAGACAGCTCTTCTCAATGGTTTCTTGATGATCCAGGAATCAAAGACAAAGACAACATGTCTAATGATGAGTGAGGAATGAAGATCGCCAGTCGCAACAAGCAGATATACAGATCGAGATCGCACTAACCGCTTCGGGAAATGGACTCGGTTCGTTTTTGATTTTCTGGCCGCGGGGAAATCCGTCGTTTTTCACGTTGCGACACTCCACCTGCGTCGAGTTCAACCCCTTCACCCTTCCCTTGTTATACCTCTTTCCCCTCCTAATCCAATTCTCGATTCCATTTTTCACCATGGCCGCAGCCGTTGCAAACCCCCGCAAATGCATCGGGGTGGATTGCGAGAAGGACGCCGGAACTCTGCAGTGTCCGACGTGCCTGAAGATGGGCACAGATAGCTTCTTCTGCTCGCAGGATTGTTTCAAGCGGAGCTGGGTAGGCTTCCTTGCGTGATTTTTGGGTGCATGTGTGTTGCACCCGTTCTGCATTGCCAGTGTATGCTGATCATCCATCACAGGGCGAACACAAGGCCATTCACAAGACGAAGAGTAATTTCCTCACCAATCTCTTCCCTCCAAAGGTAGTTTCTGAACCAGATCCAGCCACGGGGCAGTACAACCCCTATCCGTCCTTCCAGTACACCGGCTCGTTGAGACCAGTCTATCCGCTGTCCCCCTACAGAAGCGTGCCGAAATCCATCCCCCACCCCGATTACCACAAGGATGGCTTCCCTCGATCGGAGCAAAAAGTCCTCGGCCGACACAACGTCACTATCTTGAACAAGCAGGAACAGGAAGGTATGAGGAAGGTTTGCCGCCTCGCTCGTGAGGTGTTGGACATTGCCGCGCGGGAATTGAAGCCTGGTGTCACCACCGACTACATCGACGAGGTGGTTCACAAGGCTTGTGTGGAGCGCAACGTACGTGATCTATTTGAAGGCAACTGAAAGTCTTTTTTTGATGACTTGCTAAATCGCAGATAGTCTTACCCGTCGCCTCTGAACTACATGAACTTCCCCAAGTCGGTATGCACGTCGATTAACGAGACCATTTGCCATGGTATTCCCGACCAGCGACCACTCGAAGACGGTGATATTATCAACATCGACGTTACTCTGTACCATGAAGGCTTCCACGGTGATATCAACGAAACTTACTACGTCGGCGATAAGGCCAGGGCGAACCCAGATGCCGTCCGGGTCGTGGAAACGTCGCGAGAGTGTTTGGACAAGGCAATTGCGCTGGTGAAGCCCGGCATGTTGTTCAGAGAACCTGGTAATGTGATTGAAGGCCACGCCAAGAGCCGTAACTGCAGCACCGTCAAGAGCTATTGCGGCCATGGTATCAACCAGCTGTTCCACTGCGCACCCAACGTGCCCCACTATGCGAAGAACAAGGCCGTAGGAGCCGCAAAGCCCGGAATGTGCTTTACAATCGAGCCCATGATCAACACTGGTACTCACCGTGATCGCACATGGCCCGATGACTGGACCAGCACCACAGCGGACGGAGGCCTGTCTGCCCAGTTCGAGCACACCATGCTTGTCACCGAGGATGGGGTTGAAGTTCTGACTGCCCGTCTACCTGACTCGCCGGGTGGTCCTATTCCTATGCCCACTTCTGCATGAGAAAAAAAGTTGAGGATTTTAGAAATTTGTTCGGGGGCATATTGCATATTAGAATAAGAGAAAAGCATTTACGACCAATTCACGTCATGTTGAGCATTGCTGCAATCACGTTTCCTCCAGCCTTTTTTTGTAGAGTTGAGCGAGTTTTTCGGCCCAGGTTTGATGCTAATGTTGATGGTAGACGCAGGAAGGGTGCGACTAGATGACGACTAATGCTTGAAGAAATAGATTTCTGAATTCAAGATAAGATAAATGATTCTCTGGTAACAGCTAATGCACAAGATCGCTAGTGGCTTATATAACTTCTGGAGAAGTTCGATAGGAATATTAAGCAATCGACTAACAAATTTGTCATAGATAAGGAGACCCAGAATCCTCTGCTAAACAAGCACAGCAGGCCTAAACAGTGACAGGGGCCTCCGAGTCGTGAAAATTGCCGAGCTTCAAAAGGGCCTTTGCATTGTCACGACCAATGCGACGGTAGTTGTCAAAACCACCAACAGCCTCCGCGATTGCTTTGGCGTCGTTGTCCCACCATCCACATTGAGCTTCGATGGTCTCATAGGGATAGTCGACGCTGAAGAGGATCCGATCGACACCAAGCTCATCAACCACGTACTTCAAGGTAGCGGTTGAGAAGTGACCGCTGGTGGTGAGCCAGATGTTCTTCTTGAAGTAGTCATAGATGGTCTTCTTGCACATGGTGGTTACGTCTTCTTCCTTCGCGATAGGCTTCTTGACATCCTCGAACCAGTGGTTGATGTGCCAGAAGTCGAATGGGATATGCTCGCCGTGGTGTCCGATGATGACCTTAAGGTTGGGGGAACGGTCGAAGACGCCGTTGGTGATTAGACCAAGGGTGTGCAGGCTGACTTCGTTGGCGTAAGATAGTGGCGTTGGGCATAGAGCTTCTCGTACATGACACCAGTCGGACCGGAGGGGTGAATGTACAGCGGGACGTCCAACTCCAACTCAGTGAGGACCTTCCAGAAAGCATCGTACTGAGACGGGTCGTAGAAGAGGTAGGTTTCGCCATCAGGGCCAGCATGCTGGAAGTTACAGAGCAATACACCATGGAAGCCGAGTTCCTTGACACAACGGCAGAGTTCCTCACCGGCCTGGACCGGATCATGCATCGACAGACAGGCAAAGGCCCCCCATACGATCCTTGTGGTCCTTGATCTGACCAGCAATTCAAGTGTTGGTTTCCGTGGCTACACGCTCGGCTTCGGCCTTATCCGTGATGCCCTGGATACCGGGGACGATCAGAGAAACAACGGTATAACCGATGCCTTGTTCGTTGGAGATTTTGAGACGTTCGTTGTTGATATCGTGAATTTGACGCATGTAGCGAGGGCGGTCATTGGGTGCAATGTAGAGGAGAGCCTCGCGCTTGGACTTTTCTTCCAGACCGGCGCGCTCGTAGGTTTCTTCGAGAACGATCTTGCCGACAATTTTGGCGGTGTAGATTCTTGGAAATATGGGTATGTTTTAAATGGAAACTTGTGATTGACCGTGAAGAGGAATCGTTTATTCTTGTCTCTGGGTAAGAGGACATTATAGGGGTTTCTTGGGTCTTTATATACCCCATCTCCATAGCATCATTAACATCCGTTTCCGTGCCATTCCTGTATCCGGGAGATCGGAAGACAATGTGAACCTGGGCATGAGCACATCAGCATCATTAATGCGGAAAACTTGTTGAGACGATTGCAAGACGGCACACACGAATTAGAGGACAATGGACACGAGGGGGTCACAGAACTGAGGCCAAGATAACTGCCATGATATCATGGAAGTTCATTACTATGTACATCGGAGTGTATTCATAGCTCCACCGAAGATCACCCAAAGAGCGGGTTGAGCTTAATGTTTGAGTAGCCAATCAGCATTGCGTCGCACCGACGCCTTTTTGATTGGTTGTTATGGGTAGGTAGAATCGACCTACCTAACTTACCTAGCATTTGGTTGAGTAATGAGTTGATACTAATGGAGTGTTGAATTGCTTGAATGCTCACACCTTGCGTTCGGTGCTACATCAACCTGAGTCCCTTGGTGGCGCCCTCAGCAGTTCCAGCTGTGATTCTCTCACTCCTTGTGTAAGGGAATTTTTGCACTTCTCTTCACATATTGATCAGTTGACACGTTGATGTCTGACACAGGAGTTTAGAGACTTATCATGTCTCCGGGATGGTTGAGAAGAGGTATCCGGAAAGAAAACATGAAGATTGAAGTTTGTGTAAACAGTTTACGATTTTCGGAAGCCATGTAGAGATGATCAATTATAAAAGGCTTTATTTGAGAAGAAGATACCGAATTATGTTACTGGATTCTTCAATTTCTTGAGAAAATGAAGATCCCAGGATCATCTGGGCTGGCCATTTGATCCAAAGACGATGTTCGAGGTGAAGAGCAGAGTGGATTGCTTCAACGATCCTTCTGGGAATCTGATTGTTCCACCAGAGCTCTGGTCCCTTATGGAGGGCGACGGGGAGAGATGCGAATATGATTAAGGACACAGGGTGTCGCTGTTCGATCAAGTCCACGAACTTGCTAGAAATTTGAGTCAACCAGGATATAGAAAGACTCAGTCATTGAATATCGGGGCTCGCGTTGATGTGGCTATTTAAACTATTATAATTCTCAAATGAGCACTCGCTCGTGGGATTCACGTGGTTTGATTTGAAGATTCCGGAATTGCGGAAGACAATGATCAGAAACTTTAATGCTTGAGAATTCGCTTGGATTTCTTCGTTTGCTTCGGCTTGTACTTGGTGACCTTCCTCTGGAGAAAGTCCATACTGTGAATGATACCGACGAGCTCGGCTGGTAAGCTGCAGAACACAGAATAACGCCCGCTGTTCGACATTGATATCAATGGACGCCTTTTGAAGATGGGCCCATTCATGAAGAAAAGTATTCAAAGGTCCCTTGGCGATTTTCCCCCCTTGATGTCCATGGATAATGCCAACCCCAAAGTAGAGGCGCATCCATTCGACCACTGAACCGAGAAAATCATTTTTCAAGAAGTGAGCCGATGGATTGATGGCCGTGCCTGCCGAAGCCGGGATGAAGTACCCAATCAAGAACGAAAAGGCGAACAAGGCCTCGCAATTATCGGCGGTGACTTGATCTAGTTCCGAGCGAAACTCATGTAGGGTGGCATCCTTTCTACTAGCAACCAAAATACAAAGATGGTTTGACTGCACTGGCAGGATATTAGCCATATGCAAGGCTGAAACGGCCAGTATGCCCTGCAGCAGAAAACCACGCTTAAACCAAAGTCGAACTACTACGGTTCTCCATGTTTTCTGGACTTTTGGAGAAATCGACAATGTATCCGCTGTTTTGCTCATGAAAAGCTGCAACAGCCGCATGTCGTCAAGACTAAACGCAGGGCTCAAGCCTCGACAGCCCTCAATCTGTAGAGGTACTGACGCTTCGTTGACGGTGAAACTTTGAGATGGCGCCAAGGCCACTGGATACACCCGGAAATCTTCATGAGGACGATGAAAAACCTCAGATAAAATCCGAGAGAACGGTGTAGTTGTAATGAAGCTGCATTCACGCTCGAGTTTTGAGCAATTACGACAAACTGGCTTTTGCTCATCACACTAGCAGACCCAGCACTGTTAGCCCCAGGTGTCACAATTACAGCAGCGTTGAGAATCGATCAATGAGAGATATATAGATGCCTTCACATGGCGTTGCTTACACTGGGCGCATCCATATCTTGTCTTATGGGCTACGACCCTTCGAGGCATCATCCCTTAACAAGAGATTGCTTTTCTGTTATCTTGGTTAATTTGTTATCAGATATTGACTGCACGAATGAAATCAAGAATGGCACCTTTGGGCTAGTAATGACGCCTTAGTTAACCTAGAGGCGTCATTCCCTGTCGGTTATGAGACAAGCATTGTAGTCATGGTACCGGAAGGACATGGCGACTGCATCGGAAGCCTAGCCAGTGATCGGATGACAATATCCGAGACGACAACCTGATTTTTGGAATAAAGCATCCTGATCATCCTGGCATTCGCGATGGCCACACTGAAGCAAAAGCAACTCCTCTCAGTCCACAGCCATGGTGACTCGATTGAATCGATCTTCGCTCGCACCTCGCAGGAATCTAGATCACGGGACCAGTGCCGATTCCCCAATCGGGTAACAGCTATGCCTAGCCGATTCAGCCAATGAAAAGGCGTGTTGGTCGCCAACCTCCTTCTAATTTGTCAGCTCTGCGGGGGGCGCCTATCAGCACGTGACTTTGATGTTCTCAAATGCAGTTGAGCTGAGGGATTACAGCATCGACTGTGAGTCAAACATCGACTGTTGATATATTCAAGCGGTGGGGGTATTTCTTGAGACATTGTGGAAATAGACATGGCCATGGCTTCAGAGCGAAATCCAACTGAGACGTCTCCGTTGCTCGGTGCGCAACACAATGGCCTCCTTCAACCTCCATCGAACGGGACTATCTCCAACGAAGTCCGGGATGTTGAGTCTGCGGAGGAGCACATTCGTGCGACAGAGGAGCAGGGTAATGGTGCCACAGAGAAGAAACTAAATATCAAATACATCGTGCCAGCGATTTCTCTAGGAGTATGTGCCAACTGGTTACCAATAGCATGGTTGTTTTGTGCTAACTTTGCCTGCGTAACCAGGTCTTTCTCTCTGCAGCTGACCAAACCATTATTATGGCCAGCTACGGACAAATTGGAAGTGACCTCAAGGCCCTTAATCTGACAAGTTGGATCGCCACTTCGTACTTTTTGACCTTGACATCGTTCCAGCCTCTGTACGGGAAGCTGAGCGATATATTTGGTCGGAAGCAATGCTTGCTGTTTGGGTATGCGGTTTTTGGCATCGGCAATTTGTTATGTGGCTTATCACGTAATATCCATGAACTCATTGCTGCTCGTGTATGTGGTGATATTGATCTTTGTTCTACAATACCGGGTTGCTAATGAATGCTTCTAGGTCTTTCAAGGCATTGGGGGCGGAGGTATGACTACCGTTGTTAGCATCCTTATGAGTGATCTTGTTCCTCTCCGGGATCGAGGTGTCTGGCAAGGAATCATTAATATCGTCTATGCTACGGGTGCCGGAACTGGTGCACCTTTAGGTGGGTTATTTCTCTCGTCTATTAAACCCCTTGAGTTTCTAGTCGCTAATGTTTTTATAGGTGGTATCCTGGCTGACTATATCGGCTGGCGTTGGTACGATTCAACTTTTCTCGGTAGAAGTATAGTGATTATGCCCTTGCTGACATTAACTACAGGTCTTTTATTGCTCAATTTCCACTATGTTTAATTGCTTTCGTCTCTGTGATGATCATGCTAGACGTGCCTGCCCAAGGAAATAGCCACTGGAAAGCCAAGATTCGTCGCATTGATTTTCTCGGGGCTGCCATTCTCATCGGAGCTGTACTTGGTTTCCTTCTTGGTCTTGACCGGGGAAGTAACGTGTCATGGACGATGCCGTTGACCATTGTTTCGTTGAGCGTCTCGGTGGTACTCTTTGTTGTATTCCTTTTGGTCGAGATATACGTTGCAGCCGAACCCTTTGCTCCTGGCCATATCATTTTTGACAGGACATTTTTTGCCAGCTATGGATGTAACTTTTTCAGCTTTGGGGGCTGGCTAGCTGCTCTCTTCTACATCCCGTTGTATTTCCAAGCAACGGATGGCGTTTCTGCTACAGGCGCTGGTGTACGACTATTGCCTAGTATCTTCGCTGGTGTTTCGGGCTCTCTTTTTGCAGGGTATATCATGAAATGGACGGGAAGATATTACTGGCTGACTGTGGCGGCGTATTCCTCTTTGACGCTTGGTGTTACTATGATATTCCTTTTCTCTGGTGGCGCTGTGTCAAGCACCGCGCCAATGATTTTGGGAATGGTGGTATCGGGTTTTGGAAATGGGATTGGTGTTACCACAACTTTGATCGCTTTAAGTAAGCTTCATTGCAAGGATATTTAGTTTTGCTTTAGCGTCACTGACTTGAGTTTCTAGTATCGAACGCAACACCAGAGGATCAGGCAGTGGTTACTGCGTGCTCGTATCTCTTCCGGTCACTGGGCTCAGTTATTGGAATCTCCTTGTCATCGACAGTGGTCCAGCAACTCCTTCGCAAAAGACTGGTTTCCGACTTGAGTGGAGGTGGCAGCAATGATGCTGATCGTATTGTTGCTGGGGTACGTCAGAGTCTTGATTTCATCAAGACACTTGATCCAACAACTGCCGAAATCGTTCGAGGCTCTTATGGATGGGCGATGAATAAGGGGTTTTCCTTTATGATTGGAATTGTCTTCTTTGCCCTGTTCAGTGCCTTTTTCATCCGCGAAAAGAAGGTGACTCGTTAAATCAAGCAGGGCGGGGGTGAATAATAAAATTAGCAGAGCACACCCTAGGAATAGGAGGAAGTCGATGAAGGGGAAGGGAGCGGTAAAAATTTCGGGATATTTATGAGTATTTATTTGGTTTTCTACTGCATATAGAGTCGATATAGAGGCGATAAAGTGCTGGCAGGGGACTTCATCTGTGACTTAACCCGTGATGAGCGCAGAGACAGGTGATAGAGTCGCAGAGTTGAGAAAAGTTTCTTAAACAAATATAGAACCATTCAAATACTGACTTTATAATTGTCTTGCATGCAAATTGAAATGAAAAGAGCAAGCACCATCCAGTCTGACAGGGTCCATATTATTAGCGACCATCAGAAGGCGGTCTCTCCGACTGTTGGAGACACCGCTCTGACTTCACCTCCAACAACTTTCCCCAGACGCTTTAATCATCCGTCTTTAAAACAGCCCCCATCGTCTTGACCTGACAAACGCAACCCCCACCAGAGGAGACTATTTGGAATTTACCTTCCAGGTCTTGCTTTTTCTTATTAAGGGCTTCTGGATGACAATGATTCCGGTCCCCTAGCCGTTGCAGCTGTGGCATTTAATCCTCCGCCATGCCGGACACGCAGTCGGGGTCTGCAGCGTTGTCGCGATACCGTCCCATCCTCTACCTCTTTACCGGTGTTGCAGCAGCCTATGCCCTTGTCTATATTCACAATCATATATATTCGCCCCAACCGTCCCAGTCTTCTCTCCGTCGCCGAAACGCTGTCCGCCGACACAGACGAAATGAACCCGATGAGACCGAGGCCGTCGATTCCCCGTCGTACCGAGCAATCACCCACCTCGAGCAGCTAGAACAACAGAATGGGGTATATGGCACATTTCGTATAGAGACTGAAGATGGAAGGCGGGTGGAAAGTGGTTTACTCCCGTCGTTGCTGGCGACTCGGGATCAACTGATGGAGGAAGTCGGCGTCCCGCAAGCTCATGCGGAACGGATGCGTGAGATGATGGAAGATACATTCTTGGAGTCATTCCTGGCGCTGGATTTCCCGCCAACACATGCTTTGCTTGAAGGGAGCTCGGAGAGGGAGTATTTGATGGAGCAGCTCCAGCGACGTGGTATCTCCCGTGCTGGGATCGAGAGAGCGCTAGTGCGATTCAACGAGGACATCAACTACGGAGAGGAGCTACGACGACGTCGGCAGAATGGCGAACGAGTAACACTGTCTACTTCGACTTTTCCCGATGTCTCGGCGCCAGCACAGAATTTGGATGGTGGCGAGACGGTGGTTGATGACCAGAGTGTCTTTTCTTGGCGTGATGGAAATAATGATTCTTCTCCTACAAGGGAAGGCCAGAACCTGTTGAACCTACTATATCACATCGCAGAGGACCAGGCCAGACGAGATGGGTATATCCACAGAGGAGTGACGTGCAACAGCTGTGGTGCCATGCCCATACAGGGTATCCGGTACAGATGCGCAAACTGTATTGATTATGATCTCTGTGAGACGTGCGAGGCGATGCAGGTACACATCAAGACTCACCTTTTCTACAAAGTACGTATTCCGGCTCCCTTCCTGGGTAACCCTCGACAGTCCCAGCCTGTCTGGTATCCAGGGAAGCCAGCCATGTTGCCTCGCAGTCTGCCGCGAAACCTGGCCAAACGTTTGATGAAGGATACAAACTTTGAAAACACTGAACTTGACGCCCTATGGGACCAATTCCGCTGCCTGGCCAACTATGAGTGGGCAGATGATCCGAACAAGCTGTGCATGGCCATTGACAGAAAGACGTTTGACCGGTGCTTTGTACCCCACACCTCCTTCCGCCCGCCACCACCGAGTCTTATCTATGACCGGATGTTTGCATTCTACGATACGAACAACGATGATCTTATTGGATTCGAAGAATTTCTGAAGGGCCTGGCAAGCCTCAACAACAAGAGTAATGACGAGCGATTGCGGCGCGTATTCCGTGGCTACGACATTGATGCAGACGGCTATGTGGAGCGCAAAGATTTCCTACGAGTGTTCCGGGCATACTATGCTCTCAGTCGAGAACTGACAAGGGACATGGTTGCAGGCATGGAGGATGACTTCTTGGAGGGTGGTGCACGAGATGTTGTCCTTGGGGGGCAGCCTATCAGCTCAGCATTTCCTGGTAGTATCCCTTCGGGGGAGACATCGAGAATCGGCGAAGGCAAGCGCATCAACAGAGGAGGCGACATGGAAATTGTTGACCATGAAGGCGTATTACGACATGATGGTGCCGATATTGGTGACCGTCACGCCGTCATTGGTGATGCCGCCGTCCGAGGTCAATTTGGACGCGTGCGACCAATGTTCCCATCGACTATCCGTTTACCTGTTGCAGACCCTGGGCCCCCACCGCCAGGCTTCGGTGGTGGTCAAATGGATGCAGAGGAAAATGACGAAGACGAGGACGAAGACGCTAGTGATTCTGACGAGGACGCATCCAGTTCATCAGTTGCCAGTGACCACTGGCCTCCTGCCGAACATATCCTCGAGGAAGACGTTGTAAACGCCCTCGGAGCTCCTGTTCCTCTTCAAGAAGTGACGGACGCCGTGGATAGAGCTCGGATTGGGACGGCTGTGTATCACAGGATGCGGGATGACGACCAAAGACGAGTGGACGAGACTCGCAGATATGGAATTGATGAACGCTGGCGACGAAGAGCATTCTATACCGACGAAGAAGATGGTGCAATTGCCCCCGAGGGCTATCGCAGAGATCCCGGTGTTGATGACCTAAGTGACGAAGATGATGCTTTTGACGACCACCAGCACTTCCTGGAGTCACATCCACCCTCTCCTCGTTCTCGCTCTTCTTCCAAGGTGCGATTCCAAGACGATTTAACCGACGAATATGAGGTGAGGTCAACCACCTCGTCTCGTAGCATTCCTGTCGGCGAGAGGTGGGGTGGTTTCGAGGTTCCAGAGGTCGAAAGGGACGTAGGAAAAGAGATTCTCTACCAAGTCACACAGCAGGGTTTCAACGAACTTCTCGATATTTTGTTCAAGCCAAAGGAAGATCTCCTGATGGAGGTATACCGAACACGCACTGAGCGCAAGATCTGGGCTCACGAAATCGAAATCGTTGAACAGATGGATCCACGAAAACGCCCTGAAGGCCATGCCATGGACGATGAAGCGGATAGACAAGATGATGGGTCGATGGAGAATCCGTACGGAACGGACAACAAATCGCTCGAAGAGCTCCTGGAAAGAACAGGCTACTCAGTCACAAGTCCGCCTCTGCGGCCCACCACTCAAACTGGCCCTTTTTTTGGTCCTCCTCCCCCTTTCGCACTCAGAGCACCTGACGTCGATGTGCAACCGACCCACCTTGCTTACCCTGAAGAGGAGGACGATCAGGAAGATGAGCAGGAGGACGAGCAGGAGGACGAACAAGATGATTTTGCTTTGTCCCAGAACCAACCAGAGGACGGATTTCATGTCGAGCCCGCTGCCCTTCGCCCCTTCACCCCAGAACGTCAGACAGCCCAGGAGGGCGATATAACCCCAGACTTCGATCCCACACTGCCACACCATCGTCCAAGCGAGGAGACACCACGCCCAGCCTGTAACTACTCGTCCCAGAATGAACCGCCTGTCCTAACCGGTCACCTAGCGGAAGACACTCCATCCTCATCATACTCGGACGATTCCCCCACAACCTCAGAATTCCAGCAACACACCCTCCCTCTCCAACTCCGTCTCCATCCTCATGGCACAACCTCTTTCCCAGCACCTCCTTCTCTTCCCTCCTCCTCTCCCGAGGCCGAAGCTACCGCCCCCAAGCTTCCACCCTCGCCTATCCAACCTCTCCCCCCAGCTCCATCCGCAACTAACCTGCCGCAAGAAGCTCCCGTCTGTCGACCAACAACGCGCACTCTCGCACGATGGGCATATTTGAACCACGTCGAGCAGGAAGCCAAGGAACGCGGCGGTACAGGTGCCAAACTCAACTTTGAGGAATTCTCCCGGCGAATGGCAGCGGACCGCGGACGGAGGTTGGCCTTTGTGGCTAGCTGGATTGAGATGGCCAGTTTTTAGATGAACCTTTTTACCTATCCCTAGTTACATACTTTTTTTTTTTTTTTTTTTTTTTTTTTAGTTCTGTGTGCCACTGTATTACATATTATGACCTATGTTGTGTATATTATCTAGATAGGGGACCTGGAAAAGGAGCATACTTGGCGATGATTCTGGGGTTTATCACCGGTATCCAAACTGGTTAATTCCATGCCATCTAATGAATAAAATACCATGCATGTATAGATCGTCGCACTTGCAATGTATATGTACAGTACAGTAGCAGCCTGAATCCCGTGAACCGAAAAAAGAAAAGAGATGAAAAAGGGAAAATATGGTCGCATTAATCTAATCCCAATATTTGATAACACCCTCCAGACCACCTGTAGCCACTTTACTGGTTTCCTGGGGATGCCAATCGAGACACGTCGTAGCACCTCCTTCCTTGCCTCCTGCAAGAATCTTATGGTACATCTTGCCCGTCTTCCAGTCCCAGAAGCAGACGTAACCACCGCTATCACCCGATGCGATGAATTGACCATCGGGGGAGATCTTAAGATCGATGGCGTATCCGGCGTTGTTATGTCCGCGGAAGCTCTTCTTGCGGTTCTGGCGGAATTTGTCTGTAGCCCCGTAGACAACAATCTGGTTGTCGCCGGACTGGAAGGCAACGTACTTGCCGTTGGGGTGGGGTGTTGCACGGGTGAGTGCAAACATGTACGGTTCAGCGATGAACTTGATAGGGACGGGAATTCCGTATTCCCAGGCACGCAGAGACTTGTCGTCGGACGTGGAGATGAAGCGACGGTTGTTGTCGACGAACGTAATGGTGTTGATGGCTGCCAAGTGGTGGTCATATTCTTGGACCAAATCGCGGGTACGAGTGTCGAATTGAACGATCTTCTTGTCTGACATACCAGCCAGGAACTCGTGCGAAGATTCGGGACTGGGGTTGAAACGGACGACGTGTGGCGTCTTGCCAGTCGAGAAACGACCGAGGCACTTGCCGTATTCCGTATCCCACAGCTTGATCTGGCGGTCATACGATGCGGTGAGGAATGTCTTACCAGACGGGTGGAAGTCTGTGTCCGTAATGGACTTGGAATGACCTGAAAACGTCCGTAGAAGTTCCCGAGAGTGATACGCATCCCAGATCTTGGCCTTTCCATCTGCCGCAGACGATAGCAGCAAGTGTCCAGAGCCGGGGAAAAACCGCAACGAGGTGATAGCCTTGGTGTGAGATTTCCAAGTGTGCACCAGTTTCTTGGGCACGTAGTTCTTGGTGCTGCCAACTTCCTTTTTCAGATCGATATCCAAATCCTGTGGCACATGCATATAAGTCCGGCCCATATAATCGAACTGCTCGGATCCATGGAACTCGGATTTTTCCACCTGGGACGAATCGTCCTGGTAATCTGTGGCCTCCTTGCTCATCGCCGGCATATGAGCCGGAACCTCCTCCTCTTCCTCCACATATTCCTCATCACTGGCCAGCTCCCGGTCCAGCTCAGCGGTCTCTTCCTCATAAATATGGTCGTCATCTTTGTACTTGGCCCAAGGACCAAGATACGCCCCATCGCCCTCGACAATACTAGGATCGCCTTTTCGCTGCCGTTTGGCGCGCAGCGCCGCCGAAACATCCTTGGAAGGCTTCATCTGCACAATGTCACGGCCCCCGTGCAGTGCGGCATGGTTTAAATCACCGACAAATTGCTCTGGTAGACCGGGATTGCGCGTGTAGCCCAAACTCTGAAACGTGCGATGCTGCGCGGCAAAAGTGGCTTCGCTGATGGCGGCTTCCTCTGCAAATCCGGTAGGGACATTTTTCCTTTTCAGGCCGTTGGCTGCTCCGGCGGGTTTAAAGGGGTTCACTGGACCTTGGGACGGACGCGAAAGATCATCATATGTGGCGTTGTAGGTGAGGGCGGTTGAGGAGGTGTTAGCGAGCATCATCTGCTTATGCGCTTGGTCCTGTAGGTTTGTTAGATATCATTGCCACAACACTGCGGACGAAATAAAGCGATAATATATGAAGAAAAATAAGGAAATATCAAGGGACCAAACCTCTGTGTTCACTTCCGGCGCTGCGACGATCTTGGTCGCTGCTGTCGCCGCCTGAGTCTGGGGGACAGACGAGGTGGCTTCATCGTCGCTCGAATCATAACTGGCTCCGAGTAACGATGCCATGATGAAGACTATATGAGATGAATGGTATAGGATGATCCTAAACCACGTCGAAGTTGATGACGAGGTAAGGGTTGCGGAGTTGATCTGGACGGAGTTTTGGAGAAGGCGGAGTCTGGAATTTTACGGGCGGCGGGAGAACCACGCAGCGAAGATCTGAGGGTATCAATGAAGGCTTTTATGAGCAGCAATTATTATGCAAGAAGATTTACTTTTTGATCTCGAGTTGAATTGTATCTGGAACTAATAGATGAAGGGTATCGTACGCTCTTCATTGTCAAACCGCTTGAAAGGTATATACAACTTCTGGGGAAAGTGAAGAAGACATCAACAAGGAAATACAAAAGCAACATAAACAACTCAAAATCAATACATGGACAGACATTACACTTTCGCAGTGTCTTTAGTTCCCTTTCACCATTTTTCCCCCTCATCTTTGATCCAACTTGAGAGCACCAAGGACTAGGATTCTACATCTCATACCGGTCGTCTATGTCAGGTTCGGGTTCACATTATCATATACGATTTGGTCTTGTCCAGCATGGTTCGACATGCCAACCGCAATCCCTGGAGGATTGGTCACAGTTGGCGAGGCAATCCCATCGATAGGAAGATATGGCGGCAGGGGTCCTGCACGCTTCATTCGACCACTCCCCCATTGCTCTCCGTGTAAAGACAAACGCAACATTATGCGATTAGCCTAAACGGCCATTGCGCATCGCGTCTCCAGTCTTTGCACGAAGTCAGTGAGATTCATCGCGGATCAGAGCGACGATCATGCTGTAGAGGTAGAAGAAGAACATCAAGAGGTGGAAGCCCAACTTGATAAAGGATTCCTACAATGATTCTGTCAGATCATATCCCATACACACCATGACGGGAATATGACGAAGGACAAAACGCACCTTCTTGTGGACATTCAACTTGCGGAAGATCTCGGTCGCATCCAACAAGTGCTGGTTGTCGAAGATCCTGTAGAAAGGGAACAGCCAATTAGCCTAATGTTCAAGGTGAAGCTATAGCATATTCGGGAAAAACGTACTTCTTTGCATTGAACGCCAACAGAGGCAGGTTCAGCACAATCGCAAGCCAGTAGCCGTTGATAACGAACAAGAAGGTCAGGAAGGCGTGAACAGCGGCTTCAGGAATGATGTAGGCATTGAGGCGGTTGCAGAGGTCAATGGGGTTGATGTAGTCACTGTGCGAAAAAAGCAGGTCAGTGCGCGTGCTCAAACTCGGCGCAATCGCTCGAGGACAGAAGGTTTGGACCCCTGGCCTTGAATCTATGCATAGGGGATGAAGGACATAGCGGAAGCCACGGAACATACCATTCCAGATCGCTGTACATGATGGTGAAGAACACCTGCAAGAACAGGTTGACGGCGTTAATCAACACCGCCAAGAGATAAAGCCACGCTTCACCGGACATGTTGGACACGGATCGAGAAAAATAGATATTATATTATTAACAGCGAAGAGAAGCAAGCAGCAGCTCAGCCGAGGAAGAAGAAGTTGAAGCTGTTTCGGAGCGGTGAGGTGGAGGGGGGAGGAAGAGAAGCTGGGGTGGATGGAAGAGCACCGGAAATGGAGAGCTTGACTTGGGAGAGAATTGTGGGCGGTCTGGGGGAGAACAGCTCGGGTAAGGAAGAGGGCGACAGAGAGCTCAAGGGAGAGGAACAGAAACGGAGAGGATGTGAGAAAAGGAGTCGAGTTCTTCAACAATAGTTAAAGAAGAGGAGAAAATGAGGAGTGGAGAGGAAGAGGAGGAAGAAGAGGAAGAGCGAGCAGCTGGGGAGAGCGGTTGGTGGTGGATGCGTCGGTCGAATTTGGCTCCTTTGAGGGGGGCGGAACTTGGTGTAGTAGTTATACCAGCCACCAAAAGCGCTCAGGACACTCGAGGATGGGATTATAGCTTATGGTTGATATTAAATTGATATATCGAAGATCAAGGTATTATTGTTATCGTCCTTACAATCCCTGTGTCGAATGGTCCAGGCCAATAAACATCCACTCATTATACGCTGCGGAGAACACAAGATGACGTTGAGAACACGTGCTTCCATCCGCATCTGGCGCTTTCCATTGGCTTTGAATACGCAGGGAGAGAAGATATCATATGAATAGTATCACGTTCGCTCAGCAACTGTATATATGCTATTTACATCCTTATGATTGACATCGTCATCGTCACATTGGTCCCCGATTGCATAATAACTTTAGCAAAAACAGATAATTGCAAATCCAAAAAGAACAAGAAAAGGAACAGCCATCATCAATCAGTTAGAATCACCGCTTCTCTACAAGCAGGATATGCATAGCTCCATAAGCAATTATGATGAACGCTCCCGAAATCACGGCAAGTCCGATCACATCCTTCCACAACGCCAAAGTGTCAAAGCCAAAGGCACTAAGGATAGAAGCTCCTGGTACTTCAATATCGAGGCCATATTTGTGGTCAATCAATCTGAGGAAAGTCACTTCGTTGACAATGAGCGCCTCAAATCCATAGTGGAAAATGGATAGCTAGAAAGAAATACAAGTTAGTTCATGGCTTCCTAAACGGGGTATTCTTAGGAGTAAACTCACCATTTGCAACCACATGGCGGATTTCGGAATCGCGTCGTGGTTAAGCAGAAGACCCGCGAACAACAAGCTGAACAGCATCACAAGACTTCCAATCAAGTTGGCAACTCCACCGTCCCGGAACACGATCCCAATGAACAAGCAGATGTTTGCCGCAGCCAGGTTGAAGAGGACCAAAACCAAGATGAACCGGAGGAACTCGGGCCACGCCGGGATCAAACCTGTCATAGGATACACGATCATACCCATTATGATAGGAGGAATCAATCTCAAAGGAACGATATCAAACACCACCTTAGCTGCGAAGTAGGTAATCGGGTGATAATAGCCATTGGCTCGCTCGCGGACAAACAAGAGTCGCTCTGACGAGAACACCGTCAGACTGGTAAGCGTGCTGAAACCAAACAGGGCCAGGATGAAGAAAAAGAGTCCGAGCCGGTTCTGGAAACCCTTAATGTCATCGGTCAGGCCATAGAACAGATATCCACAAAGCACGGCGAGGAGAATTGAGATAGCATAATGCGTAAGCATGAGCATTGGGTTCCGATACAGGTTACGCCAGGTTCGCTGCGAGAGAATGATAAATTGCCGAGCCAGACCAACCCGTGCATAGCTCTTATGGGAACCGGTAACGGGGCCCGACAATGCATCCGAATTGGCCGAGCCATTCGCCGCTCTGGCACTCTGAACAGCTGCCACAATCTCATCATGCACGGAGCGAGCGACATCAGAACTGGAATAGTTGGCGACTAGGATGTCAAGATCGGTTTGGCCGGGTGCAATTGGAGGTAGCTGGTCGGGGTCATCGAGAATCTGGGGTGGAACATTGCCGGGTTGACGAGAAAGTCGGAGCCACTGTTGAGAGCTCTCCGTTGGGTGTGCATCCTCATCATCCGTCTTAGGAGTGGGTGGTGCGTCGCGGTCCTTCTTACGAGAGTAAAGCTGTCTGTCCTGTCGTTGCTTGACCGATGCTTGTCGTTTGCTTTTGGGTCTAGAGTTGTCTTCAATGCTCGCATTCGACACGCTGGCAACCGACTTCACTGCACGTAGGCTGCTTGAGGCGGTCTTGGACGTATCTGCCGGTACCTCCAACAGGGGCGATCCTATATCGTCACTGTATGATCGGACAGCGCTGGCATGCATGGTGAGATCCACGAGGTAATCAGCAATGTTAAATCCAGGAGGGCAAGAGTATCCTGCATTGTCAAAGTATTGCTGGCATGTCGAGAACGGACCAGAGTACACTGTCCTCCCATGGGCTAAGAGAACAAGTCGATCGAATAGAGCAACAATGTTTGAACGCGGCTGATGGATGGTGAAGATAACTGTACGGTTGTAGGTCTTGGCTAGTGTGACCAGACATTCGACCACGTTAAAAGCATTGTATGCATCCTGATATAAGCGTTAGTAACTAAGTAGATGAGCTGGGGCTGTCATGTCATTCTTACCAATCCGCTGGTAGGTTCATCCAGGAAAAGAACGCTCGGGCTGGTGACAAGCTCGCAAGCAATTCCAACTCGGCGCTTTTCTCCACCGGAAATACCACGACCTTTACCTTCCTCAGATCCGATCAGCTGATCCCTAATGTGATAGATTCCAAGCTGTTTCTCGACTTCAATCACCCTCTGCTCCTTAGCACCTCGGCTCATGTCCCGGGGCAATCTCAGCAAGGCGCTTGTGAGGATGGTCTCATGAACAGTCAAAGTCGGGAGCATGGTGTCTTCTTGATCGACGAAGCCGATCATGTTCTTGAAATCGTAGTCACTGATCTTCTCTCCGTTGACATAGAATTCACCACGGATCGCACCCCGCTTGTTCTTCCGAGCCAGGATATCGAGGAAGGAGGTCTTCCCTGCACCCGATGCTCCCATGATAGCTGTAATCTGACCATGTGGTGCCGCGCCTTGAATCCCAGAAAGGATCTCCTTTCCATTCAGATAGTATGAAACATTATCCCAATACAAAGCAGCCGGCTTGTGCTCCGCCAAGAGTCTGGCATTTTCGTCATCCGAATCATCAGACAGAGGCAATTGGATGCGACCCCGGTATGATCTACGGGACAAGTACCACACAGAGAGTATGACAGCAACAATGAAAAGCGCACAGCCCGCAATCACACCCGCAATAAGTGGAGTGTTGATCTTCTTGACTGGGCGCACATATCCCGGCACGTCAGTCTTGTACAGGCACTCTCCCGAATCACAAGCGAGCGTAATACTCTCATCACCGAAAATACTCTTGATCAAATCATCCATTGCGGGCTCTTTAAATTTGCTGCCATCGTCGGGGCTGCCGCCCAGAGTCGACAAGGACGAAAACTGGGCCGGGCCCTTGATGGCCTGGTCGAGGAAAGCTCCGATATCGATAGAGCCAGCTTCACCACACAGCATCCTTCCAGGAATGCATTTGCACTGAATATTCTGGCACTTATAGCTGGTCGTGTTGCGCTCGTAGTCGGTTTCCAAGCTCCATTCGCATGTATCCAAGCCACAGTAAAACGATTCCTTCTGGTCTACCCAGAACTGAAAGTTACAGGAACTGTCATCCGCATCGCACGAGAAAGTCACTTGGGGCTTCCGGCCATCGAGCTGTTTCAAGATCATCTTGTTTGTCACGTCGCACATCTGGAAGTTCTGCTTGACTGTAATTCCCTGCTTATAACAAACGCCCCCTTCACCTTCCGGCATCATCGCATTGCATGCATTATCTGTCTTGCAGACATTGCAGTTGATTCCCTCCCAGCCTTCACCGCAAGAGCAAGTATCGCCATTTCGGGGTGCTCTGTTGCCACCGTCGGCCAGGGAGCCACACACAGGTTCTGAGCAATCATCACCCCCGAACCCAGGCGGACATGTACATTTCCCATTATATTTGTTGCACTGTGCAAACTGCGCGCATTGAAAAGCGTCTAGCTGGCAGTTGAAACAAGGAGGACACCCGGCGGGACGGTCGTCTAAAGTCGACAGGAGCGAGCGCGGCACAAGGTTGGCGTCAGAATAGTTGCTCTGAGCTGCCACATTTGATGCGATCAACGAGACCAAAGCGGCAAAGGAAAGCCGCATCGCTGACTTCAAATGCATCTTGGTCGGTGTGGACGTGAGCCTTCTCTGAAAGAGCGGAAGTAATGAGACTCCGAAGGCCACGGAGTTACGAGGCGAATCACAAGAAAAGCCACAGATGACGATTCAACATTGGTATAGTTGTGACTGATGAAAGACAAAAGTGACAAATTGTTGAAATACCCCCCACGACTTCAGCAACAACAAGAGGATGTGAAGAAGAGAGAGTCAGCAAAAGGCGGAGGTCGGTTGCTGGGACCTGGGCTGATGGGGCCGATGACGATAGGTGGAGAGCGCTAAAGGAAGTGGCAGTGAAGGCGAAGCGGGTGTGAGATCGAAGGATTGAGGTTGTTGATAACAATTATTTAGGACGGCCAGGATGGTACAGGGTAAATGAGTGGACTGTTGCATGAAGCAAAATGATAATACTGGAATATGACCATTGCATGATGTTGTCACGATTCTTGCCTGGAGGAAATGCACAGGGCACGTGACCCGGTGCCTGGAGATGGATTCTCCAAAACGCACCAGATTAAGAACGGAAGATTGGAGAAAGCAACGGAAAGAGATGGAGTCCGCCATCGTCCAGAACTCGGGCCATCGGATTATTCTCCAGCATCTCTTGAACCCATATAGCGATCATGGTTAAAATCGAAGCGTTTGCGGTCGAGCAGGTATGAATCCTTCCATCTTATTGATTTCATTTCCCCGCATTGCTTCATGAGGTCGTTTGTTCTGTGCTGACCCCGCTCCTGACAACCATAGTGGATGGACGAGTATGAAACCACTGCCAAGTACAATACGGCAGAGACCTGCTGCGCATCGATTTCCGTGGACGATCTCAAGGACTTGTCTGAAGACAAATCCTCCAACCTACTAGATATTTCCTCCACCAAGCTCACGTATGGCTCAATCCGAGGCTCCGAACAGCTGCGAGGGACATTGGCCAATCTCTATTCGGTCAAGACTCCAACGCCATTGTCTTCCGACAATGTGTTGATTACGCCCGGCGCAATCCAAGCCAATTTCCTACTTTTATATAGTCTGATCGGACCTGGGGATCATGTCATCTGTCACTATCCGACATACCAGCAGCTCTACTCGGTACCTCAGTCACTCGGGGCCGAGGTGAGTCTCTGGAAGTCCAAGGAGGCTGACGGGTGGAAGTTGGATATCAATGAATTAAAACAGCTCATTCAACCGAACACCAAGCTCATCATTCTCAAGTATGTTGCTTTCCTCATTACTTGCACTCTTGTTATCAGTGTCTGACGCTTCTTTTCTCCCTCAGCAACCCTCAAAATCCTACAGGAGCTATTATTCCCCAAGCCACGTTAGAGGAAATCGTCGAGATTGCACGGGAATCGAATATTCTTATTCATTCAGACGAAGTCTATCGGCCTCTGTTCCATTCCATTAGCCCCATGGAGCCGGAGTTCCCGTCCTCTCTCCTGTCTCTCGGATACGAACGCACAATTGTGACGGGCTCAATGTCTAAAGCATATAGTCTGGCAGGTATCCGTGTTGGCTGGGTTGCCTCGCGCGATCGGTCCGTCATTGAAGCGTGTGCCGCTGCTCGACACTATACAACCATCTCTGTTGGTCAGATTGACGATGCCATTGCAAGCTATGCGCTTTCTCCATACTGCATTCACAGTTTGCTGAGACGAAATATTGATCTGGCAAAGAAAAACCTGGAAATTCTCGAAAAATTCATCGAATCCCACCGGTGGGCATGCGAATGGGTCAAACCCCGTGCAGGAACAACAGCGTTTGTGCGATTTACGAAGATGGGAAAACCTATAGATGATGTTGCATTCTGCAAGATACTTCTAGAGAAGACGGGTGTAATGTTTGTTCCAGGAAGTTTCTGTTTCGGAGGGGGGGAGGATTTCAAGGGCTATGTTCGCATCGGGTTTGTACCTGAGACAGAAGTATTGGAGAAGGGATTGGAAGCGCTGGCCTCGTTCATGGACGAGGAATATGAAGATGTGCCGTCGATAAAGAAGAAGTAATAGCATCCGTTTGCAGCTATATATTTTACCGATATTGGGTATCGTCATGTTGGCTTTGCTCCACCAGGAATAAATTCTGCGAAACTATTGCAGTGTTTTCAAATTGGACATCGGCGATTTACTCTAAAACTAGGCTTAATCCAAAGAATGTAAATACTTGATGGAATACTATGATGGTGTAGGACAGCCAAAAGTGGTTACACAGACTAGAGTGGCAAGCGGAGGTGGAGAAAGAAATCGATCATCCATCCAAAAACTTCAAAAACTGAACAATCATATTGCATGCAATTCGGATGTGATCATAAAATGCATTAGCGTTCACATCTTCGTCTCCAGTTTTTTTCTTTTTTGGTTCTCCCCAACATCCTCCCTCTTGCGTCTTTCCGCCAGTCCCGAAATTCCAGCTACGAACCGAGGCTCGTCAGTTTGTCGACTGCCCATATTTGGTCCCTGCGTCACCTCCCTCCATCGTCTTTAAATTGGTCCTACCTGGGGAATCTTTCCTTCTTTTTTCTTTCTTCTTCTCTCCTTTCTATTTTCATCATCACCCACCCATCCTTGCTGCAATATTTAAGCAACAACATCTGTTGTTTAGCTTAAGTCCGAACTCCTTACCGACCGACTGTCTGGAGCGAGGTGATCCACACCCCTCTGCTACAATGCTACCGTTGCCAGGTATGTAGACGGGAATAAGTCTGCGCATGCAGGATAATACCTGAGCTATTTTGTTCGAATGAAATGCTGATGAAATTCTCCGGTAGATGTCCCTCTGGGCGTCGCTGTTCCTGCCGCCGCGACCACATTGGCCTATCTGAACGCACGATGGTCGCTGTCTTATGATTGGAAAATTATTCAGGGCATTCTCAAGATTGCCTTAAAGTCTCGACTCGCGCTCAAAAGAGATCAACTCAATCTGTTCTACGTGCTGGAGAGTTACGCGCTAGGTTCCGCAACCGCAAACCACCCTTTTATCGTTTACAATGGCCGTACCTGGACGTATCACGAAACTTACGAGACAACACTTCGCTATGGCGCATGGTTTAAGAATGTCCATGGGGTTAAGCCGAAGGAAATTGTGGCTATGGACTTTATGAACTCTTCGACATTTATCTTCCTCGTGTTTGGTCTCTGGAGTATAGGCGCCGTGCCTGCCTTTATCAACTATAACCTGTCTGGAAAGCCTTTGACACACTCGGTGCGGACGTCGACAGCGAGATTGTTGATTGTGGATGAGGAAGTCCGCCAAAACTTTCCTGCCGAACAGATGGAAACCTTTGCTGCTTCTGACTTCCGTGATGGAGGTGGTTCAGTGGAGGTGGTCTTTTTCACACCCGATATTGAGAATCAGATCCTGCAAACAGCACCAACCCGACAGGATGATAAATTGCGTACTGGTGTGGTATTGAGTGATATGGCTTTGCTGATCTACACCAGTGGAACTACCGGTCTTCCCAAACCGGCCATTGTCAGCTGGAGGAAGTGTCTTTCGGGTGGTATGTTTGTCAATAATTGGTTGAAGGTCAGGCAAGAAGATCGGCTTTTCACTGTGAGTTTTCCTCTTTTGGACCTTTAAGAGTGAGACCTAACTTTGAGACAGTGTATGCCACTTTACCATTCATCTGCTGCTCTTCTGGGTCTAGTGAACTGCTTGATTGGTGGAGCGACATTAATTGTCGGCCGCAAGTTCTCCGCTAGGAATTTTATGAAAGAGGCGCGTGAGAACGATGCAACCATCGTCCAATATGTTGGGGAGACGATGCGATATCTCCTGGCTGCTCCGGCGGACATTGACCCCACCACGGGCGAGGACTTGGATAAGAAACATAGGGTGCGCGTGGCATTCGGAAACGGGTTGCGACCGGACATCTGGAATAAGGTTAAGGAGCGATTCAATATCCCCAGCATTGGAGAGTTCTATGCGGCCACGGAAGGTACATCTGGATCGTGGAACTTTTCGTCCAACGACTTCTCAGCGGGTGCCATTGGTCGGAACGGCATTGTCAGCAACTGGCTCTTGGGAAGAGGTCTTGCCATTGTTGAAGTCGATCATGAATCCCAACAGCCGTGGCGCGACCCCAAGACAGGGCTGTGCAAGGTGGTTCCCCGGGGCGATCCAGGCGAGCTGTTATATGCCATCGATGCACAAAACCCCACCGAGACCTTCCAGGGCTACTTCAAAAACCCCAAGGCTACCGAAGGCAAGATTATACGCGACGTGGTCAAGAAGGGCGATGCATTTTTCCGCACAGGGGACATGGTCCGATGGGACAATGAAGGCCGCTGGTACTTCTCTGACCGACTTGGTGACACTTTCCGGTGGAAGAGTGAGAATGTGTCGACCAGCGAGGTAGCTGAAGTGATGGGTGGACATCCTGATCTGCACGAGGCCAATGTGTATGGCGTGGCTCTGCCCAACCACGATGGACGCGCTGGATGCGCAGCCGTTGTCTTCAAGCACCAGATCGAAGCTGGCGACACCACCTCCGTCATTGAGCCGTCGAAGGAGACACTGGACAGCCTTGCAGCTCATGCTTTGAAAAACCTCCCCAGATTCGCCGCGCCGCTCTTTATCCGAGTTACACCAGAGATGCAGGCAACAGGAAACAACAAGCAACAGAAGCATGTGCTGCGGACGCAGGGAGTGGACCCGTCTCTCGTGGGCTCCACGGATAAGGTATACTGGCTCCAGGGAACCAAGTATGTGCCATTTGAGCAGAAGGACTGGGAGCGACTTCAGGGTGGACAGGTGAAGTTGTAGATTCTCATTCAGGCGGTGACCTATAATATTCAAGCGTGTAGATACCCTTCATTATTAAGTGATTATCATTGAATCATATATTTATATCTTCATTTCTGCGTCAGTTCCTAAATCCACTCCATCTTCCCTGTCTGGCATCAGACCATCCGATTCAATCCCCAGACAATCCAACATCCTCGCCATACTATTATCAACGGCCTCATTCAACCCTTTTAGTCTCTCACATAAATGCATGTAGTAGGGGAGACTTGATCACTAGCTGTTCCTGTCTAATCTCCATAACACATCAGGCAGGTGTACAATATGTGGGTGGCCTCAGGGGCGAAGGATATTCCCCAGGCTATGGTGCTTGGTGGACCCCTGGCTGCTAAATTTATGGGAGGAATGCCTCTCCCAGTGGGCGTGTCTAAGTCTAACCGAATCTTGTGATATTATCGACCTGAATAATAATAACAAATCATGTCATATTCTGGACAGCATCACTGCCACTTTACTATCTTCCAGGACATTCAGCGCTATCACCAATGATTATCCACCCATTACCACCACACAACTTGCCATCTCCACCGCCATGAGTAACAAGACACTATACGAGGTCAGTCTCATATCTAAGAAGAGGTAGAATAAAGCCATACACTCGTTCCCTCCTTACAAGAACTAAAACATGGTGTTGGTCAAAATGCCTCATTCAAGATGATTCTTTATACTTACTGGTTCGCACCGCCAATTTTACAACTTGCGCCATTGCATGTCTATTCGCCATCAGACACAGGAATTGATTAAAAGGGATATGGATCACATACACCGCAAAACGCCCATCCATTGGGACAAGCCCGTGCCTGTTTGATGCGGGAATTAGTTTGGTTTTGGGCGGGTGCAGCCATCGTCATGGCTGCGGTGGCCATAAAGAAGAGGATGAGGGGTTTCAAATGCATTGTACAGCTTGGGAAGGAGAGTAGTCTGCTTTGCAGGATCGGAATGATTGTATGTGTATATAGTCAGTGAGAAGAAAGGAAGAAAGAATGGTTTACTCTTTATATAACCCAAGGTGAGGCTCAAAACAGCTCAGGTGGTACATTCTATATATAAAAACCAGTGATACTTTTGACACTGCCAGGAAATGAGTACATGAGCACAATATACATGGATGATTGGGGGGGGGATGGTTTGCCTCGACTACAGACCTCGATAATGACTATCTTGGTGTCGCGGTGATGTGACAATAATCTGCTTGTCAGAGTCACAGTGGACTTGTCGTGTCGTAGGCAGAAGAGCCTCACCAAGAGGCTCCAGTGATAATATTTAGAGCCTTGTATATCTTCAAATATAGGCCGTGATAAAAGCTGACGTTGACTCTCCGCATATACGTACATGGGAGTACCTTGCCCACAAGTACCACTTGGCTAATTCATTCCGAAATATCTTACAAAAGACTGTCAGATTATAGAGCAAAGCATCCTATTGACTGATTTGCGCAACACCTATAAAGAGAGGGCTTATATTTTGCAGCCTCATGTATCCTCTTAGACCTGGTTTTGGTGGGATCTGGACTGTTAGTCATTCATAAGTAGCCTTACTGCTGTTACATCTGATTATCCTATATCCAGTATCATCATGGAAAGTCATGGTTCTTCCATACTCTGCCATAAAGTCTCATAATCTCATATACAGTCTGTCTTTGCGTAGTGACGGCTAAGTCGGTCAGTCAACTATTATGAGGTCCCTTGCCCGGACCTGGCAGAGACGGTATCCCTGCGATGGGGCCAAAGTGATGATTTTATGATATGAATTGTGTTAATGTGGATTATGTTTGCTGCTTGAAGTGTAAATGTACTTAGGGCTGTCATCGATTGTCTCCGAGGATAGGGTCTATGCCAACTATATGGCTAATACCCCAGAGCTCTATCAACCTTATTAGAAACTTCCTCCCTCTTCATCCACCTCTCCAGATTCCCCTTTAAGATCTTCAATCCACGCTCGTTATACTGCGTTGAACATCCCCCACAGTGCGGCGTGATAATCACATTCTTAACATTCCACAACTCATGGTCTGACGGTAATGGCTCAGGGTCTGTCTTATCCAGCGCCGCACCCCGAATCTTGCCGGTATGCAGCGCATCCAACAGCGCATCTGTGTTGATTACCTTACCCCGGGATGCATTACTCAGGAACGGCTTTTTCTTACTCAAGATGTCGAATTGCTCACGGCCGATCAAGCCCTTTGTGTCTTTGGTGATTGGGGCAGTAATGACGAGGAGATCAAGATCTGACGCGAGAAAAGTGTTCAGCTCATTCTTTTCGGCTGAGTACCATTTCGATGGGAGTTCGCCGTTGGGGTCGCCTGTTCCTGGCACAGTGAAGGTGTTGGCCTTTCGTGACACGGAGGTTGATCGGTCATGGTATGTGTAGGCGTAAACATCCATCCCAAGTGCTTTGGCGACGCGGGCACATTGTCGACCGACGGAGCCATAGCCGAGAAGGCCTCTATATATCGTCAGTATGTATTAAGCAAGGTGGAGTGGGAGACATACACTCTGAGACCGACTGCGTCCTCGGTGTCTTCGTCTGACTCGGGGTCCATCCATTTGTTCTCTTTTTGGTACTCCATGTATTGGGGGACTTTTTATTTAGCATGTGTTCTCCTCTGACAATCAAATTAAACTTACTGTGATGTTGAAAAGAAAGATAAGTCGAAAAGACCCATTCCGCCATTTGAGGTCTATCACATCACCATCAACAAATCTACCCTTAACAAAAAACAAGAAAACAAGAAGTAAAACATACCCATGAATCCCACTAGCCGTCGCAAACGTAATATCCGTCTTCTCATACAACGGCAATCCATGAATCTGATTACACCCCCCACTCAGCACCTGCACGAACCGCAGATTCGGCACCATTTCCGGCGTCGGGTACAGCTTCCTCGTGGCAAGAACGGTCACACTCTTCCAGACCTCTTCAGGGAGATCTGGGACTTCAGTATCCCAGATGCTGACTTGGTGGCATATGATGCGGAGGTTGGGGAGGGCTTGGGATACAGCTGAGATCCATGATTCGGGGGGAGTCCAGTGGATGATGACCAGGAGGGTGTCTTGGGTGGGTGTGACCATGGCTATTATGGTCAATTGGTGATTCCTGGGTTAATTGAAGGAATCGAGACCGTGTATCTTGAATTATTCTTCGGGTTGTCCTGCTCTGGAAAACGTGGGGTAGAAACTATTCAGCTCGCTTATACAAATCAGGTGACCTGTCTCGTATATAAATATTGAAGATCACTTCTATATAGACAGTCAATCAAATATAATGGGAGTGGCAACGGATGTGAATCAGAGTGCAGGTTACACACCTCCGATGAATGAGACTGAGACAAGTAATCTGCTTGCCCAGCCAGTTCCAGAGTATTTATCCTCTCTAGTATCTTGTATCCACATGCCTGTAGGCGATTCCCCAACTCAGCTGTACCCTGTTATTTCAAAATCTCAACATTGCCATTCCCCTCCAGCTCAGCCGTATGTATCGCCGACGCCATCTCAGGAGGAGGGGCCCATATTTCAGCCGGCCGAGCCATACCGGCCCCTGATAATTCATTCTTAAACTCGGGCCTTTGATCCCCCCAAGTCTGAGTCTGAGTCTGAGTCTGAGTGGGGGCAACACCTGAATTGCGAGCCCGTCGCCGTGTCCAAAATAGCAGCGCAGCAAGAATAATAATAAGTAGTCCTGCGAGTCCGACTCCGACGCCGATTCCCACTTTGGCACCCGTTGATAGACTCGCAGAGGTTTGTTCTTCTGTTGTACCAGCACTGGTATTTGTAGCGGTAGCGGAGAATGTTTGTGTCGAGGTTGGCGTCGCGGAAACAGAAGCAGGAGAGGAGGCAGAATCAGGACCTTTTCGGATTCGAATACCGTATGCGTTTATTCCACCACCCACGGCTGTTGTGCTTGTTTTCTGGCTGCCGGATGTGAAAAAGGTGACGGTGTACGTTGAGGTATCGGGAGTAGCGTGTGTGCAGAGTTCGGTGGAGTACCAGGGCCAGCCTGTTTCTGTCTGGCAGGCATAGGAACTAGTGAATAAGTATCATAACTGGTATTCACTTGAGAAAAGTATGCGTACCTCGGACAACAAGTGGAGAAGGTCTCTGATGCAGTGCCGTTGGCTGTATGCGAACGCGCGACAGTATGCCCCGATGGACAGACACCGGGAGAGTAGTAAAAGGACGTTGCAGGGTCGGTCGTGAAGCCAGACGGATTGCAATTGAGGTCGAGGCTAGGTCCAAGGCGCCCAAAGTCGCAAAGGCTCGTTCCACATTTCCAATTGGAGGCTACATATGGGTATATATCCGTAGTGCAGTAGGAAGGAGGAGTAAATGTGGTGGTGAGAGCGCCCAGATTGACGGACATGACGAAGAGAGATTGGATTGAGATTCAAAATCCAGCTGGGGGGAGTGGCGAGATATAAGCGAACTCCCCTGGTGAATGAGTATCACCATCACAAGGCTAAGCGCTGCATCTGCAGGGTATATAGCCGCCGAACCCCCATTTAGCGTGATGTGCTTCTCGATTTTTTATTATCTGGTAAAACATTTAAAGGTTTGATTATTCTAGTCATATGTATTAATCTATATTATAAATACTCTACTTCTGCTTTAGAATATCCCTGGCCCTGTTGCACGAATACTATTCAAGGCTTCTAGATAACCTCCCCTCAAGCTTTCTTTTCTTATTTAGAGCGCTCAGCCCTATGAATACGAGTAAATTAATTTACCCCTAGTGTGGCTGTTCAGCTAATATTACATAGAGCAATTCTATAGTCCTAGGTAGAATGCTAGTAGGTATTCTTTTGTGTATCCCCTGCACTTGTGCCATATAAGCTCATATCATATGCAGGGTACCTATATTAGCCTTATTTCATCAGCCAATGACGTTTGAGTTTTCTGCTACATCAGCAGGAGTCCAAGGCTTCGCCGGTACTGCGCGAAGGCATCTAGAAAAGTGCTGCCGGCGGCGTAGTTGGCCTGGCACGAGTACCCTTGGTGTCCCACTAGAGAGCTAAAAAGAAGGAAGAAATCTAGCTGGTGATGCTCGAATACGTGATGAAGGTTCCACGTTCCTGTAACCTTGGGCATTGTGGCTGCCTTCCAATCTTCAAGAGTCATCTGCAATAGAGCTCGATCCTAGAAAAGAGATTAGACGGAGGCTGACGCGAGAGAAGCTGATACGAGTATTCACCTGTAACACCATTGACAAGTGCAACACTCCAGAAATAGGCCGCGGGCGACAGTCTACTGCTATTCTAACGTCCGCGATATCTGCCACAGTTCCTGTTACTAGATTCACGGTGCATCCCTGGGAATTGAGCCCACAGAAGAGGTCTTGACTCCGGGCAGAACTGTCAGCAGAACTCTCAGCAGAGTGAAGGAGATAGACCAAATATTGGGCCAGCCCCATTTTCCACCGTCCAGGTAGAAATGGCTCGACCAAAACCGCCAAGTCCACCGACAAGCAGATAGGAAGATTCGCTGCAGAAGAGAGGGGGCCCTGAATTGACTGCTAGACTGGTGGTTAATTGTTTGGAATCTTCCGGCATCCGGATCACAATCTTGCCAACATGCTGTCCACTCTGCATGTATCTGAAGGCCTTTTTAACGTCTACTGCTTGGAAAAGGTTGACTGGCTGGATGGGCCTCAGTCGGCCTTTGTGGAGAAGGTTCATGGCTTGCTCGAGATAACTGACAGGCAGTCAGCTCTTAGCACATTCCCGGATATCTCGTGCGGAGCTCCTACCTAAGGATCTTCTGTGGCCTGGTTTTTAACCAACGGTATCAGATCAACACCAAAGAAAGCATGGTTTGCACCAAAATCGTCATGCTGAGCATTCCGTAGTCTAGAAACTCATCGAGGACCTGAACTCGATGTGAGACTCTAGACAAAAGCAATGTGCAGATCGCATCATCAGCCACCAGAGCTTCTGGGACAGCGGTCGAATATCCTTCTATCTACCGGTGAAAGTAGACACGGAGGAGACGAAAAAGAGATGAGGGTGCTGGGGCGACTGCAGGGAGAAATCGATCAGACTGCGTACGCCTCGGATTTCGTGTGCTGGAAGACCTCGAGGCAGCAGCCAGTTCACCTCCCATACATTATGCACGATGGTGTCCACCTGATGGAGTAGTGTCCTGTATGTGCAGTGCGGTATGCCCAGGTTTTCTTTTGCCAGGTCGATCTGGAGGAACTCGGCCTTTGCAGGCAGGGGATCTGACAGTAAGCCCTTTTGCCTGAAAGAGTCTGTCTGTTTTGATTTGCCATTTTTTGGATCGATTCAGACAGAAGACGCATGAAATAGAATCATCCTGTAGCAGCGAAGATGGAATATATGAGCCCAAGGTGCCTGTAGAGCCGGTGAGAATAACATGACTGCTGCTGCTGGCATCAGACTGGGTATTTGGTTGTGAAGATTTGCAGTAAAAGAGTGAATCAGATCATCAATTTGCATGTTTATGACTGTCGAAAAGATAGACCAAAGAGAAGATAGACGAATAGAGAAGATTGAAATGGAAGAATGAATCTCTACTTATATATACATCCTGATTACTAAGAAAATGCATAAAAAGAAGCGTGATTCTCATTGGTTATTCTACCAGCAATAAATAAGAAAATGTCCATATAATTATGTAGGTAGTATTTATGCAAATGTAGAGGCAGCTGAAAAGACAGACTCAATTCTGCCAGTAGGATGCTCTCCATAAACCCCTTTAATATGATAACCTTGTTGTGAAACGACGGGTGTGCCATATAATAGGGCTAGACTATATGGTGCGGTGTTATTGACCAGGGTATAGGAATGACCGACTGGCATTATTCAATTCAATTTCTGATGACAAACTAATAAAGATCTTGTTTAAGTTGCTAGCCATTGTAAATTATATGAAGAGAAAGATATAATATGATGAGGTTCTAGAAGCCTGTAGAAAAGGGGGATCGCCAACGCCCCGCGGATGTTGACGTGCAGATCAGAGGGGCAATTCGAGTGAAAGGGCTGGATGCATTTAGTCTGTAAAAACGAGAAAAACACGGTCCAGCCAGACTGTCAGTGCTTTGGTAGATATAGCCTCGCTGCCCGTGTCTCTGAATTCTGCATTTCTTCCATCTTCATTCACTCAGTCACTCGTTATCTTTACCCTTTACCTTTAACCTAGTCATTCATTACTCTTCCTGCGGTGACATTTGCTTGTTCCTACTGCATCTTCCACATTTAAAACTGAAAAAAATATATTAACCAATTCTACTCTTCTTTACTGTTCTCTACTGTTATTCGCATTGATCTGTATGGTGGATCCATCTCATACTGGAGGACAGACTGCAGCACCCGCTGTGGTTATGCCAATACTGAGCAGCGACGAACCCCGAGTTGTCCTGCAAGATACTCATCCACATCCGGATCCCTTCGCTTCTCCTGGTCGCCGTCTCACGCCTCGTCCAACGTTCCTGGAAAATGTCGTCAATCCCTCACCTTCACCCACGCCGCGGCGAAGGAATTCCAGCGAACTAGTGCGCTATTTTGTATGTCCTGGATTTTCCCTCGAATAGGACAAAGCTAACTCACACTCCCTCCAGCACGGTCCTCGTGATTTGGATAAGCACTCGAAATGGCCCATCTTCTTCCGAATGCATGGCAGCGTGCTGCCCAAGCTCATTGTCCCCCTGGTTTTTGTCGCCCTTTGGTCTACCGTCGTCACGGTGGTTTGCAAATATGTATACAATCGTGAGTCTCTCAACCCAGTGTCTTTCAAATGATTCCGTCTAATATCTCATGGCAGTCGGCATCGACAACATCCTCCTTACCGTGACCGGACTCGTCGTTGGTTTGTCGCTATCATTCCAAAGCTCCACGGGCTATGAAAGATGGGCGGATGGTCGAAAATACTGGGCCCTGCTCCAACAGTCGTCTCGCAACCTGGCCCGTACCATCTGGATCAGCATTTCCGAACGAGAGGGCGATTTAGAAAAAGAAGACCTGCTGGAAAAACTGACCGCACTGAATCTGATTCTAGCATTTGCCATTGCCCTCAAACACAAGCTGCGTTTTGAGCCAGATGTCGGCTACGATGACCTCGCTGGTCTAGTGGGTCATCTCGATACATTTGCCAAAGAAGCCCACGACAACACGCGCCTGGCTCCTCCGAGAAAGTCAACCTGGAAATCCATTGGAGAATATCTGTCACTGTCTGTTGCCGAGTCGAATCCTCGGAAGCTCATCAAGCGGGCAAAGAAGCCCTTGGGCCACCTGCCGCTGGAGATTCTGAACCATCTGTCAGTCTACATCAACCAGTGTATTGGCAACAATACCCTCGGTGTCAATGTGTACCAAACACAAGCTAGTATGTTCCCTATTCTGTTTCCATGAGGCCATGCTGACGGTTGCAGTAAACTGCTTGTCCTCTCTGACCGAAGTCATGACTGGTACTGAACGTGTTCTGGATACCCCTCTGCCGGCAGCTTATACCATCTCAATCGCCCAAATTACCTGGATTTATGTTCTTGTTCTCCCCTTTCAGCTCTACGCGACTCTCTCCTGGGTATCTATTCCGGGATCAATTGGTACGCCCCCACTGAATGATACATACAATCCTTGGAATTAATATAGAAAAACAGCTGCTGCATATGTTATCCTCGGTATCGCCGCGATCGGTCGTGAGATCGAAAACCCTTTTGGTGACGACGTCAACGATCTGCCCCTCGATACCTATTGCCGCAACATCGCCCAAGAGCTGGATATCATCACCGCATCGCCACCGCCTAAAGTCGAAGACTTCACTACCCACGAGGACAACCTACCGCTCTATCCACTCAGTACGGATGGGTACCCTGGATGGAAGGACAGGAGCGTCCAAGAGATCCGAGCGGCGCTCAGAGCAAAGGTTATCGCCAACACATCGCCTCTGGGTGGCCCTAGCCGGAGCAATTTAACTTTTAATACAGATCCAAGCATGAGTAGCAAGCAGTCTCTGTTTGGCTACGCGTGAGCAAAGCCTAGATTGAAAGTCCTGTTGAAGTTTGATTCAACTTGGACATTGCACTGCGTCTGTTTAGTTTTCATCTTTTATCGTTGTTTACATCGAGTTATTTTACAGTTATTCCTTGGAGACGGATCCGCCACTCTTTACTATACTTAACATTTCCTTTGTCAGACTTGTTATTGTTTACTGTTGTTTTTGCTGTTGCTGGGATTCTTACCATTGCTCTTATACTCAGATTGTGATTTCCATTCAGCTGCTGCTGCTGCTGCTGCTGCTGCTGCTGCTGCTGTTGTTGTTGTTGTTGTTGTTGTTGTTGTTGTTGTTGTTGTTGTTGTTGTTGTTTTGTTGATTGAAACCGTGACTTATTGGCTGTTGGCTATCATTAAAGAGGTTCGAAAAGAAACAAAAAAAGAAGAAGAGAAGAGAGAAAAGAGAAAATATAAGAAAAAAATATACATGTGGTGGATTCAAATAATACTTCTTTTCCTTTCTATAAAATCCGGTTCCGCTTAAGAATGACCCGGTTCCGCTGTAGTGAATAACGTTCGAGGTCATCTGGATAACCTCCCCTCGACTTCCCCCTTACACTCTGATAATAATCTCTCGTCTTCTATATTCCCCTTGTTTGCTTGGAGCCACTCAGCCCTATGGATACAAGCAAAGCCAGTAATTCAATTCTGAACCTCTATGACGTGAAAGAAGGGTCACGATGGGCCAACATCATCCTAGACCCTTCCCAACCTATGATAGAGCAAAAGAGGGAAGAAGGTAAGCTGAACTTCAGTCTCAGTCCTCTCACTTGTTAAATCCCAAACTAACAGATTACTCACTTTAACACCGACCTACAGCCCTATCTACCGAAGGACCACTACGCCTGAAACCATTCCCGGGCACCAAATGGCCCATAGGGCACGGTGATCGTATCGTCGAATTTGAATCACTTCTTAAAGATGAGCGTTTTGCCAGTAACTACAAAAACATCAGAGCTGCAATTGAGCATCATGCTTTTTTTGAGCCGGAGTTGATATGTCCTCATGAGAGACTGTTTTTCGCCGATGGTCAGCGTGTTGATACCATAGATATGAACAGTAGACCCCCGTTTTGGGAAGAGGTGCGTTATGTCTGTGTTACTAATATATGGTTTGTTTCTGACAGATGAATAGGGTCCTCCGATAAATATGTACTGAATGCCTGGTTTTCTCTCCAGTTGACAGCCTCTTTATGCCTATTCCATGACTAATAGAAAAGCTTTCTTGCTGGCCGACATGTCCATATTGCATGGGCTTAGATTCCCCTGATGAAGAAGTATAATAATCCGTATAAATAGATATAGTACAGTATTTAAGTAGGTATTAGCTTTCAACTACCCTTTTGATAAGCTATTAATTCAGTACTGAATTAGATGTCGGGTAAAAAGAACAGTATTTTATACAGCCCTCCTTCCATCCGCTGCACGTAGCCTATTTTTTCCCTTCCCTTTCCCATGTGTACCCCGTGACGCCATTTTTCTTTCCTCTCTCCTGAGAATCATCCATCCAGTTTTCTCATCCTGTTGGTATGCAGTCAACCCCTATAACCATTGACCAATGCTCACCATCATCTAAAACAAGTTCGTCGCCAAAATCCAATAGCACCTCAACCTTGCGTACTACATAGGACTGCTCCAAAGAGGGTGCGGGCTCACATTGTCGACCCCCTTCCCCCGCAATGGGGATATCGAAAGAAGACTTGGGGAAGATAGTGAAAGAGAGTGTTTAAAAAGCGCTTGAAAAAGAGCTCACAGGTGGACCAGCCACCCTCGCCAAAAAGGCGCAATCTAAGTCTAGACCGCAGCCACGAAGGCAATCGACTATAAGCAAATGGATAGACAAAGTGCTCGTATAGTCACTGTCAAGGAAGATACGAAAGAAAGGACAGAATACTCCCCTGTGTAGTCTTTTTCTGTTTGAGGTTTTTTGTTCTAGATACTATTTTACTCTGCAATGAACAGTCTTGGACACTCCGTAGGGTAAGATATAGTCAATACAAGGGTATTGGTAGTTGCTGTATAGTAGATAGTCATCAGCCGGCTTCGTAGCACAGATCTGCTTAAGCGAGTATCATATTCTGTACAGGTTCCTAGAAGTACAGTAGCCTTGGGGTAAGAGAGCAATATAATCACAGACGAAACAAAGAACCAGAAGAAGAACCAACGACAGGCTACTCTACCTTGACTGATGCCTGGAGGATTGGTATGAGATGGTGGTGATGATATTACAAAATTAGGCAGCGTGTGGTTGACTTGAGCTTCGTCGCATCTACAACTCTTTTCTCCACAGATCACATCTTCATTTCCATCAGATTCATTTCTATCTATCAAAATGATTCCCCTAAATCTCACCAACTGAATGGAGCTGATCCTCCTCTGCCCCCGTACACGCTCCACCCGAAGGATAACAGCCTCAGCGTTCTGAATCTAGCCAGTGCCTCAGCCCGGACCACCAAAGCCCACCGGAAATACGAAGCCTTATCATACAATTGTTACTGATTCGCGGAGGCGAGCTATATAACAGTTCGAAAGACTTGGAAGTGCGAGGAAAAAACATGGCCGTACAGCAACTTGCGTCACACGCTCCCTGCTGACGAAGTTGCCATTTGGCCTCCCTGGCTTATTATTTGGCACCTTTTGGCCAAGGTAAGATTCTTTTATATGCTTCGCGAAGGAATATTGAGTAACAGGATTGCAGAAACGGAGAGACGATGCAGCACGGGAATTCGAAGAACAAAGATCAGGTGGCACAACCATCTCTGCTGGAGTTCCATCGGGCTTTGAGTTGAGTCTGCGCGAGATTTATACCAATGCGACCCGGTTGGAAGCGGATGACGACACTGCTGCTTGGGAGATCATAGGGGCATGTTCTCTTTTCCAGTCATTGAATTTATCTAATGCTTTACTATAGGAAGAGGTGGACACCCTGGTGAAAAAGGATATCAAGAATGAGGATACCGCCTGCAAGTTGGAAGACCCCCAGAAGCTGGTATGTGATATGGCCTCGGTGGGAGATAGCAGTGCTAACAAACACAGATTGAGGATCTGCATATTCAGGAAGCATACGAGGCTGTCACCCAGGACAGCGAGAGTGCCAAATACATCGAGGTGTTTGACAAGTCCGGTGACCAGAAGCAGGAAGAGCCACAGAACCAGATCGAAGATGTGACTGACGATGGAAAGGCTGTTATATCCAAGGATGACCAGCTCAAGACGCAGACTATTCTCAAAGTGCTGGTTGGACGGTGGTTGCTGGAGTCTGAGAAGGAAGCCGATGCTTGATATGTCAGATACTATAGCCGTTCATCTGTTCAGAGTCCTAGAGAGAAACCTGTAGAACAATCCTTAGTCTGATTACGTTATGCGTATCTACAAGTGATATATTCACCTAGGGCTAGACTGTAGAATGCCCTCGAACCATCTAAGATAAGTTGAGCACTGCATGATGAGCTGAAACCTCAGCTGCGGCTGAGGTCACCCACCCCACTCTACTCTACATCAAAGCACCTGCGGTATAGAGAAGCAAAAGCTCCATTTATTTGACTTTCTTGCTGAATTGTCAAGCCATGCAACCAGAAGGCGGAAAGTACCTTTGGCTATCACTCTATCGCAAATCACCCAGAGTGGGCCTGAAGACCTTGTACAAGCCTGGCGCTCTTCACACCAAAGCGCCAAAAGCAGGGCTATTCTGGACGCAACTCCAAGGTACCATCTGGCTATGGCGTGTCATTGGTCGATGCAAGTTGTGCGACGTGACTGTAAGCGCTGATCGTCCGATCAGATTGGGTCTTTTCTTACGTGACTGTTGACTGTTTACACCCGGTCAGAACTATGACACAACCACACATTTAGCGAATGGTAGGAAGCCATCTCCTTGATATTGATCGTTGAATATTCAATTGGAATTAGACAAGTGGGCTTGTATTCGAGACGGTAATGTTAAGAGAGCTGAGCTGAATCTCAGCTATGACGTGTCTGGTGGGGGCCCTGAGGGGTATACGGAGTACACTATATTATGCAGGATAGTTGCATACGCGGGGTTCCGCCTTCAGGTGGCTTGATTTATGAGAGCTGAACCTCTGAAAATCACTCCGATCACCACAATTCAGTTACCTCATAGCTGAGATGACGTCGAATGCCTCTTCCCAAAGGTAGGCAACTTCAGCTCGTGGGTCCCATCTTTCAGCTCGGCGTTCAGCGCGTGGGTCGACCTCGAGGACCCGCCTGTTCGATTGGACTGCAGCAACCGGGATAGGAGGCAAGCGAGCTGATGGGCTGCCTCACCTTGTGCAGGAAGTTGCCAATGGCAGAGCTGGAGAACCTGGATCGCAAGATAGAAAGGAGGCCGTCTTCCCTTCCTCAGACCATCACACCTCAGCAATCCAATTCCCAAGCAATCTTATCCAACCACCCTTTCCATCCTCCTTCAATATGTCTGAGACTCACAACACCCTCGGTAACGATGAGTGGCTCCTCACGGGCCAAAGCCTGTGGAGTGAGAACGGCGTCTACGAGCTCAGAATGCAGGAGGACGGCAAGATTGTCTCCTACGAGAACGGCAACCCAACCTGGCAGAACTCCAGAGAGCAGCGTGACGACGTGAAGGGGGTCCGTATGCAGGCTGACGGCAACCTGGTTATCTAGTAGGTTCCCTATATCTGTCTTATATACAGAGAGCCGGATAGCTAACAATGTGCAGCACCCATGACGACGAAGCTGTCTGGCACTCCAACACTGCCCCCAAGAACGATGTGTTCCTCATCATCCAGAACGACGGCAACCTCGTTCTGTACGAGGGCAACCCCGTCTGGGCCACTTCGACTACTCCCTCTGCTTAAGAAGTATCCGTGGAAGACGACGTGATGATCATGGGATAAGGGCAGTGAGGTTGACAAACTGTATATAAATGTCTATCTGAGCCACTCGTCGATGAATAAATGAGAATATGGCATAGACCGCCCTATTATTTGTAGCATCTACCTTTAGAATCCTGAATACAAAGACATAAACTTGTACTGTCTCACCTAGGCTTATTTTCATCCAATAGGATAGGATTTCTGACGTGGCTGTGAGTACCCTCATTGCTCTTATAAAATTGTCTCCAGCCTACTGATGCAGCCACTAGTATAGAATCAGATTCAACAACATAGTAGTAGACACCGCTTACTACTATACTCGTTAACTTATGGTACTCCTTTCGAGGTTTTGAGGAAGCCAATTTGAATACAGAATCATGAGCTAATATCATTGTATCAAGCCATCTGGTATGCTAATCTGGAAACACCACAAAGATGACGCTTTACAAGAAAGCTAAACCGCTTGATCCTCTTCTTTCAGACTTCCCAGAAACATCTGCAAATGAGCCGTTCCATCCTCTTCCATTTCCAACTCAGGAATCTTGTCCCATTTCTTTTTCAGAGCTTCAATAGCGTCCCACTGCTTATACTTGCGCAAAAAGTAATACACACTCCGGTACGCACTCTCCAATGACCCTACAATCCACGCATGGTGCGTACTCGACGCCTCCCCCGCCATGTGGAATTTGCAATCTGCCGCTGGCCGAGTGAGATGCGAGTAATACTGCTTGAACTGGCCCGGTCCAAACAAGGCAAACGCCCCCGTGGCGCTCGGATCGTCAGCCCAGGAAAAGGCGTGGTGGGAGTCGTATTCGGCTCGCAGATCATCGATGGAAGTTATTTTATCATTGCGGTGCAGCTGCAAGAGGTTGTACAGGATTAACTGCATCAGTTCGGAATCGACCTTTTTCTGTACACCGTCTTCGTTGCGGACGAGGGCAGCAATGCGCGAGGCATCCTGGGCCCAGGTGTACGAGACAAGCAGGACGGCGGACGAGGTGGGGTCATCCTTGATATTGTACGATGGATAGACACAGGTGCGCAAGGGCAGGTCGGTTGAGGCGATGCCTCCCTCGGTAATCCCGCACTTGGTCCTCCACCAGGGGGTCTTGAACTTGATGGCCACCTTGACTGAATGATCGTAGTGCAGACATCGGATTGCGTCCTTTTGCACATGGTCCAGCTCCAACCCGGTCAGGTCCATGCGTTGCAGACAGCCCAGCGGAGTCGTGTTGAAGACGGTGGCATACCCCGTGGTCTTTTTTGGGTCGTCGCTGCACCGGACGAAGACATTGTTCACTTTATCTTCGGCGTGACGGTCCAGTGAGATGGCATCAACTCGTTTATTCAGTTGAATCTTCCCCTCGCCGATCTCTTTTTTCATCTTGTCCGTCAGAAGTGAGGTTCCCCCCTCGATGCATACCCAGCTATATTTGATATCATTATCTCCACGATTTTTTCCATCTTCATCGCCATAGTCAAAGTCGAGCGCGTCAAATACACTCTCGCTAAAGCCCTGGTCAAACAGACCACTCGAAGTGTTCATCGTCTCCATCCACTGGATCGAGGCCAAGTCGTATCCTGCAGGCGGTTTGAGGCTTTTGCCCCGTTGCTTCAAATATTCACGGGTACTGTACTCATCAACCGTCTGCAGCAATTTCAAGCCTTCTTTCCAATCTGCTTTCAACGCCTTTTTGTACGGTTCGAAAACACCTTCATTCCCCCCCTTTTTCCCATTCAGGATCTCATCAACCCTATCCACAACATCATTCGGCACGTTTCCCTTGTTTGTCACGCTGACACGGAACGGGTCAGTCGGCTTGTTAGGATTGTTTGGGTCGGGGATGATGGTATAGTCGTTGAAGCGTTGGGGGCATCCTTTTCCTTGGAGAAAGTACTCTCGCTGAGGAACCTTCATCTTCTTGAACAGCTCAAATGTGCGCTTCATGATGGGGATATTCGGAAACCTCATGGCCCCGATGTCGTAGTAATCGTGTTCCTTATCGGAAAATTTCTGGGTGTAGACGCGCCCTCCAACACGTTCGCCCCTCTCGAGGATAGTGTAGGATACATTCTTGATTTTGAGACTATCGAGGATGAGAGCAATGTACAAACCCGTTATGCCCGCTCCGATAATACACAGCTTATAAGGTTTTTCGAGCGGTTCCGTCTTAAGCTCGCCCTTCTTTCTCTTGTCGAGATCTGGATCGATCGGGAGATCGTGGGGGTCCACCGGCTCTGATAAAAAGTTTCCTGGCACAAGTGAGCTCAGGCTTTCGGGGGCCTGGGGCTTCGCATATGTGGCCAAGCTTTCGAGGTTTTGGGACTTCGCGGACGTCTTGAGGTTCTCGATAATAGTATTGAGCTCCACAGAGACGTCATCGCGAATGAGTGTCTTAGCCCGTTTGGCACGATAGTCGATGAATTCAGCGGGGTATCCGGCAGGTTTTGTGGCCATTGTGCTGATGAATGATGGATGATGGATGAGAGGGTTGATCCAGCATGGTTGCTGATAACTTTGGGCATACTTATATTCACAGATACTCTTCACATTTTCCAGGCAGCGAATCGCATAAATGCCTCATAGAGCAGTTCGAAATGTCATAATGCATAAATTAAATGTAGATCAATTGGGCAGTTCTACAGATGTGCTGGATGCTGGCGGTACAAAAGTACCAAATCTCCGAGCACACCTGCATATTGGCAGTCCCCCGCACATACCGCGAGAGTCCAGACTTGACAGTGTATGTGCGTTATTTTATATGACTGGGACACTTTTATGCACCATGATTGAGTATCCAGTTAGAAGGTTTCCCTGATTCGTCTGTAGATCGTCCCATTCGCATCTACTTCCCGTTCCGTCTGTCCATACTTGAGATATGCATGCAAACGCGGTGGTCTACATCTTAGTATATATAACCCCTCATCTGCAATTCCAACTAGTACTGATTTATGAAAGATATACCTGCAATAACCACTGATTATCAGCATTTTCTCCCTGATCTGTCATATTACACGTGCAATACAATACAAACAGTGAAGATCAGAGATGCCCAGATGAGGGGGAAATCTGTACAGCTCAGTAAACGAGAACAGGTCTGACTCACATTGTCATGATGAGGGAAGGCATAAAGTAGTCAGCCCTCCTGATGTAGGTATCTCCATCACCCATCGCAGCTTTATTCATCACCATGTACGACGTTGCAGTCATCGGAGGAGGCCCAGTTGGCCTTTGTGCCGCCTACGAAGTGGCCAAATCCGGCCATTCGGTGGTGGTCCTGGAGAAGAACAACTTTTTTAATCAGGTATTGCATCGTCTGATAATACAAAACCTTTCATTACTAAGAAGTTTAGGCCGGCAGCTCCGGTGACCTCGCCCGTATGTTCCGCACCATGTATACGGAAGACTTCATGGCAGATCTCGCGCACGATGCACTCTCCCTCTGGGATGAACTCGAACGAGATGCAGGCGAAACGGGACTCCGGCTGATGACGGGGCTGTTGAATTTCGGAGATCCCAAATACGGAGCTGGGGGTCCTGAAGGAACCCTGACAGGACCGGTGCCTAATTTGAAGCGGTTGGGCATGGCGTATAAGAAGTGTATGTCTCCACGATCTTGGTGGTAGATATAAGGCTGATTGGAGTAGACACCAAAGCTGATATCGAACGGAAATATCCCTTCCGCAATCTTCCCCAGAACTATGAGGGCATCTTTGCCCCGGATAACGGGGTCATTAACGTTCCTCTCCTCCTGCGCACTCTTTACCGTCTGGCTCAGGGATACGGAGCTAAACTGCAGCAACACACGTTCGTGAAGCAACTGGAACCGTACGAGGACCACTGGATTGTGCAGACACTCCATCACGGAAAACAGGAGCAACATCACGCACGCAAGATCATCATAACGAGCGGTGCCTATGTCAATCATATCCTGCGGCCCAGTTTTGACATCCAGCTGAAGTTGGATATTTGGGAGATGGTGGCGAGTTATTTTAGCGTCGATGCCGGCCCGCGAGGGACCGTCTTCCCCAGTATGTGGTTTCAATTCCAGGGTGACAATTCCCAGGGTCAATCCCAACTCTTCTATGGCTTTCCTGCTCTTCCCTGGGGCCCTCCCAATATCGCCCGGATTGCCGTCGACGCAGCCACGCATCGAATTCATGATCCGGACGAGCGGCATGCCAACGTCGTGAGTCCGGAGGACATTACCATTTCGCAGAATTTCATCCGGAACCATGTCGAGGGCGTTGATCCCACCGTACCGGCATCTACCTTGACATGTCTTCAGACTAATGTGTTTGGTATGTCCAGCCAATTCATACTCCCGCATAACCTTTGCTGACCCAATAGATAATATGTTTGTCCTGGACTATCTGCCTGATAAATATCTCAAAGGCGGTCCTCCTAAGTCCGTCATGGTCTTTACTGCCGGGTGGGCCATGAAATTCATACCATTGCTTGGAAGGGCACTCAAGGAGTTGGCGATTGATGGTCACTCAAAATATGCGGTTCGGGAGTTTTCAATTGAACGAAAAGATTCAGCGGGGGAATCTATGATCGAATCTGCCGGAAAGGCGCATAGACCGGCTGGTGCATCTGAATGGAAAGCGCAGGGGTCGAGTATGAGAAAATAGTAAAGTAGGTAGTAGCCATAGTGTTTGATATACGAGCACTGTACTTGAGCCTGTCCATTAAGTAGTTCGGTAAGTAGCTACTAATCAATCCCTTATTGAGAGTACTCCAGCTCACAGAAGCTGTATTATGTCCTGTATCTGGAATAACAGAAACGATTAACATCGATATAAAACCAAAATCCGTGTATTATTGGAAGCACTATCTGTCATTGCCCAAAAAAGCGTTTTTCCACAAAGCGTAGAGGCGGATATATAGAAACAGTTAACCCAAACGCAAACCATATACCTAGATCACACTGGAAAAGTGCTTGGGAAATAGGACCTGTGAAATATGATTGTTTCTGAATATGTTAGTTTAAATCGATCCTCGGGAGTATATAGACACACCATGCCCATAATTGCACCTATACACCCAATCAAGAAACAGAATCCTGCTGCTAACCCTTTGGGTAGTCTGCCCGCATTATAAGAAGACCAGTCGTATGTATATCCCCTTTTAAAGATCCATTCTTCCTCGAGGCAGATGGCTAACCAGATGACAATCCAGTAGCTCATGAGCGGGAGAAAATCCTCCATGATCACATCGAGATACTGATGCCCCAATATCGCACAGACAGTATATATGACTACCTCTATGGTGGTGAGAAGAGGTCGCGGGATACGGGTATCGTGACGACCTAGTAACATTTGAAAATTAAGTCCAGCGGAATATGTGCATGGGATGTTGTTGGAGACCATTCCCAGTACGAAGATGATGGCACAGAATCCTCCGAATCCACGAAGGCTTGTAAAAGAGGTGGCGAGAAGACTCCCTGGGGATGTGAGCGCGGCTTCTTGCCAGAGCTCGTTGGTGTATACGCCTGTTGCGAGACCAACCCCGAGGACGGTAGTGAGGGTCATTGCCAGGGACATGCCTGTTGTAGCTGCAAGGAACATTTTCCATCGTTTGGTGGAAGGAGGGAAGTAGACAAAGTAGTCTGCGCTGGACGGAGACCAGGTGATGGCGGAGGCAACGCAGAGAGAGAAGAAGGAGAGACGGTGAGAAGGAGATGGCTGGGAGTCGGTGGAGATGTAGTGGGTTGTGTCGAAGAAAGGACCAGCGCAGCCGATCATAATGCAGAGAATGGCCATTTGGAAGATCCAGGCATATCTGAGAGGTTAGCTTCGGTGAGAATAGAGGAAGAGGAAGAATACCTAGAGTAAAGATGGAAGAGAGGCATGCCAAAGGTTGCAATGCACCAGGTCAATATGGCCACGACGGCGATTCCAACCGTGACGGCTGTCTGCCCTCCAGAGACAGCAAAGAGAATCTGACCTCCCAAGATGCAATTGACCATGCCATATCCCAGCATCGTCAGGATATTCAAGAGGCAGCATAGTTTGCTGAGATGGTAGCCCAGGAAGTATTGGGTGGCGATCTGTCTGTATTAGCATGAATCAAGATGAAAAAGAGAGTAGGAGAACTGAAGAGAAGAGAGGAAAAGGTAAAGAGGAAGAGGGAGAATACCAGAGTGCGATTTCCACTTCGGGGACCCCACGTGCTCATGTATCCCACAGCAGCACAACCGACGATGCATCCAAACACAGCACACACAGCAGCATCGCTCAAGTCCAGTCCATCAAAGGATGGGCCATACAGTCCAACGATGAGGTTATTCCCAGTCAAAGACGAGCTGAACCAGAGAAGGAAAATGCGCAGATAGTCATCACTCCTTGGGGGTTGACGTTCCTCGATGGGGACATGCTCAATGCCTCGAGTCTCCAATCCAGAGATGCGTTCAAAAGTGGACATCCATCTTTGAAGCTTCGATGGTGTTTCTGAAGATATCTCGAGGACTTCCACTTTGGGTACTGATTTGAGGATCTTTTCCTCCTGCCCTTGTTCGATATCTGGCATTGTCATTTTGATAGAGGATCAGCACTGGAAATCGAGCATGACATTGTCGATCATGTCGATCATGACGAGTCTTATATACATGACTGCAGAAATCTAGACCATCTAGTTAATGGCTGGGTCAATCTAGATAGCAGACATTCTTCACTTCCGGTTGGGTATGTTGCAGTGGTGCTGCAAGGAATGTTGGAACAATTGGCCGAGGCAAGGACTGTCCGTATAGAATGACATTCTTATGGTATCTTCCACTGTGAGATCAAGATAGTGGAATGCTTTAGATAAATGATAGATAATTCTAATACTGAAATTCATCGAACTGGAGTTTATTGCATCAATACTGTAGTAGTTGTGTTATGTGTAGATCATATAGCCTACTCGGAACCATAACAATCGGCTGTAAGGATTCCGAGACCGGAATCGCCTTCCCGAGGTCCACTTCTCCCCCGCATAAAGGCGATTTGGAGTTGATGCTTCATATAAGTTTATAACTTCATCCAATTGCTTCAATGTTTCACCTTGTCACCAACCCACTCCATAATGTCTTTCAGAACACCCCTCTTGAAACACATCCGCCATGCTCGAGTCCAAAAACGCCCATTCTCCATCCACCATGCCCTCCGATCTGATGCCCCCGCGGCCTCGATCGCATCATCCTTCCTCTCCAAATTCCAATCCCTAGGCCCTCAATCACGCTCTCAAGTCCTCGACGCAAACCAACTCCACCTCCTCTCTCTCACACTCAACCGTCCTTCTCTCTACCCGAATTCCCCCTCCCTTTCCAACGCCGCTGCACCCCCAACCAACAGCCCTCTCCCCGCGGGTTACCATCTTGTCTATTTCACCCCCGCATTCCTCGAAAATGAACTTGGAGCTGATGGCACGGATACCTCGTATAACCCCGAATCCCCGTTTACCCGACGCATGTGGGCAGGAGGTGAAGTCTCTTGGCCCAGGAATGCAGAGGGGAAACCGAATCCGTTATTGGTGGGACAGGAAGTGCGCGAAACGACCAAGGTGCTCAGCGCTGAGCCCAAGATTGTGAGAAAAACCGGCGAGGAGATGATTGTTGTGGGGGTGCAGAAGGAATTTGAGAATGAACATGGGGTTGCTGTGATTGATCGAAGGTAGGTGTCTGGTCACTCCATCGCTCCAATTAATGTATATTGACAGATTCAGGAATTGGGTCTTTCGAAAAGCATTGCCCATCTCGTCTGGCTCTTCATCCACCACACCACCAACACAAGATAAATACTCAGGACCAGCATCTGCATCCACCATTACCTCTGGCAAAACACACACTCGAACCCTCAAGCAAACAGCCGTCACGCTCTTCCGCTTTTCTGCCCTCACCTTTAACCCCCACAAGATTCACTACAGTACCCCCTGGACACGAGGTGTCGAAGGCCATAGAGATATTGTCGTCCACGGACCTCTGAACCTAATCTCCATTCTTGATCTGTGGCGAGATACCAGAAAGAATGGTGGCGGTGATGATCCTGCGTTGATGTTACCGGAGAGCATCTCTTATCGTGCTACGAGTCCTTTGTACGCCGAGGATACGTACCAGATTGTTCTCAATGAGGAGGCAGATACTGGCAAGGTGGAGATATTTACGCCTGATGGCACTGTTGCCATGAAGGCAGAAATTACATCTACTTAGTGTATATGTTTGCAAATATTAAATCAAACATTACATTTTCTCGAGACCATTTCCCAGGTGTGCAATATTTATAATCACCTCGATTTGAACACCACGTTAAATGCTGACATTATATAAATATATTTCTATTAAGTGATCTTTAAGCTCCCATAAATTTCTTTCTCAATATCCATGATTAAGCTGCAATATAAAATATTTGACTGCTGAAGGTTGGTGGCGTAACCAATAAGCGGCGGGGATGAGATCCAGGATTCGCATCCTGCGCACGTTACCTTTGATTCATCCGACAACCATCACAGCTGCGATTCCATCCAAGAATCAAAGCTGATTCTACATCCCAGCACATAAATCATATCCACGATGGCTGATTCTGAAGCCAAAACTGGTCCTGATACAGCTACCCCGCGGAGAAAGCGGGTCAGAGTTCAGTTTTCGTGCACTGCTTGTAGAGCCAGAAAGTGAGTCCCACCCCTCCCCTTTTAGGCTAAAATATGTTTGATAGATTGATTTAATATTAGATTAAAATGCTGCCGCACACATCCCTGCAGCAACTGCCAGAAAAGAGGCGAAGATCACCTTTGTACCTACGTCGGTCCAGGACCACGTAGAAGGCCCGCGCAAAGTCAATCCACCTCGACCCAGGTGCAAGATCGTCTGCAGCATCTAGAGAACCTAGTAAAATCTCTAGCTCAACAGAAGAAAGCAGAAGATGGACAGCCAAGTAGCCAGACGCAGAATGCGCCGCCCGCGAGGGTGGACGATAACGGCCAAACCTCTCTGGAGACACCTGAGTCGAGACATGAATCTGGCGGAGAGTCCCCTCCTGACTCGCATGGTAAATTGATTGTGAATGATACTGGGACGAGCTATATTGATGGTGCTCATTGGCGGGCTATACTCGCCGAGGTCAGTTTGTTATATCTTATGTCTAACGTTGAATGTAATTTCTAACAACAGCACAGATAGATGAGGTGAAAATGTCCGTTGAAGGAGATGATGCTGTGGATGAAGAGGAAAGTACTGATAATCCTGCTCAATCAACATCTCAAACACTTCTGCTTGGACTGAAAGAAGTATTGAGCAAGGAAGATCTGTTGGCAGACATCCCTCCGCGGAATGTGACTGATAGAATTGTATCCAAATTTCTCCAAACAACAGAGCCTGTTTTAAGTATGTGGTATTCCCTTCCAGTTTATTATTGACTATATGCTGACCTAAAAGTCGTCATTCATATTCCAACCTTTCAGAAAGAGGTATATCGCCTAGTCGTAGAGAATCGAATATTTGGCTGACACGTTCCAGTACAATGAATTCTGGACTAATCCAAAAGACGTCCCACTTGCCTGGCTGGCACTGCTATATGCGATAATTACCATGGCAATTTCCTTCCAGATACGAATGAATGAACCGCTTCCAAGTCATTTTGGAGACCCCCTCCACGCCCTGGACGTGTTTTACAAACGAACTGCTCACTGTCTGATCCTTTCAAACTACACTACCCCGGGACGATATAAAGTGGAGGCACTATTTTTACACGGGGTGAGTGAGTTTTATGGTAGTAATGACGCCCAGCTCGGGGTTTCCTTTCTCCTAGGGATTACTATTAGACTTGCCATGGCCATGGGATACCACCGTGACCCGCGTCACTATCCCAATATCTCAGCCTTTGAAGGAGAAATGCGACGGCGCCAATGGGCTATATTGTGCCAGCTAGACGCCTTGATATCGTTTCAGATTGGAATCCCCAAGACCATACAAGGCTGGCAATGTGACACTGAACCACCTCACAATATCCTGGATGAAGATTTCGATGAGAACTCTCAAAATCTACCCCCAGAACGCCCGGACACACAACGGACACCGTCGTCATACGCGATAACCAAGTCCAGAATCATGAATGTTTTTGGGAGGATATCTGATCTTGCATTCTCTCGAGAGCCAGTCACATATGAAGAAACTATGGAGATAGATCAACGGCTCGAAGAAGCCTACCGGCTCATACCTCCCTTCTTCAAGATGCGTTCTATGGAGCAATCTATCGCAGACCCTTCGGAGCTGATTCTCCGGCGATATACTGGAGAGCTTCTTTATCAGAAATCCCGTTGTGTCTTACACCGGAGGTATCTGGCTGAAGCTCGCTCAAACCCACGATACGCATATTCTCGATCGGCATGCATCAACGCAGCAAAGGAGATTCTCCGCCACCAGGCAGATTTATATCAAGAATCTCAACCGGGAGGTCAGCTTTATAGAGAACGGCAGCTTGTTAGCTCGCTTCAGAATGCCGATTTTCTTCTTGGGGCTATGATTATCTGTTTGGAGTTGTCATATGACTATTCCGCAAAGCAAAATAATAGCTCAGGAAGTGGTGCAGCAGGTATCGTCGAAGGCCGTGAGGATCTTCTGGCTAGCTTGGAAACATCTCATCGTATCTTTGTGCAAACAAGTCGGTTTTCATCAGATTGTCAAAAAGGACAGGTTGCTTTGAAAATCATGCTTCGTAGAGTTAGAGGGTACACTGATGATGGGTCTTCAAACGAGCAAACCACCTCGTTCAGTGGCAAGTTTCAACCGCTGGTTATTTATATCTCTTACTGACAACTAAATTACAGACCAAATCCCAACATTTGATCCTGCTCAAACGCTGGATTACTCGGATATATGGAATGGAGCATCAACCGAGGCATACGATCAGATGTATACAATGGATCCTTTCTTTGGATCGCTGGACGTGATTGATGAGATGCTCGATGCACCGGCGGAATTTGACTGGGTAAGCCATTACAATTCCCATTGGAATATAAGGATAGGATTGCTAACCTGTTCAGGGTCTTTTCGATCGTCAAATGAATTGAGCAGATACGAGTAAATAGTTCATCTGCTATATACCCATTATGGATGTTATTTTGAACATATACAGTGACTACCATCATAGAAGAATATAATAGAAATATTAAAAATAGTATATAATCTTATCCAAGTCAACTTGAAGCAATTCACACATGTTGTATAGCAATCTCGGCACGTCCCGATCCTCGTGCCGATCCCGACCAGAAAAAAGATTCACCTTCACAGTTCACCATCTCCAAGTCCAACCGCGCAATCCAGCCATTGACACCAAACAACACCCTCTCCCTATTTCTTTCAACCAGAATTACACAAAATGAAACCATCACCGATCCCACGACACCTCTGTCGTCGAAGCAACCTCTTCTCTCCATCGGGATCCTCCCTCTCCATCTCGCGACACCCTCTCCGCCAACAACCGCAATGGACGAGCACAACGAGAACGCCTCTTAACCTCAACCTCAACCTCAATCGCACCAACCGACGCTCATTTCAATTACCCTCTCTCTCCTCCTTCCTACCATCCGACCCTAACAACAATAACAACAACCGCACCCTAACCGCCTCCCGAACCCTCCCCTACCCACCCCAAGGCCTCTATAAAGTCATCTCCTCCGTCGAATCCTACTCGCAATTCCTCCCCTTCCTCACAGCCTCGACCGTCACAGCCCGCGACCCAGAATCAAACTACCCCACCCGCGCTTTCCTTACAATCGGCTACGGCCCGCTCAGCGAGACCTTCACCTCGCGCGTGGACTGTGACGAGGGCAAATGGGTCGTTGAGGCGCGCAGTGGAGCCAAGTTCGGGGTGGACTCGAAGATGGGACAGGAGGGGCTGGATTTCCCCGGTGCGAATGAGGGGATTTTTGAGTACTTGAGTACGCGGTGGGAGTTGGTTCCGTCTGTTGATGGGAGGTCGACGAGGGTGGATTTGGAGATTCAGTTTGAATTTCGGAATCAGATGCATGCGATGATGATGAGTGCTGTTGAGGGTCAGATGGCTGGGGTTATGATTGAGGCTTTTGAGAAGAGGATTCGGGAGAGGGCTGGTGATGCATAGATGTGTTGAGGATGGGTGTTGGAAATATAATGGATACTGGAGTTCGGATAAAGCCTTTATAGAGCATATACTGGGAGGGAAGAACGGATACTTGATGTGATAGTTTCCATTCCCTTCTATCTTGAGATAATTCGCTGTACATTTAGACCACATATGACAAAAAAAGAAACCCTGAACACAGAAAGAAACCAAACATGTAGTATATAATACAATTATCAAGACACATCAGGATCCATGTATCCCCTTATTTTAATAGAATTTTGTTTCGTCTTTCCTTCATAGCATGCTCAGACTGCGACCCCGGTTGGCCGAGTTGCGTCCTCCTTTAACCGAGCTGACCGCGTTGTAGTTGTCGAACACGACCTCCCAGTTGATTCGGTCCCACCAGCGCTCTAGGTACTCGGCCTTACCACCGATACCGTAGTCCATCATCCACGCATGTTCCCAGGTGTTGACACAGAGAATAGGCTGCACGTCCACAGCACCAGGGGCCAGGCTCTTCTGGTTCTGAGAGTGAGCTCCCATGGAGCCAGCAAACTGGTTACCGAGAGGAGTCTCGGGGGAGTGGGTGGCCATGTCAACCGGTTGGCGGCGAGAGTGAGCAGCTGGGTAAGGCGAGCCGGCATTGTAGGTGCAGAAGATGTGCATCAGTCCTTCCTTCTCAAGGTTCTTAGCCAACCAGACGAAACCGGGTCCGAACATGGCATTGGCGGTGGCCAAGAAGTCGAGCTTCAGAGATTCAATCGACGAGCAGGTGTCGATAATGTCTTTCGAGAACTTTTCAGGGATCTGGGTAGTTGTGGGAGACTGTCACGTAGAAATGTATTAGATCCAGTCTATGATTGAGTCGTGGAAGCGAATCCACTCACCAGGCAGTTGAAGAAGAAGTGGTTGTTGTGAGCCATCGAGGCGTAGTTGAACACGGAGGCCATCTCCGGGCGCCGGGAGTACTTGACCAGCAGTTCTCCGGGTTTGGCATCGGCATCGACGGTGTCTATAGTCAAGCTGAGTCAGTATATATTCCATAATCATCCGTTGACTTCACCGAAGCCATATAACCAATTCATTGGGAATTGCATCCTGTCAACAAATTCGGGGAACTTCACTCACCCTGCGTCAAAAGGTTGAGCTTGTCAATGAGGAGACTCTGGTATTGTGTCCAAGCAAAGTCGAAAGCCTCAGGCGACAGGAACTCGGAAACACCATTGTTCTTGAAATGGGCATCGTGAGTCAACTGGGGAACACGGTGCAATCCTCGGGTCTGGAAGCGTGGGAGGGCGGAGACGGGTTTCTGGTAAAGATGGAGAGATCAGTCAAGAATGGAGCCATTGGGAGGGCGAAAAAAGCTCACCTGCGTCAGAGAAGAGGCTGCACGCAGAGCGCTCTGCGGCCGGAGGAGTCGGTTAAGCATGATGACGGCTGTGAAGGGGATCTGGACGTCGACTTGAGGCCGAAGAAGAGCTTCAAAACCGCAGAATTTCCATCGCGGATTGGACATTGCCCGATCTGGGCTAGCGTGGCTGAGGTAATCACTCCCCGCCACGAGCCAATCACAGGCCGCGATTTCTACTCCTCCGTATAACCGCCCAGCAATCCATTTTCAGTATCACTACGCGCCTTCATCCCCGGCCAATTTTAGCTGCTGGCCAAATGGCATCCCGTGCCTGGCTAAGCATATGAGTTTTTGGTTCCTGCAGAATCTTGACGATCTAGCGCCGGGATCCATCTTCATGCCGTCCTCCATCAGCTGCATCTGCCGTGTCTTCTATTCTAGGACCACGGCGCTTGCAATGATGGATCCGGATACTTCTGTAAAGTGATGCGTAGGGACCTCGGGCATCAAATAGCGCTCTGTGCCCGTTGCTTTTGTTTCATATTGCTAAATATTCTCCGTCGGCTAATCGAGCTCTTTTAGACTCTTCTTACCTGCTCTCGTTGGACATCTTTCATCTTCTGTCCTTGTCCAACTGGAATTCTATCCATCTTTTAACTTTTAATTATACATACACCATACATTCGTTATTGAAAGAGATATCCTTCGTTAAAATGGCGCGGTTAACACTTATTGATATCATCGGTGGACGTCCTTCTTTACTTCTACTCTTGACCATTGTCGCAACTTGCATCACACCAAACTGCGCCTTCAGTCTGGAATCACGAGATTCAGATACCTGCCCAAGCTCCTACAACAAGTGTGGAAGCTCAAAGTTGCCGGACAACTTCTGTTGCTCTTCCTCGTCGACCTGTGTCAGTTTGGATGACTCGAGTTCCGCAATCTGCTGTCCCAGCGGCCAGGACTGTTCCTATATCGCGCCAATTACATGTGATGTGCAACTCCAAAATGCCACTCTCTACCCGAAAAATGTTGTCAAGACGACAAGGCTGGACGAGGAACTCCCAAAGTGTGGTGACTCATGCTGTCCTTTTGGGTATACTTGCCAGGGAGACAACACATGTGCTCTGGTTAAGGATAGTTCAGCAACAGCAACCTCTTCCATCTCATCTTCGACACCTACATTTGCTACATCTACAAAAGCGTCATCATCTGAAACATCTAACACCTCTTCAGCTTCACAAGCATCTTCAACAGCCGATGCCTCTTCTACTGGTACTGATGCCCAACCTCTCAGTACGATCTCGGTGACAACACCCTCCTCTTCCTCTTCATCTTCCCCTCACTCAGGAATCTCATCGCTATCGGCAAATTCCGTTGAGAACTCCGACTCCAACTCCAATTCAAACAACACTACTGTAACGGGAAATTGTCCATCCTTCCCCAGTGCAGCCGTCGCCGCCGGCTTTTTCCCAGGCGCCGTCTTCGGCGCCATGGCAATACTACTGTCAATCTTCTGCCTGCGAAGAAGACAGCAGAAGCGTGACCTCCCACCCTCAGTCAAGGTCTTCAACCACACAAAGCGATCATCAAACGGGACATTAATCGGTATCTCGGAACCGATCCCATCAGACGAAACATCTTTCCGCACCGATTTCCTCCTCCAAAACAACCAAAAGCGCACTTCAGACGGCGCGCGCTCAATGCTCCAGCGCACCGGAACTCGCGTCAAGAGCCTTTTCGGTGCAACCCCAAAACTCTCTTCGCGTAACTCGGCTAAACCCCCTCCACTACCTATCACTATCGCGCCCCGGCAGCCCAGTACCGAGAGTATCAAGGTGTACACACCACCGGGTGTATTTGCAACATCGGGCTTCCTCAAACCGGCCCCCGACCCGGTCGACAGACCCGATACAACCTTTACCGAAATGATGGACAGAGTTGGATTCAAGAATAACAATGGCGACCCTTGTTACCGTGTCACGGATCAAGACAATAAAAGTGGTCTTCGTGTACAACAGAATGCTTGAGGAGCATTGTATTATTGGAGTTGGATTTCGCTGGTTTCTGGCTAGACGGGTTTATTATATCTTTATTTTTCTATTCTCTGGTAGATAGATAGATTCCCACTTGAGCGTTGTATTACTTCACTTCACTGAGTCAATGTCAATATACCCTTTTCTCGATTATAACTCACCTCACATTGTACATATATTATCCAGTCCATCAGTGTCAGAAAGGACAACAGAGAAACAAACAAAGTATTATTTATATACTACACAAAACCAAACTAAGCCTTAATGCGCTTTCTTCGCCTTCAAACCCGCAACAATTCTCTTTATCTCCTTCAATAGTCCAACAATAAGAGGTACACCAATTGGTCCTAACAGCGGAAGATAGACGGCCACCTTGTGCTCATCGGGGAAATAAACCTGTCCGACCATACTCTTTTCAAAGAAACTGCGTTCGGCTTCTGCTTCGGCTACCCGGGCACTGGCTAGAGCTGCTGCGAAGCGGCCCTCGCGGAGATGAGTGCAAGCCGAAGCCAGATGCGAGAGTGTCGTGGATACAGATGCAGCAACCGTAGCAGGAATTGGAATGGAAGGGAGGGATTCAGTAAGACGGGCCAGTGAGCCCATGGTGGAGGATGCGGAGAGAAGTAGAGTTGCGGCACGGATGCGGATGAGGGTTTGGAGGCGCAGGGGAAGGGAGGCCGGGGTAGTCGGGGTCCCTAAGAGGGTGAGGAGTTGGTGGGAGAATGTCAAGAAAGCCGAGCGCAGTGATTCTTCCGAAAGATGTGATGGGTTTGAAGGGTTTTCGGTGGATAGGGGTGGGTTCAAGAGGAATACTCCACCCCATTGGGGAATGATCCAGCTCGTAGCCTTGTTCTCCCGGACGACCAAGGGGGACTGTGACGGGTCTGGTACATAGAGGATAAAGTTGATGGTTGGACCGTTGCCGATACTCGGACTCAGAGGCCATTCTGCTGCGTTGATGAAGGCGCTTAGATCTTCCTTCTTGAGAGTCCATGCCGCTTGCGACTCGTCATACTCGGGTAACGGCGCGGTGGGAGAGAATGCGGCATACAACTGGACTTGGGTATCGACAGTAAAGTTGCTGATGGGAGCGAATGCTTGCAGAAGAGGCGACATATATTCTTGAATGGCCGCTTCAATGTCCCAAGATGAAGGCTCGGACCCGGGTGTGAACAAAGAGAAAGCCAGATGATAAGTGTCTGCGTACTTCATCGACCGTCTCAATCTTCTGCTGATGCTCTCTGCAAGCTGCGGAGAAATCGAATTGAGAACCGCAGCCTGCTGATGGTTCGAGGACATAGCAACGTTGTTACCTGGGCCATTGTTGTCAGACAGAATCTGGGCGATGGTAGCCTTTTCCTCGCTGAACAGGCGCTGGAGCTCCTCCGCAATGAAGGACGACAAGGGCGAATTCGACGACGAAGGAACCGGAATTTGGCTGGGCGGGTAGAAGACATCCAGCTGGGTGGTGTCGGGATGGAGTTCGGACTTGGGGGCAGCCAGGTCGTCTTGAGGCAGTAGCCGGACCGTCAGTGCTGTATCAGCCTTTTCTCCAGCGGCGGATGTTGATCCTTCTGTTTTATCTCCATTTATTTCCGGTTTAGAGGTTCCGTCATCCAGCAGTTTCAGTCTGAGATGGTGGGCGGAGAATTCGTTGAGATCGTCCAGGGTGTGCTGCGTGGTGCGGAGTAAATGCTGTGCGTCTGCAATCGGCATGGACGAAGTTGCCAATTGGATCTCGAGAGGAAATACTGGCCGACATGTCTATACAGATTTCAAAATAGTAATTAGCCCAGCTTCTTTTGGTTGGTGCTGCAGCCAAACCGTACCTTTCCATCAGCCCAATCAACCATCTCCTGGAAAGGCAGCCGGGCTCTGTAGATGGATGTAGTCTTCCACCATATGGGGAACCCCAGGAAAATTATCACCGCCCAGAAGGCGAGGATGACTCTGAATCTGTTTTGAGTGGCTTCTGCCGGCTCTGGTGGAGGGAGACGCTGGGCATCTGTTTTGGTGTTGGAGCTCATGGTGGTGAGGTCGGGGGATGGAGAGGGGTTCTGCGCAGAAGACCCCAGGTCTTCATTCTTGCTCGTCATGGCCCGGGCATTATTTTGTTGAAGATAGCTGTTTGAATAGCACGTTGCCCTGCAACACCAATGCTTGTGCTGATGCTGATGGAGTGTCGTCGACGTGGATATCGCAGTGCAAGGCGGAGAGGGAGAAAGCGGCCGCAGATCAACTCCGACGCTTGGCTCCGACTGTAGCACAGCTGTGTATCCCACAATGCTTATATCCACTTGATCGATTTGATTTACGGTATACTTTTCTAGGATTTTCAACATTGAGGCAAAGTATTATTATATTATTGACGATTCTGACAAGCTCAAGACATGAGAACGCCCTAGCGTCCAATATCCAATGATGGAATCCATTAAAGCCAAAACTCTGGGTATCTTAAATTATGACGCCGTTCCGAGACATAGATAGGTGTGAAATAAAAAGGATAAACAGCCGTATTTTTAGTATTCTTTTTCGAATATCTTCTGAATGGGCCTCGCCGCCTAAAAGATGACGGTGTCAGCAATTGATCACAATATGACCAAATAGAAAGCTTGGGTACATACGTCGATGAATCGTTCTAGATCCTGGTCCAAATTGGCAAGATCCTCTTTTCTCTTGTTGTTCTCCGCGATCAAGGCCTGTTTGCGCTTGAGAAGCTCCTGGCGTGCCTGCTCCAGTTTCTCCCGTTCGGCATGTTCGTGGTTGATGCGAGCAATCATAAGTTCGTGATCATCGGATTCCTTGTGTTCTGGATGGAGCTCGAGAAACTCCTCAATCGGTATCAAAGGCAGGGAGAGATATTTATGGCTGAAACGCAGAAATGTTAGCACACCGTATAAAGACAACGTATCGGTCCACCTACTCATAAGACTCGCAGGCCGCAATCTCCCCAGTCAAGTGCCTCTGCTCATAATACAGATTCTGCAATTGAAGATGTAACCGGTCAATTTCCTGGCGGGCCTCTGCAGTCGATTGTTTTGTGTCGCGAACTCGAAAGATCGCGTCTCGGTTTTGACCCCGAAGCTTGGCCAAAAGGGCAAATAGATGTTTCTGCTGCTTCGAAGCAGCCAAGACAGTGTCTTGAGAGTCGGAAGTGGCGTTGGCCGTGGGATCCAACAATGCCAACAATTTCGTGCATTGTTCCAAAGTTTCGGCGCTGGAACCCAACACGGGCAGCAGAGAAGGATCGGAGACGATGTCACTAATAGCCATGGCGGAAGAGAATGCGGGGATGGCGATGAGGAGGGTATGGAGATGAGAAGATGATCGGATGCAACGATGTGATTAGTTGAGGGTGATGAACAACAGTTGAACCAGTCAAGGCCGGTTCGGAGAATAACAAGAGTGGGAGAATGGATGAGCCCAACGTGCAGAGAGTGCGGTCGCTTATGGGCTGAGACCACGACGATAGAGTGTAGAGAATGAAGATATCGCCACGTCGAATAGAAAGCAGACACACCCTCGCGTGTTAGTTTAGTCCGTTGTCAGATGAAGTTGGTCCTAATTTTTATCCGACCGATGCTTGACGTGGTTGGGGAAAAAGTGCCCCTCTTAGTCGACGCAGGAGAACCAAGTTGGATCACACTCTTTCTCACTCTTTCCCACTCCTTCTCTCACCCACCCCCATTCTCTCCTTCGGTTATCCCCAGTTTCGTCTATTATTTTCTGCACTTTTTAATTTATATACATAAGGGGTCTCCTTTTCTCCTTCTTCTGCATCTGCACGGTTGTTTTTTCTCCTTGCGTGGAGTATATCCGAAGTCGCCTTACCGCTCACCTCCGAGTACCCGATCGATCGAACACCAGTTCCTTTCTTATTTCCCCCTGAAGCCCCCAAAGGACGTGCGGGATTGATCTTCAACCGGTGGGATTCTTCGAGGAAGTCAAGGCTCATCACCATGGCCTGCACAGCACAATCCATGACGATTGAGTCGTACCCCGAGGCCACCAGCTCCTCGTCACTGGCAACGCCCAGCGAAGAAACGGGGCTTCTCCGGGATCGCCGACGAAGACATTCTTTCCATACCGCCAGGAAGCTATCATGCGATTATGAGGGGGAGGCCGTCTTTCTGCGGGTTAGCATCCCCTGTTGAAGAGATTGTTTTCTGCAATTTCCTTGGCCTAACTGTCGATAGGTTGAACTCTTTCTTGCAGAACTGGAGCGCCGACTTCACTGGATCGAACAGTATCGGAAATCGCATATGGTCCAGATCGATGCCAGCCTCAAAAGAGGTTATTCGACACTCGAGGCCGTCAGGGATTCTTGTTCCCACGCCTCCGGGGAACTTATGGGAGGTGGCAAAAAGAGGGCCAAGATTCTCGTGGAAACCCTCGAGGGTCACTACAATGAGGCGCTTGCGACCAAGGAGACACTGGAACAGAAAGCCCAAGCCGGCGTGCGATTGATGGAATCGTTTTTGGTCGAACTGGAATCCCGAGCACACGCGGTCCGAGACCGTGGTATCTATGGCGCCTTGGATGATGGATGGAAGGCGGTTGACTCGAAGCTGGGTGAGGTGGTTGATGAGGGTATGGAGCGAGCCCGAAGGGCCAAGGATGCTTTCCAAGAGAGCATTGACAACGCTATCCTGCTGGCTCAGGAGAAACGATTGATCACATATGCCGATCTGCCTCACCCATGGCGGGTGAATCCCCACATCCTGCAAGGTTATCGCTTCAGTTCCACCAAGGTGGAATGCTTCACCTCAATGTTCTGCTGCTCCAACGAAATGGTCAACATCTGGTCCCACCTTATTGGGCTTTTTGTTGTGCTGTCGATCGCCTTCTACTTCTACCCGCTCACCCCCAACTTTCATCTGAGCAGCAACACCGATGTGCTGATTGCGGCTGTGTTCTTCTTTGCAGCATGCAAGTGCCTGGTCTGCAGTACTCTCTGGCACACCATGAACAGCATTGCCAACCAGCCGTTGATGGAGAGATTCGCATGTGTCGACTACACAGGAATTTCCATGCTCGTGGCCGGCTCAATCGTCACTACGGAGTACACTGCTTTCTACTGTGAGCCGGTGTCGCGATGGGCGTATATTATGCTCACCATGACCCTGGGCGTTGGTGGTGTGGTTCTCCCCTGGCACCCGACCTTCAATCGCCATGATCTGGCCTGGGCTCGTGTGGCTTTCTTTGTCACCCTTGCCTTGACTGGATTCGCGCCCTTGTTCCAGCTCACCTACACCCGAGGTTTCGAATGGTGCGTATATTTCTACGCACCAGTTGTGAAGAGCATCCTGGTCTATTTCGTCGGAGCATGCATCTATGCCTCGCAGGTCCCCGAGCGCTGGAGCCCAGGTCTCTTTGATTACGTGGGTGGCAGCCACAACATCTGGCATTTCGCAGTGCTGGGTGGTATTCTCTTCCATTACTGCGCCATGCAGGACCTCTTCGCTGGTGCTTTCCAGAGAGCCCAGGGAGAGTGTCCCAGCCTGACCTCATGAATGACATTGCCCATCCCGTTATCATCACGTCATTTGCATACGACCGGCCATGAGTGAGTACCCATCTATGAAACCATTTGGTCTGAGTAAAAAAACAAAAAGAAAAAAGCACATCTAGATTTCTTTTCCACTGCACAGGTTATCCATTCTCTGCAAAAAATTTGCCCCTGCCAATATTTTCGGGCCTTGTTCCCGCTCCTTTTGCGTTCCCTCGCTTGCATGCATGGATGGAGTACACCGGTGTTTCCATTTTTTCTAACATTTCATTTCCCTATTTCCCTTCTTTGTAGATATCTGACCTTCATTTTGCAGAATCATGTCTATAGATGTCAGGTTATTGTTTCTTTTTTAGTTCTGTGTCTATTGTGAATACTAAGATGCAGTTAGATATTTGTCATAATTCAACATTTCATTTCTTTCTTTCTATTTGGAATGTGAAAGCCATCTAATCTAGTAGTTCTATCCAATGATTTCTGTCGTATCCTCGTCAATTCCGTGAGATCTCCACATCGGTGTCATAGGGCTGAGCAAATAAGACTCAGACCCTCGGTGGGCCGATTGGGGCTGTTTCATAATATGATAAGATCATATCCACAGGCACAGTCTATCTATAGAAGTACCTTTCCTCTGAGCGTGCGGGGATATCAGAGGCGTTATCCATAAAAGGTGTGCTGATTCCTCATGATAAAGCCATTTCCGAGTCAGCATTAACCCGCACTAATATCGTGAGTTGGGTGGCCGTGTTTCGCTGGGTGTTATGCGGCGCATGTCGGCAAATCTTTTGTATATTCTCGGAATCATGATGCTTCCTTCTTTTCTTCCTCAGCCGACGCGGAATTGATGCGCTTCTTGAAATGCCCTTGCATCCAGCAACGGTACATCTTGAGTTTTCGCTGTCGGTTTACAATCAACCGTCGGTCAATGCCTAGTTTGGCGATCTCGAAAACACCGTCGGATTCGCTGTTGATTTTCGAATAATCTTCGCTCCCTGCCTTTTCGCTCTCCTTTTCAAGGACAATCACATCTCTCCCCGGAGCCCACTGGCTCCACATGTGGACCAGCTCCTCCCGATCGAAGAAATATACTCGTGTACCGTCTCCACGGATATAGAAGTTCTCATCCAGGTATCGGCCCTTTTTGAATCGAACCTGAGCCAAGTCTCCTCGTCCGTAGTCACGGAAAAGAACTTGGCCGCCGGGCTTCAAGACACGGTAGATGTTGTTCAAGGCTTGGCTCCACTGAGTCGGCGACAGGGCGGAGAAGATGAAGATGAGAATTACAACGTCCACAGACCCCTCCGTCAAGCCTGGTGGCATTGAATCGTTCTCTTCGGTGGGCACGGCACTAACATCCCAGACATCGGCCACCATGTGCTTGGTGTCATAGTGCTCGCTTTCGCGCATCACCTTGACGGCAGTTTTCGAAAAGTCGCACGCATGAACCATAAGCCCTTCGTTCTCATTGTTGGCTAGCAATGGAAACGCAGTATTTCCAGCGCCAGCGCCAACCTCCAACACAACCTGCGGGCCTGCATCGCTCCGGCTCACGTCCGCGAGAACAGGAAATTCCTGCTGCAACCACTTGCGGTTCTTGAAGAAATTGGCCGTGTTGTTCTTGTAAAACAGATTCCACCACTTGGCCGGGTCCGAGTTGAAACGGTGCTTGTCGTAGTCTGAGACGGGGGCTTCGCGCTGTTTAGCGTACTGGCCTTGGGCAAATTCTTTGAAATCATCGTCCGGCTCGACATGGTCCCAGGCGTTGAACTCGTAGACATCGTCGCCTTGTTCGAGGTACCGAGAACCAAACATAAAAGGATCAGTGCGCTTCATATTATTGGAGGGGTCATGGGAGCGATGCGGGGGGACCATTGGGGGTTCGACATTGCTGAGCATAGTCGCAAACTCGTCGGGGGCGTTGGACGTAGGGGCAGTCATGATGATAGGTGCCCTGAAGCGACTGACAGTAAAGAGAGAATAAAATAAACAGCAATAAAACAAAGCAAAGAATGGATGTGGAGGAAAAGATCGAAAGAATTGCGGAAGAAAAAACGAAATCCCACTTTTTTGGTGGGGAAAACTCAGTGCCTGAGTGCCTTGACGCCTCAGGCAGGCATAAGACTTATCAGCCAATCAGCGCAATGTACAAAATACGGGTGCCTGACTGCCTCATCGATCGGCTTTCTATTCTTATTCCTCGATACGAACACCATTTGTCCTTTTCTTTTCTTCCAGTTCCCCTCCCCTTTGTACTCTTTTTCTTTCTCACATCTCACTGTCCAGCTGGTGCTGCTGGGCATTCTTCTGGACCTTAAAAGTCATGTTCTTGTGAGGCTGTTTGAGTCAAAGTCCCCTTGTCCGTCGCGGAGATCATCTCTTTTCATCTGATCTGTCTATCTTTATCGATTTTGTGCATCATATTTATCCTATACAGGGCCACCCATTGCATATTTAATTCAGATCACACAGCATCCCATTACTGCATTCTGGTCTAATTCTGTGTTCGCCGACAATCTTATCAAAAATGTCCTTTCTCCAGGGGCTGTGTGGTTGCATTGCGCGTCCCAGTTCCCCGCCTAGGCCGACTCCAGCCCCTCAAATGATGACCGTCTCCGATCATCCAAGGAGAAGCAGCAACACCAGATCCTGGACTGAAGGCGATGACTGGGCCATCACCCGCCCTACTGACCATGATGCTGGCTATTCGTCTGTTGTCCCTTTGCCGCGGTATACACCCCGTCCCGTAAGCATCCAGGAGAAGACATTGGCGGCCCACATGCGCGATCCATCCATCTCCTCATCGTCACTATCATCGTCATCTTATCCGGACGAAAAGAGCCGCAACGTATATCACTCCAGTAATCGCCCAGAGGATCTCACTTCGGACGTCTCATCGGCGATCTCTTTCCCTAGCAGCTACGGGAATACCTCGACGGCAACGGGGGAAACGCCCCCGCCACCATACTCGCCACGAGTATCGCCAGCACCGTCAAGATCCATGTCTGTCTCATCGATGTATCCGCCTGTGGTTCCAGCTCAGATCGCACCCCCCAGACCGGTCCTGCAGCGACCGGATTTACCATCAAGGTGTCGTGCTGATCAGCAACGGCTATCACAACACCGGAGATCGTGGGAGAGTCGGTGATTGGCGGGGGGCTGCTCCCCATGCAAATAACGTTTGATCAAAATTTATAGTAATTATCTCATATCGGTATTGTCTTCTTTCTGATGGATTTGTCTTATAGTGGGTATGGTTTATTGGGCTTGGGTGGGATGACACGCAGGGCGTGGTCTTTGATTTGAAGGTGGGGAGTTTCATATTGGCGCAAATGCGATGATGTCTACGATACAGCTATAATAATTCAGCAATGACATTCATATAACATTTTTCATCTTCATGCATGCGACAAGGCCAAAATATCCATTCAGCGCGAAAGTGCAGAGGGTATCTATCATATATGCAGTTCTTGGGGAAAAGCCCAAATTATTCAAAGAATTAAAAGACCCCAACAAGATCTCCACAGGAATCGAGCACAGCCCGTTCCTGTACATGTCGAAGCAGATACCCACACGTCCCTGCCGGAAACTCTAGCAGTTTAAGAACAAGAGGATCGTCGCTGTCTTCGAGAAACATGCAGATGGCTGTACATTCGGACCGCACTCGCGCATTCGCCCACCACAGGTCCGTCGCACTCACGAGTGCCAGCCACCAGCTGAGAATGATCAAGCCAGGTGGGTCTTTTTGTATTAACTTATCAAAGTAATCAGGCAGTAGACGGCCCATGAAGGTTGTGTACTTGGAGAAGCTCTTCACGGATCGTTCTAGTAAAAGAAGTGGGGAAAGCATTCGCAACGGCCACATGTACGGATTAGTCTCTTCGGTGGTTGTATCGTCGATGCCACAGATGTCCGCCAGCTCGGGGTGAAGTCCTACCCGGCCTGTACGATGGTCATCAAAGATGATGTTTTCATCTCGAGACTCCATGAATGGGGCCGCCCATATGCTCTGAGATATCCACGGCCTAGTGAGACCGAGGAGATGTCTCAATCCGCCCTGAAGCATGAGCCAATTCAGTGTTTCGGGATTATCTGAAAAGACAAAGGAGGCCCGGGGGTTGTAATCCTCCAGGGCAAAGGAATGAACTGTCAAGAGGAGACAGGCGGAGAATAGAGTGTCCATATTGTGCAAGCCGACGGTGGACGAAATCTCCTTGGAGTACAGGCTGATGGCCTGTTGCCAGTGATAGGCCTCGGCAAATTTGTAGGTGCTATTGTCTGGGACGACGCGACAAAGATGAGTTGTCGCTACGGCTATGACGGTGTGCATAAGAAACGGCGACTATATCAGTTAGTTGGAGCTATACCATACTATCAAGAGAATTCTGACATCAAATGCCAATTTAATCACCTGGTCTCTCATTACCCCCTTGAAGCCTCCGGTGCCAACGGTAGCAAGGGTAGAGTTATGAAAGTGTTGCAAAGCAACGATATTGTCCGATAACTGGCCATTCCGCGGCTTCATCTGCAGAAGGTCATCGATTTTCTCGGCAACTGCAGCCAATGACATAGAGTATACTGTCGAGCCTGATGATGTCAAATTCGGAACCTTCTTGGTGGAATGGGAAACAATTCCCGAGTTCTTAGTAGCTCGACATTGGACGACATCATAGTCACAATCGACACCATGCTTTTGGCACCGTATGCAGTGAGGCCTCGACTCGTCACACTTGACCAGTTAGACAGAGATACACCCCAATGAGAACTAAAGGGGAATACCTTGACCCTTCTCCGCTTACAGTTCAAACAACCGGCACGAGACTTCCGATGGGCCCGACGGGCATGATAGACAGACTCGGTGGATTCGTCAGTGGTCTTGAATGACACAAAATTTTGCTTCTGGTACATTGGAACTCGAAATAGACTTTTTCTGCCCTGTAGTTGCTCTGATAGTGTAGGGGAATGTGAGTTGCCTTTCTGTTGTATCTCAGTAGTATTCTCCGGGGACGGAGACGGGTTCGGCGTGATCAACATGACGAAGAGCGTATAGACAAATTGAGGGAATAGAATATGAGAATTATATATTGCAGTTTGTCTGTACTGAGAACAGAGCAAGAATATAACTGCAGCTGAAAGTCGACACTATTCAAGACACACTCGGGCAACAAAGGCGGAGATGCTCGCCATGCGCCCACTAATCATTCTAAACCCCAGATGTAGGATATTCTTAGTATCAGCGCTGCTTCGAAGCAACCGCAATGGATAAGCCAAATTGGCAATGATTATACATGATGGACCGTCACTGCGAGTGTCGATGATGGAAGATCGTCACATGCATTGAACACGAGTTTGTTTTGTTTTCATAGCGCTAGTCCAAAGAGGGCAACTCTCTTATTCGCTTCGATATACCAAAAAATAGCGAAGACAAGATGGATTGCTCCAAGAATAACATATTCATGTGCCATGTACAGGATCGTTGAAACTCTCATTCTCATTACTTCATACACCATTAGACAAGTCTTTTTTAAGTATGCACAAAATCAGCCAATCTGGGCATTGGAAAAGTCCATCTCTATATATCAAGTTAGTATCTTGCATCACAAAGGCTGGCAGTATAGAAAACGTACCCGGGTGATCCGCCTGGAACTTCTTCAGAATCTCTGCCTTTCGCTGCTCATCGCTAGTCTGTCCACCCATCTCCTTCTGTCGCTGGTCGTACATCATTTTCTCCACCATTGCTCTCGTTCCTCCGTCTAGATCGCTCAGCTTGGATGATTCGGGAGTAATCTTGGACACATCGATTTTGGGAGCAGAGGTCACCACATGCGGCCACCATTCAACCTTGTTGACCTTGTCCAGGTGGACCGAGACTTCTTTCCCAGGTGGGTGCGAGGTTGTTTCGAGAGTCCACGAGGATTCATCGACGAGAATAGGATGGGGGAAATCGCCCTGTTCTTGTTAGAAATAACACCTTGACAGCTTCAATTATCCATTCGACAAACCTCAATGAAGGTCTGCTGTCCCTTCACGGCCACCTTAATCTTATTCTTGGTCAACACCACATCCATATCCCTTCCCTTAAGATTTCCTGGCACTGGCACCGTCACCTCTACATCACGGATAGTTTGTGTCCATTTGTACGGGAGCTGGGCTTGTTCTGCTTCTTCCTTTGCCTTGCGTTCTGTTTCTTCGCGTTCGCGGTTGGCGATTTCGGCGGGGGTGGGGTCACGTTCGACGTCGGACATTGTGGTGTAATTCGCTGCTTGTGGGATAATATAATTGGAGATGTATCTGAGAAGAAGGTGTTCGTCTTCGAGTATCTCGGTTGTAAACTGGAAGGAATTCAGGTGCGTCGAGGAAATCGAGAAGAGGAAAGTCCAGACTTCGAGCAGCTTCTGTCGGTCACGGCGAAAATGCGGGGCCACTAGAAGCTTCCTCCAACAACACTGCAACTCCAACTGAACAACCAACTGCTACGACCTACGAACGATGATGTGAAGTGTCAAAAATAAGAAATGGATTGTTTTCGAAACTGACATTTCTCTATCATGGATGGAGTTGCCTGTCATGAGGGTTTTCCATTCATTCATCTCTGCTGGACCAGATCATCAGCTAAAGAGCTGAGCTACACACGAATGTCCAGTTCCCCAAGCTTATAACGTGGTAAATTGAAATGGCACGCCACATAGGACTGGAGGAATAAATCGGTTGTATCCAGGAGCTCGGGATACTTTGACTTGGATAGAACAGCTCGAATGTTGCGCACACACTGAACCGCCTTCTCACTGGTGATCCGCAGTGCCTCCAGCAGACTAATCTGGCGGACGTGGGCGAAATTACAAATGTAATTTAGGTCCTCAACCCCCGTCATGGTTTCCTTGTAAAAGGATATAATATCGTTGGAAAAACTGACGAAATCGGCGGCGTCCGGAAGAATCGGGAGATACTCCTCCAAGAAGACTTCTTCTGGATAGAGCTGCTGGGGGAAGGCAAAGTGAGCGAAGGGGTCCGCAATGCTGGCCTTTCGACGAAAATACTGAGGAAATCGCAGTGCTCCAACCGGGGGCACCATCGATCCCTCATAGCGGTTCTCGACCAGTCGTCCACCGATGAACTCCACCATGCTCTTGGAGATTATGATTCTGCCATAGGACCCGAAAAGCGTGCCCATCTTACCGAGGAATTCAAGCATCGAGGTTAGGACAGGCGACTCCTGCGGTTTCCCCTGGATCAACCGTGTTTCGAACTCTTCGAGGCCTGGAATGAGGCCTGACTCGCAGTCGTCGATTAAGAACACATAGGTGATGAAAATGCTACAGGCGATTTTGTGTTCCTTGGAGACAAATGGGTAAATCATCCCCAGTTCAACAGCAGACCTTTTCGCCCGTTTGACGGCTTGGTCTTTGATCAAAGGTTCCCAAGGCTGCGAACCAAAGTAGGAGGTGACCGGTTTCTCCAGGGACAAATCCGGAGTGATCGATGGTTTGAAATATCCTATGTCTTTTAGGAATCTTGACACAATGTGCTCATAATCGTTTTGCGAAGGGACCGAAAGCTGCATCGTTTTGACTCAAGCAGACCAGCTCAAAGAAATGGAGGCGCGTGCGATGAATGGCAATAAGATTTATATTGCAGGCAGTACTGATGAAGATGATTCTTCTCTAAAGCTACTGTCCTCACGAAGCGAGAACTGGTTCATATAACCAGCCGTTCTACCATACTGTGTCAATTCGAGTCTTGTCAAACTACTCGACCAGAGAGAATTACGAAGACATGCACCGAAAGACAACTAATGCCCAACATCTTGCATAGGTCATTCATTCTAATGCTGGCTTCGTAATACATGCCTTTATCAACATTCATGTCAACCACATTGGCTGGCTCTTGGATCCTACAATCACTCTCAAATGCGGCTACCAGGCCGTCTGGGTCACTTTCCTTGAGATGTAACAATCATAGATGCAGCGAAGATGTTTGTGAGACGGAACATCTCATACCAGCTCAAGTGCCTGAGCTGGATGCTAACCTCAGAACTCGATTATGAAAGATATGATGCATATAGCCTTGCACTGCAGCGATGAGTTATTCTGTCAAACCCCAACATTTAAATTGGCAAGGATGCGACCTCATATTATAGGGCATTACATACGTGGGACGCAGTGACACATTCATCAGGAGTGCATTTTCAGCCTAATTAGGTTGGCTGCTTCACACTCTGCATGAAAAAAAGAATAAGTATCATCGTCACAACTTTCAGCTACCTTACTCACTACATCTCCGAGTGCATCACGGGTATGTACCACGTAGCACATATGTTACAATGCATCTACGGCGAAGTCGAGGATTTCTTCAAAATACACTGCAGAAGATTGCTAAATCCTGATTTGCTTTTATTATTTTTTCCCCTCCCTGCAGAAAAAGAACAGACGCTGATAAAGTATTACTGACAATAACAAAGTATCCGACCTCCATAGTCATCCCGACATGCAATAATGTAGATCACTGGCGGTAACTCGAGCAAGAGATTCAACTCGAACAAAAAACAGAAAAGAAAAAAGAGATCCCTGTTTCAAGCCAGGAGACTCGGCCAGACTCATACAATCAATCACTCCCCCGTATGCTACCCGTAGCAGATCGACAAATCCCAATGCTCCCTGCGCATCAAGACCAATGGACAAAAACATAGAAAAAAGTAGACGCCGTCAGTCCAGGAACCCTATGAAACACCACCCTGGTTCAGCGGTCAAAAATGTACCCGGTGAAATAAACCCCCTTGCAAAATAGAATGCCCGTTGGACGCCGTGAAACTCGGAATTTGATAAGAGCCGAAAAGAATTCGCGAAACGAATTTGGTATTTTGGGCAAAATAGAACAGTGCCTGGAGATCGACAGCAAGCACAATAGAGCGACGGATCAGACTGGAATGTTGTAATCACTCGAGACTGTCTAGCATCGTCTCTTGCGCATACTCCATGTCGTGGAAGCTGTCGTCCACAGCAAACTCGTCGTGATCAATATCCTCCACCTCCTCAACAACGCCACCCGGCTGTTCGATAGTGTCGAAGAATTGGCCTGCATATTCTGCCACCTCGTTTGCCAGCTTCACTTCCAAAATGCCTTCCAACGCCTGCATGTCTCTCTTCCACTTCTGCTCTCGTCGAGCCCTCTCTTCTTCCTGTCGGCGACAAGTGCCGTCCTGCTCACGTAACTTGAGACAGTTTGGACAGAGATAGTTGACGGAGCAGTAAGAGCAGTTGCATGGCGGGTTGTCATTGATACAATCTTGGCACACGTTCACTGAGCATCTCGTACATTCCCGGAGGACACTCGCACACCTCTGTCGCTGATCCCCTAGTGCTCGGTACTGTGGACAGAAGAAGGACTGGCAGCCTTGCCATTTAGGCATTTCAAGAGGCGCCTCGCAGTACACCGAAGTTGGCGACGATGAACCAGACCGGTTAGAGTTTGTCCCGGAGAAGCTCCGACGCCGCATGGGGACAGAAGACTCGGACTGGTCAATAGTATTCTGCGAAGCAGGTGGAGTCGCATCCATCGAACCTTCCGCAGGATGCTCTTCGGTAAAACTGCTCGTGGTAGAGTCGAGCAGCCGTTGCGTTCGATACGGAAGTTCAAACCCTGACATAGAATCAGTCTGCGGAAGGTGTCGAGGCACAAATGTTTCACGATTAGCATGCTGTGGATTGGCTTTGATATGGGTCTGGAGTGCTATCTTTTCCAGAGCGAGGTCCCGGTAGCCACATATCCGCAGGCGAAGACCCCGGAGATCATGTTCAATACATAATGGCTTCGAACAGCTCTTGCAGTGAACCTTCCATTGCGGAGTGTCATAACAGCTCTGGCATAGGTTACGCGGGCAAGCTGATGCCTTGCGATCTGGGGGTCCCAGCAGCCATCTCATCATGGCAATGTGGCCCTCTTGGAGAGAGTAATCGGGTTTCTTCGGATCGCCATAGGCGTACTTGGGGAAGGTCTTGCTCCACTCATGGGCAGTGTACTCCAGATCTTCCCAGCCTTTCCCTCGAGGCAGAGGCACTGCTCGCACGTGGTCCACATCGCGGTTGGGAGTTCCGATACTGATGCCACCACCGCCGGAGAATATGGGCTCGGTACAGCACCAATGGAATTTGAGATTCGGGTACGGTGTAGGACCGTTGGCATTCAACGTTTCGTTTCCTGACCCATCTACCAAGGGATCCTGCATGACACATGGCGAAACTGTAGCACCAGGAGCCCACCAGATGGAATCACTTTCCTGCGAGGATGTGTCTTCCGAAGAAGGCCGAGCTCGAAGATGACTGTATGGTCTGTCATAAGCACAGCTTGCACAGAGAGTCTTTCGACACCCAACACAGTGCATCAGGATGCTGCACTGCTCACACCTCTCGGAAATATCCTCGAGGCAATTGTCACACCGAATATTCTCGACAAATCGTGTGTGGCTGTGACGCAGGTGAGCGGGTACCGTTTTGCCCTCACCGTAACAATCTCCTTCTCCGGTTCCCAACGCCTCACCAAAGTTTCCAAATTCGCCATGCTCCCATACCTTTCCATCCCGCTCCGCAGGTGCCCGATATGACGAGTCAATGGGCCCGATCCAGTTTTTGGACCGCCATAATCGATCGAAAACTACCCAAACCTCAGCAGACCCCTGCGGAACCCGCATAGAGACATAACCTCTTCTCCTATAGCATCTTCCAGCGGGAGTCGAGCACCAGGTCGTATCCGTCCAGATCCCCAGCTTGTGGCATAGATTGACCAGCTCATGGGTGGGCTCAGAGTCTGAATCCTTCCGTACCAACGATGAGGAGAGATAGGGCCTTCGGCGGTGGTGACGACACCGGTATGTGTAGAGGCTCTTGAGGGCAAGGTGTTTTTTCGAGGTAGAAGTTCCGGAGTTGGTTTCCATGTCCACGTCGTACTGAAGGCCAAACATGGTTAGGTATGGAATGATGTGGTATTTGAGCGACACATTCTTGCAACCCCGGACGGAGAGATGCTCTAGGGTTTCTCGCCGGGAATGTAAGACCGTCGAGATAAGGATCTGGCCCGATACCGCTGTATTATCTAGTTCTAGGCTCTTGAGTATCGGACTAAACGGCACCACCACATTCATCAACAACTGGTCAAGAGCATATGGTCGGGACTGGCGCGGCACCAGAGTCTCCGATGAGCCCGGGATAACCACTCGTACTGGAGGAGGAGTGCCTGAAGGATAATACAAGCGGAAAGATAGGTACTTCCATGCTGTCGGATAGGATCGGAGAAAGGAACGGAGGTAACGGGAGGTATGGTAGAGCTTGAAGATGGAATCGGTCGGGGCTTGTAGCAGGAGAGACTCGAGGATAGGAGCATTGGTGGTGATAACTCGTTCGAATGTCGAGAGGCTTCGTTGGGCCGAAACGACTGACTGTTCTCGGACGGTTTCGACGAGGCCTTGTTGACCGGAACCGGGCATCTCTCTTATCGGCATCTTGCCGTGTGAAATGTCGACCACAACAGTCCCTGCTGTGTCGGAGAGGGTAGACATGATGGCGGAGCCTTGTCTATTTGTTCTTCCTCTGCTCTTAGATTACTTCCGAGGTTTAAGGCGCGAAATCGCGAGTACTGCGGAGAATGCGGGAGACGCAGCACATCATAAGGAGAACAGGACGGGGATGCGCAAGGAGGGCGGTTTACACCCAGAAGATAAAGACCATGAGCGTCCATCAAATCGAGACAGAGGGGGGATTAATAGAGGAGAGCAGGAATGGAAAAGGCAAGAGAAGGTGAGATAAACCCAAGAAAGGGTTGGTTGGGTGGTTTTGACAACTCACAATTGGGAACAAAATCCAGGATCTGACCCGTTGCGTCATGTGATAGGTCGCCCCAACGGTGTTTTTTGCATTGTGTTGGTGCCGTCCAAAGGTTTTTCTTTAGTTCATTATCATTATTCTGTCTAGCGAAGTCTCTAGTGCGATTATTGATCTGGATTCTGTTCTTTTCTGGTTTTGTATCTCCCCTTTGATCGCTTCAAATCGACCTTACAGATCCCGCGGACGGTGTTGGGATACTGACTTTTTTTTTTTCCTTTGCCCTGCTCTATGGATGTAGCACCAATAGGGTAGACACTAGACTAGTAGTTTACGCTTCCGGCAGATTATGAGGTGATGGGAATGGACGGATGGGGTAATGTGTGTGTGGTTCTTTTTTAAATAGCCCTGTGCTCCTGTTGTAGGGAGAAGTTTAGTGTTTCTCTATCGAATCGCCCACCGTGTATCCCCTTGCAATGCCCTTGCGCCCTTCCACTATTCGCGTGCTGTCAGGAGCCTCCTCATCATCTTCATCGTATCGAATATCAAAGTCACTACCCAGTCCCTTCCACGTCCGCTGCGATCGTAGAAATTCCGCCCCTGGGGATACAGTGCCGCCGATCATCGCCAGATCTCCTTTAGTCCGTCTAGCCAGAGCCCGGGCAGCCGATGGTCCACTAGCAGCAGAGACTGCATCATCGCCCTGGGAAGAAACGCGGGGTGCAGCATTCCACATCGGTCGGGTGTGCGAGACATAGCGGCCGGTACGGAGATCAAATTCAGGTGGTGCGGACTCGGGCTCGGACATGCCGTCCTCATCCTCCTCCTCCTTGGGTTCCTCATCATTATCGGCCGATGAGCCCTGCTGGGCAGGTCGGTCGAGGATGCTTTGGAAATCACTTTGCCAGGCACCCGTCCAGACCCGCTCATCATCCCTCTTCAGCGCAAGCTCCAACTCAAATGGGGTGATCACCGGTTTCCAGAATTCTTTGCTGTCCACCAACGAACTTTCCCAGCATCCAATGACCACCCAGCCACCAATCTCGCTGAAATTGGCAAGCTTGGCGGCGTTCACCTTTCCGACCACAAACATGTAACTCTTCTTACCGGCCGCGGCAATCATTTCTTTGACATGTTCCACTATATGCAGGTAATTTTTCACACTTAGCGTGTTGATAAGGATTCCGAAGATCGGAACGGTACTGAGACGGGTCAAGATGGCGTACCGCCGACGCAACGCGGCCGCAGTTGACGCGGGTAGCGGCTTGACATTTTCATTCATCGGATCATCCGTTGGGTAAATCTTGATGTCAGCAACGCGAGATGAAAGGGTGAGAAGCAAGGCAGTCGGGGGATCCGAGATGTGGAACAACTGCCATTCCGATAGTGACTCTGGTTGATCGCGTACCGAGTCGGGCACAGTCCGATTGGGAATGGCAGACGAGGGCTCATGGACCAGCTCCGTGGCAAACAGATTTGTGTACCCTTCCTCTACCAAACGAGCATACACCCCGGGGACATGGTCCGAGTAGGTAACATCGGCAGCAACGATGACCTTTGTAGCTAGGTCGGGATAGGTCTCCTTGAAAGCCCGGACCACGGGGTCTAGGGGCAGTTCTTTGTGCGTAAAGACATAAATCACCGGCAACCTGGCCGCCGGGGATAGGCATGATCGTCCATAATGCACAACGACATCTGCGTCTACATGTTCCGCAGCCACTTCATCGACACAACATGTCCCGTAGGAAGTATCACCCAGGATATACAATCTGGGCGGCTGTTCCGTAGCATCCTCCACATTTATTTGAGACACCGAATGAGCCAACTGGTCTGCATGATCCGCGGTGGTGCCATTCCCATTGCTCAAAGCGGGGTTGTTGTTGGCCACGCTCTGTCTATCCAACCCTCGACTAAGCAGTTGAAACACCCGAGGAGCATCCGGGAGCATGTCATCCGGAAACTGCAGAGCAATCCGCTTGTACCGAGCCTCGCGGATCTCCTTCAATGTGCGCTCAATGTCATAGGTGATGGATAGCTCCTCGTCCGACAAGGTGCGGTTCGACTCGCGTGTAGCGACGGGGGCGGTTTCCTCGAGGATGCGATTATCGGGGGTTGACAGTACAGGGGCAGCCTCCATTTCGGTCGCCATTGTGTGGGGAAGAGGAAACTTGTCGAGTCCTGGAAAAAATGGCTTTTTCTGAGTTGAGGACGAGGAAGTTGTAATTGTCGTGGATTTTTGGGGGGGAAAGGGAAAAAAAAAAAAAAAGAATCACCCCACTTCACCCCGCCATTTCGGAGCCAATGGCAGAGATGCGATATACAACACCAGGGGGACGATCACCCATTTATTCGTGGCGATGGAATTGGAAATGCCTCATTTTTGTATTGACAGGATCTCACAGTTGAAAGCGTAAATCAATATATACATAATGTGGTGGTAAAGCAGACACCCCGTTTACTAGCATTACAAATCCGCTCGTGCCGGTTCGCCAGCCCATACTCTCCGAATCAGCTCACGGATGGGCGTCCGTTCAATCTCCCGGGGATTCCAGTATGGGTTGCCAACTGCAATGTCCGCTGCCTTGTCGACATCCTCTTCCTTCATTCCGAAATCCGTCAGTCCACGCTTGACCTTCAACTTGGCCAGCAGCACATTCAGCCCGTGAATCGCATCTCCGTTGCTGTCGGGGAGAGCCTCGGCCAGTTTCTTCATGGCCTCGGGGATCTTAGGAGCATTGTAGGAGATGGCGTGAGGGAGGACAGCAGTGTGAGTCTCCGCATGAGGCAAGTTGAAGCTACCACCGAGGGTATGGCACAGTTTATGGTGGATGGACATGCCCACGCTGCCCAGACAGGTTCCACAAAGCCAGGCTCCGTACAGAGCGAGAGATCTGGCGGATTGGGAGGATGGGTTTTCGACAATCTCCGGAAGAGCCGATGCCAGTGCCCGTGTGCCTTCAATGGCCATCAGGTTGATAACGGGGTTTGTGTTGCGGGCGTAGAGTGCCTCGACTGGAGAGAGTTAGATACACCCCTTCATTCAAACATGGGGGATACTCACCAGCATGCGCAATGGCATTGACACCACTCGTCGCACTCATCGCCGACGGAAGAGTCATGGTAAGATCAACATCATAAATGACCGTTCCCGGGAGAATCTTCGGGTCAGAGCGCGTCTTCTTCAGTCCATCCGCCGTCTCACCCAGGATAGGAGTCATCTCGCTCCCCGCATAGGTAGTCGGGATGCAGATATGAGGCAATCCGGTACGGATACTAATCGCCTTGCCCAAGCCAATGGTACTTCCTCCACCGATAGAAATAACGGAATCCGCCTTTTGAGCAGATGCATACTCGACGGCCTTGTCGGTGATGTGGGTGGGCGTGTGCATGGTGGCTTCATTGAAGATCCCCGCAACCTGGCCCTTGAGCACATCCTTGACACTCTCCGCCTGGCTCACCTGTTGAGGAGTCGAGAGAACCAGCGGAGCCTTGAGGTTGAGTCTGGCGATCTCATCGGGGAGTTTCTGGAGAGTGCCGCTGCCAAAGACGACTCGGCCGGGGTTGGGGTTGTATTCAAAGGCGTCCATTGTGGTAGATGAAGATATCTGATTTGGAGATGGAATCAAAAGCAAGAGCAAAAGAGAATAGCCAGGCACCCTCTAGTCTAGATATAAGATTGCACATGCTTCATCATCCATGAATAATCGCTGCTCCCCACACCCCACCGGACGAGAGCCACCGCAACGTCATGAAGCAATTGGGCAAAGGCCTTTGCCGTGGGTCTTTGGTCGCGGGGCTGGTGAGGCTTCGGCAATATGGGACTGGCGAAGATCCGAATAGAAGAAGATCGTGGATTTGATTATAAAGAAAAGGCTTAATTCCTGCAGTTACAATGCGGTTTTTCGAGAATAATTCCGCAGGCGGATTGGATTCATTGTCGGAAATCCCCCATAGGATATAGTCATAGCCGATGATCATCAATTGCTGGTCCCAGCTGAAGATGCTGCTTGGTGATGTCTAAATAACCATTGTATTATGTATAAATCTGCCTAGATATACTTACGTATATCGCCAGGGCATCTGGCATACTTTGGTTTCATAAAAGTACATACAGACCTTGACTTTTAGTTTCCATCCTCGAATCTCTGTCGTCCCTAAGACACCAATGCCATGCATTTTCTTTTTTGTCATCCTTCTCTCCGTGGGTATCAATATATCAATCAGTCCATATCAGCAAAGCCCATAACCTGCTGTCCACCGCGACGGTCTTTGCCCTTGTTCTTCTTGCGCTTCTGTCGTCCCTGATCGCCCTTGTGGCTCTCCGCATCACTGTCATCATCCGAATCGTCGCTGTCGCTTTCCATCATGCGCTTTCCAGTTGGCAAGAATTCCTCACCCTCGCCATCGCCCACGGCTTCATGCCAGACCTTGACGATTTGTCCACCTCCACTGACCATGCGGCCTTCAACGTCGAATCCAAGACCCACAACACCCTCGGTCTCGTCATGCATGACCTCCGAGACAACCTTGTTGGAGCCGATGCGGACAAACTTGACTTTACCGCCTCCAAGTCCAGCAGCGAGCATCTTGCCCTTGCCCAGCTCATCAGGAACAACGGACAAGGTTTCCAATTCTCCACCGTCGCCCCGCTCGACGTAAATCCGCTCATCTTGGTCATCCCAAGCGCCCTTTTCCCAGAGCGTAAGAATTCCGCTGGATCCACCCACAATCACTTTCTCGCCGCGGCTACTTCCGCTGGACGGGAGGCCGCCCATGTACGTGGAACTGATCAATTCTTCCTCCTGGTCTTCACTGCGCATCATCACCCCACGTCGTAGATCTGTCACGGCCAGCGTTGTGCCACCCGTTGTAACCCATTGCTTGCTGAAACCCGAAGTGCTGGTATCCGAGGCCGGAAGAGGCGTCAGAGACGCAACGTAGTCATCGTGGGGATGGTGTGTCTGCTCCGGTCGAGCGGAGACATTCGAAAATGGAGTGCGCAGGTCATAGAGATGCAAAGCACTCGAATCGGTAGCAAGAAGAAGAGTTTGAGGAGAAAGAGCGTGAATGACAGTCGGAGCATCGACGGAGCTGAAAAATCCCCTAATAAGCCCAAATCACTCCACAAAGCACAATTGATCATAATAAAAACTCACCCATCCTTCGTTGGAGGAATGGCAATCTTATTTTGCACCACTCCAGTCTCCGTCTTCGCGGCCTTCACCAATCCATCCGTCCCCGCGGAGTACAGCGTCTCCCCGTCAATGCCAAACGCCAAAGTCCGACAGCTCCCCTTGTGCCGTCTTGTCCTCCACATAGTATCAATGTGGCCTTTTCCATTCCGCGACGAAGACGTAGACGCCCCATCGTCATCACTGTCGCTTTCCTCCAACGGAAGCCGAAAGGTTTGTACGTGGCCTGACGAAAGCCCGACCGAGACAATGGGCTCGTTGGGGTGGATGGCCTGCGTGAAAAGATCCGCAGAAAGCGGAATTGTGCAGACTGTGTCGAACATGGTGTGGTGGGGTGGGAATTGAGAGAATGGAAGCTCTCTTTTCTTTTTCTCGAGGATAAAAGCTCTTGGATGAAGCTTGGGTCGATTGCCATTTTGGGTGCGGGCCGATGGATCTTCCGCGGGATATTTACGATATCAACTTCACTTATTCCCGTCGTTTATTCTTTATTTATTCGGTGAAGATGAATTTAATACTGTTTAATATTGAATGGACTCAATTTCATTCTTAAGGTGATGGTAAAATATTGAATTGCATTTAATACAAAAAAGAATCAAAGTGAATCATTGACAGAACAGGCCCTGCTCAATGAAGTGAAGAAAAGAAGAAAAAGATAAAAAGACGAGCTGCCCAAGACTAATCCATGATCCTCGAGATCTATACATTGCCTTTCTCCAAACTATTTACAGTTTTGTTGAAACGAAATCATTTCTCTCAAGGGTCCCAGCCCTGATGTCGTTCCCGGCACACTCTGTGGCCTGGATATACGGACATGCCTTCGTGAGATTCCCTGTTTACGAAGAAGCAGAGAAGGTGGAGTTGATCGGTCCGAACTTGATGTTGGAGAAAGTGACAGAGGCCGAACCGTTGTCCGACTCGATGTCAGCGGGAGCACCAGAGTCTTTACCGCAGGTTCCACGCTTGACACCAGCGTCGGTCTCGGTGGCGTTGGTAGGGTACGAGCTATCCAACCAGAGCATGTTGGCGTAGTGGTCATCCCACAAGCTCAGAATGAGGACCATACCCTCGGCCATGGCGTCGCCCATCTTGGCGAGACCACCCTTGTCGGCGAAGACGTCGTCATCGCCAAAGGCCTTCTTCTGGGCAGTGCAGAAGTCAGAAGTGATGGAGTTTCCGGAGACGTCGCTCACGTCAGAGTCGGCGTTGGCGATGACCTTGCCATCCTGGACGTAGAATCGCTTGATCTCGGACAGGGCACCGGTGTCGGTACCGTCTTCGGTGATGAACTGAGTGACAACAGTCATGACGCTGTTGGTGTCGACGGTCTTGTCAGGGCCGAAGAAGGACTCGTTGCCCATGCGGAATGTGTTGAAGTCACATCCATCGGGGTCACAGGTTCCAGCGTAGCGAGTCTCGGAGTAAGTTCCACCGCACTTGTCACCCTCACACATGGTCTGGGAAGTGGTGCTGCAAGGGTGAGGGGTGAAAGCAGAGGAGATCTTGTTGGCTTCCCAGATGTCCAGCTCGGGGCAGCAAGAACCGTGGTTACCAACACCGGCGTTCTTGTCGCTGTCGGAGGGCTTCCAGCCGTCCACGTTACCCTGCGTTGATCATCAGCATCTGCGTTTCATGAATTGCTACAGGGGACCCATACCTGACCGTTGATGAACTTCAAGTCACGGGGGCACTGAGAGTCACAGTATCCAGTACCGTACTTGGCTCCGGCCTTGTTGTTGTCGTACTTGGACTTGCCACCATCGGCATCCATGGAGGTGAAGTAGAGAGCACCGTTCAAGCCGCAAGGGAGCTTGGAGACGTCAACGTCAAAGGTGAACTCCTTGTTCAGCAGCTTGAACATCTCATAAGTCTCATCATCCTGCATGAGGAACAAACGAGAGCCGATGTTGGCATCGGTGACGAAGTTCAGGGTCAGGGCGCTGTCGTCAGAGGTGATACCGTAGGTGCCCTCGTAGTCTGCACCGTCAACGGCGCAGTTTTGAGCGCAGGTCTTGTCATCGGGGCAGAGGGATGAATCCCACTGTGGTCTGTTAGCATCTATGATGGATATTCTCCGTTCATAATAAACTCACCGAGTTGCCAGTGTAGCAGTTGTCGCTGCCGTCGGTGGAGTGGACCCAGCGCCAGTTGGCGTCGATAACAACCGAACCACTCTGCTTTGTGCAGCCGCTCGCGGTGCACTTCTCCCAGTTCAAGGAAGGGTGAGTCTCTTCAGTCTGAGTGCCGGCTTGCTGAGCACGAGCAGCCGCGAAGAGGGCGGAGAAAAGGAGTGCACGGTTGTACATTGTCAGGAGGATAAAGAGTGAATTCGACTGTTGTTCCGTTGTCTGACCTGCAGAGTTGATGAGCAGACTGAGCAGGAGACGACAGCTGCCTTATATACCTTCTCTGGCCCAGGATGAGTTCCTTTCTTCTTGTTTTCATCCAGGATCCCCGGAAAGCGCCAAATCAGTCCATCTGGAGCGGGCCGTCTGACCGCTGAATTGACTGTTTCAGAGAGATGGACAAGCGTTGTTTGCCTACAGCGGCAATGAAACGTCCGCGTTACGGGACGGAGGGCCTTGACGATATTGGCATGTTTCTGGAAGTGCATCCGAACGATAACCTGGTTAGATTTTGGCTGGGGTGGCTGTTGAGGCTGTGATTGGATTGTACCTGGCGATGTTTCAACAAGCTTCTGCCAATGCCTATAACAACTTGTTCAATAGGTGAAGGCATATGATACTGTTATTCAAGTTGAACAAAATATTCTTTAAATATATCATGAGCATTATTCGGTACTTTCTCGACAAAACCTCAGCTCACATTGTTAATTAGCACAGCTGCAAATTCAAGAATATTCATGCCTATCACTGTATATTCATTCTATACGAGACACAATCAGCATCTACTCCAGTATTCCTGCAGAAAAAGAAATCCCAATTTCGGCAGAAGACCGAAACCAACATCGATATTTACTCTATTCAGCAATAGACAGAACCTCCGTGAAAGCAGAGTTTTTCCGGGTTTCACTCTGATGATTTATCTCCAGACAGCCGAATGCTAGCCCGACAACCGGTATCGATCTGAAGCCGGGACGGCGAAAAGAGCGTTGAGATGATAGATGATCGCAGCGCTAAAGAACCAGGCTGGGGGCACTGATTGGGGCGATAATTTCTAGTCTGAAGCAATCTGGAGAGAGGGGTAAGATGAAGGGTTGATTATTTTTGTTAGTCGTGTCGATCACTGGGAGTAAGACAGAATCTCCATCAATAACACGACAGGGCTGGAGGATGTGTCTCATGCCTGGAGCAAGATTGCATGTTAATGATATATAGCCAAGACACTAGTACTTCTCTTTTGATGTAGTGGGAATTCATTTAATTGTTTGTACGTTGTTCTTGTTCTGGTGATGTTAAACGGCCATCGAGTGGAGATGGGGCTAACAATCTGTGACACTGTAGGGTTTCATCAGGCCTTGTATAGACGCTAGATAAACTATTAGCTAACCAGACTTATTTCCGGATAAAGTCAGGCTGTTATTATCATTTAATTTAATATACCGATGCAGATCATTTCTTGTTAAGTGCCATCAATATCAGGATCTCGGAGTCATACCATCTGTTGATAGATATATCCAGAATGCCACGGAGCATCCTCCGCATGAGAAATTAGCATTGAACCCTGAATTAGCAATCGCGATTCAAGGTCTGCTATTATTGCAGTTCAATTGATATTATTGACATGTATTATTCATTGAATTGTTTATTATTTGGGTGTTTGGCAACTTCAAGTAATACCAGGATACGTAGTGCTAGGACGGGTATCCATCATTCACAATTCTGTATACGCCATGGTAAGACAGTTTTATATCGATGATTAACACATCAGGAAGATTATTCTCATTTGGCTTCACATAACTGATGTCGATGATCTATTTCAGGAAATACAAGACTCTGGGCCCTGAACTATCTCGAGTTGGGCTCTTCAAGGTGTTCTTTTGATCGAAACATCTCTTCTTGATTATAAAGACAGCACGCTGGAAGACGATCGATTCATACAAAACGTGGCTTTTATTCTCGGCCTATCTACCAGTCTGACCACGTTCGCGCTTCGATGGCAGTGATAGAGGGCCACTGTGCATCCTATCCTATCGTCGGGCGATAACTACATCCGGGCAGCACAATTCCTCATAACTCTCATACGATCCGGTCTGATCGCTTATACCAAGGAGATCAGTGGAAGTTGTTGTCAATTGCCGGTGCAATATCTGGCTCTGGTCTCGATCGATTGCCATGCTACCAAAAGATCGCTGATGGTAAGCTCCTCCCGTTGGGAATGTCCTTCGACGTACATTGGAAGGATTTGCTACCGCAGCTATACTGGGTTTCGCCGGCTTTAGCTCTATAACCAAATTGGAACCATCCAAAGACTTTTTCCTGCCCTTTGCGGGCCTGCCTTCAGAACTTATATCTGGTGCCTTTAATGTACTTCTCCTAGCCAGTTAACTTGTTAGCTAGTGGGGTAGTGTCAACCCGTATAGCGTGCAGTTCGAGGCTTCTAACAGAGTAGATTCAATCATCATGACACACAAGGTATACCTACCAGGCAGCAACCCTACCAGCCCCAATCTTCCCTTATATTTTAGGTCTCCCCTTACTAGATAATCCGACCACTCTGTGGTGTAGAGGGCAACCTCTGCGCTGCAGTGGCCAACGTTCCCTGTTCGAACCGCGCCCAGGGCAGTCCCAATAATACTGGCTTAAGGTGTTAGGGTATGTGTGCGGCGTTAGCATAGTTGCTATACTGTCCCTCGTAGAGTTCGTTCGTGGAACCCTTTTTTTTATATTATATATAAATTTTTAGTATTAGTCTGCCTACGACTACTACCGCTACATTCCTGTATGTTTTTCTCATTCCCTTTGTCGAAAGATGCGCTGGAACCCCGAAAGAGCATCATTCTCTGGGGAAGATGATAGTCACATAGCTGCTACTAAAGCTGCTGAGATAGCCAAGGCAACTTGAAGTGATCTCGAGATAATGTATTGAATTAATTTGCCCTGTATGTAGTCAACTCAAGGAGTATCCAATTTGCGGTAAGACTCCTGTTCTTAGCGATGGCCAAAAGTGCTAAAGATAAAGATGAAGGCGAAGACGATAAGAAGCGGTGATGGCGGTGAGATAAAAATAGAAGGCGGTGAATCGGGGACAGGGGAAAACACGTGCGGGCCGGCATGACTTCCTCGGCCCGCTGCCTTATCCGTTATCGCCGTTGCCTGAGAAGGACCCAACCTTCTGCCTCTTTCTATCTCACTCGCGCATTGAGCACTGAGGTTGGTTCAATTGCTTTATTGTATTGATCATTGATCTATATGATATCACAAAGTCAATAGAATTGGCTCACTTCGATTCATCATGGCCTGGTATGACCAAACCGTGGAGTTTCTCTCCGATTCCATCGCGAATCCGCGCACCCAAGTTCCCCTCCTCGCCGTAACAGGGGCATCCTTTACTCTGGGTCTTCTTCTGCGATCACTTTTGCCTCAAGGACATCCTGAAGGGATCGTTCTTCCCTCACCACGGAACAAAGTCTTATCGCTGTCGGATGCGGAGAAACGTGAGCTTCCTCTGCCAACGGATGTCCTACCCGGAGCACGAGATGTGTCGACGCCATACGGATCAATCCGTGTTTACGAATGGGGCCCGGAGGATGGACCCAAGGTATTGTTCGTCCATGGAATCACTACTCCCTGTATTGCCTTGGGCGGTGTGGCCCATGATCTAGTCGATAAGGGTTGTCGAGTCATTCTATTTGATTTGTACGTGACTGCATTTTCTCTGTCTGACCTATTGATACTCTCAAATTGCTGTATCATTTCGCTGATGTCATGGAATCTAGGTTTGGAAGAGGTTACTCTGACTGCCCCTCTGACATCCCTCAAGATGACCGACTCTTTGCGAGTCAAATCTTTCTCGCCTTGAGCTCGTCCCCAGTTTCGTGGACTGGTGCTGGATCGGGCAAATTTAGTCTTGTTGGCTATTCCCTTGGTGGCGGAATTGCGGCAGCTTTTGCATCGTACTTTCCGCATCTCATCTCGTCACTGGTGATGCTCGCTCCTGCAGGGTTGATTCGCGAATCCCAAATCAGCTTCCAGTCACGCCTTCTTTATTCGCGTGGTCTCGTTCCCGAAAAGGTTCTTGGGTTCCTCGTAGGTCGCCGCCTCCGTGCAGGCCCATTAGTTACCCCTAAGCCCAAGGACCATAAGCTCAATGCGGCGGATGCACTTACCGAGGAGCTTTCTACGCAGGGTGCACCTGTTGAAGTGTTATCCCGGGCGTATCCCCATGTTACAATCTTGAATGCTGTTCAATGGCAAGTGAATAACCATGCTGGCTTCGTCCATGCCTTCATGTCCAGTATGCGATATGGACCAATTTTGCGGGAAAGACAGTGGGATACCTGGACACGTCTAGGCAAGTTCCTTGCATCCCAGAAGAGTCTTCCTGTGGAAGAACAGAAGCAGAAGGGTCTTCCAAGTGACAAGGTATTCATTCTGTGCGGCAACAATGATTCCATTATCGTCAAGGAGGAGCTCGCCCCTGATGCTACTTCGGCTCTTGATGAAAATGTGCAGTTGAGATACTACGACGCGGGACATGAATTCCCTAGTACAAAATGCAAGGAAGTCGCGCAGCAGATTTGGGAAATATTGCATTGAACAAAGAACTCAGCCCCAAACACCTTTGACCCCAAAAACAAAAGAAACCCCCACCCATTCCATGAGCTCCCAGGGGTTGCCTGCTTTTAATATACACCAGCGGGATAATGCTGAAGTCCCGAACTTTTTATGATCGCCAACCCTGATGACGCAATATGTATATAGAACATTCTCTTGGAACCTTTGAATACCCTTCCTTCGCTATGACTTTTGAACAATAGACCATTTGTCTTCATTTTTTCATGATTTCATCCGTTTCGCTCAGTTGACTCGACAAGCGCGAGGCATGAGCAGATCGATCCTGCATTCGTGCGCGAGCAAAGTATGGCTCATCAGCAGCAGAAGACTGAGAGAATCGATCCACATTATTGCGGTTGCTTCCGTCCGGTACATTGGTCAAGTTCCCTACACTGAGGTCACTTCCCTGTCCGTTGGCGATCCTGGGGAGAAATGATTAGCACCCTGCCTATGATCCAATACAAGAAAATGAAGTCCTTACTTGGTAGCATTTCCAGACATTGTTGATATGGATTTGATTGCTTCGTTTCTTTTCAAAGAATGTGGCAGCGGAACAATACCGTGATTTCGAAAAGGCAATTTTTCAATGTGTTCAATTGTGAACTTTTCAAGTTTTTTATGGAAAGAATGCTTGGAGGCAAGATGGTGGAGTGTGGATGTTGAGAATGAATGAGCAAGGTGAGGGTGGCGCGACTCTATATATGTTGAGAGCTGACCATGAAGTACCAACTTGGATAGGATTACGATACAGATGTTGCAAGAATAGATGACTGTGCGACACCACCAAAAACTGGGCAGAAATAGAAAGGCAGACACGCACACGAGAACAAAAAAAGAAAAGAAAGAAAGATCTTCGATACGATTTTTTTCTCGGGTCACAATAGACCCAGTGATATTGTCCTCTAGCCTCCCCCTTCAGCACATCGCCAGACTCGATGAGGATCTGTTCGGATCAGCCACCGGCTTCTAGACCTCTTTGGGAGAGATGGAGGATCTATACAGAAAAATTCCCAGGCCAATGCTAATATTACGATCTCTCATTTCTGGGAGATCATTACTCGATGGTCATTGCGCGCCAGCGGAGATGACGAGTAACGGTGTTCAAGTGGAGCAGTCCCCGATTCCCAAAGAGGCCGCTACTAGTCAGGAGCTGAAATGAGGGGACCAAGATTGTGCATGTGGCTTAGGGACTGTTAGAGGGATTTTGTTACCGGACAGTCATTCTGGGGAATCCCTAAGTGGTGCACATGGCGCATCGGAGTACGAACCGAGACAGGATACCCACCCATTCGGTATGCGATTTCGGGAACCAATAGTACCGAACGGTGGGTACTAGGTAATTCTTACTGTTTAACGTCCAACGATAATCAAGCATGGCTCAGGGAGTCAGGTATGAATGATTCAGGGCAGGGGCTGACGCTGAAGCATTGAGACAGTGCGCTGGGTACGAGGGGTCTACTTGGCTAGCCCATGATCCACGCGAATCATCTTTAGTAACCCAGCTATTTGGGTGAGCCCATTTCGTCATAATGTGTGCTGCGAGAAGACCCTGGCCCAGGATAGGAAGGGATCGAAGATAGACGTTGAAAGCATCTGAAGATCAGTCCAATCATTGAACAGCGACGTGGGCAAACGTGGCCGATCAGATGAGGCCGGCTATGCACTGCCTCCAAAAAGAGATTAAAAAAAGAAAAAGGAAAAAAGCGCCAGGAAAAAATAAAATAAAATAAAAAACAGAAAGGAATGGATGACATGATTACTGCCATCAGCTGTTCAACATCATCCCACGCTCCTGCAGCTTCATGTTTTCTTTTTCTGCCCCCTCCCCTTCTCCTTCACTGCTTGCCCCTTCGAGTACGGATCGGCGGTAGCCCCTTTCAACGGTTTTTGATCCAATTCTTCGGGAGGCAACGGTGATGCGGAATTATTCGAAAAGTGATGCAAAACCCGGTGTCTCGCGGTACGTATCCTTTTCCCTCTCGCTGTTTTCTCGAGGGCTTGTCGTATGTTAACCTATCTATGGTGACGATCATCGCTAGATTCGCTACCACTGAACCCAAACCTGCATGACTTTATTCACACTAGTGAGAGAAACGTATTGATCGTCAGGCCTTGTTCTCCATCGGTTCGCATGTCTACATGTCATGGTCTTAGCCTCTTGGGCATGTTCCACAGCCAATCAAAGCGGACATTCTCTGAGGGTCGGATACAGCCCTCCGATGGAGACGTTCTGGGCTAAGCCTCCCCCCTCTTCTCATCATCTCATGGACTCGACAGCTGAACGTTTTAATTTCAGGGCGAGATCATCATCAGAATTCAGAAAGGGTATTGTTTCAGAGTCCCCTGGTCTATACCCGATTGGGCCATTCCAGGTTTGGAACACGTGGGTTAAGCCACCCTGTCGACGAGTTCTTCTCAGACATAGCCATCCAAACATGGGCTAAAGGTATCGTTCATGCCATGCCTTCTGCGAAACTCCCCATCTGGCAAGCGTAGCACAGTGACCTAAGAGCTCGGCCAGCTCCGCCCAATTACATGGGTTACCAGCGAGTTGGGTTCCGTACTTCCCATAAGGCTCAGACCTTTCTGTGTCACTGAAAAGCAATAAACACCCGCAAAAGGGGTACTTTCGACACTATTCCCAGTATCCCACACTACTGCGATTATGATCACTCTCTTTGGGACTACGACATGCTGGAGTTCAGAACCAGGAGTGGGCAACGGGTTGCGTGTGTATTGCATGCGCAATCCAACCAGCCAACCCCTCTAGGAGCTGTAAAACGGATAGCCTTCTCTGCATCTGGGCAGGACTAACGGACTGTCAAAAATCTGCGATGCATTACAACCTGCTTTAGAAATTAAGGTTACATATCCAGGTGCCGGTCCCGGCCGTCTGGGTCCTCTGGGAGAGTTATTATTATTACGGACTACGGAGTACAAACCGTTATAATTGCCATTACCTATCCAATATGCAGTCCCACTTGGGCTTGCGGTCATGCAAGGTACAGGTTTAGTCCAAGCTATGGCCACCTAGCAACCTTATCTCTATCGTCTATCTCAACCCGATGCGGACGAATTCGCGTCGGGGACACCGGCTAGGAGCTCGGTCTGCGTACTCCGTAAACGGCTCGCTAAGGATTAATGGTGTCGATCCATGCTGCGAATTAAATGAGCGTCATTCTATACATCTTCGGCGTACTCCGTGCAGCGCCTACATTCTATCTCGAATGCACTATGCAGCTAGCTGAATCCAGACTGAAGAAGCACCCAGGCTGTGCAGCCTTCTGGCTGACATGCCAAACATCTTACCGCGTGGCCTGCCTGACTTCTCAAAGCTAAAGCTTCGAACCGAGCCGAAATATGCACCAGTCTCAAACAAGGAGGCGCAACAAATTTCCCTGTCAGAGGCCCATGCACGGGGGATCTGATGTTTATTCCCAAAAGGGAAAACATCGACCGGATGATCTTCGACATTTGTGGGAACGGTTTGCCGATCTTTTTGAGCGGGAATCGCGAACTCGCGAACTCGCGGAGTCGCGACTCGGATTCCGTTCCTCGTACGGAGTACGGAGCCTACGAACGACGGAGTAAGTACAGTATGGAGTATTTTGTCCTAAAGTTGCTAATAATAATGGTTATTATTATTTAGTATTATTGAGTCTTGGTAAGGAATTGCTTTTTTCTTTCCTTTCTTTTCCCGTTACCGGTCTAATACATTTTTTCTTTTTCTTTAATTTCGCGGGAGTTCAGGAGATTAATTAGAGTGTCCGCGGTCAGACAGGGGCTACGCCTACGGATTACAAGGCGTGCCATACAGCTGCGGTCAAACGGTCGCCGGAAGAATACTTGCTGAGAACGAGACGAGCAAGTCCACGCCAGCAGCTGATGAGGCCCCTGGTATTTTCAGTATATGACAGCCACAATGGGGGCGCAGCACCGGTTATGCACATCCTGGCCTTGTCATGTCAATTAGCCCGCAACGGCTTTTTGAAACAACGACATGGCATGCTCTGATCCATACTAGGGATGGCAATGATTCGCGTCTCGCCCTGTTCTGAGGCTTGGCCGAGATTCAGAGCCAAGATCGAGGCCGAATGGAATTTCCTCATCAGGCAAGTGTGCCTTTCCCCAATCTTGAAACCATTTCGCTTCCGCGGAGAAGAGTGAGGCCATTTCACAGAAGAAAGGGGAAAAAAGCCTAATGAATTGTTACACAACCACAATTGAGATTGTGAGTCCTGAGTCGTTCGATATGCGTCATCTCTGATTCGCTTTGCGTGTGTCACGTTAGGGATGTAAAGGATTGCGCACATTGTTTCCTCATGGCATAATGGTCGGAGAAACCCGGTTTCAGCAATCAATGCGATATTTTGCCGTACTTGTGATGTGTCAGATACTTCATTCCAGACCCCAAGAACGTCGAGGATTTCTGAGACTATCTCTTGACCAGGTTTGTCGAAATTGCATTCAAGGCTGGAGATGAAACTGAGACTTTGCCTGTACGATGGTGAGACTAAAGCGTTGCTTATCCCAATGTGCGGAGTGCATACGCATCCCAAGTTCTCAATTTTAGCCCTACGTAGTCTGCTGCTGCATGTGTCGAACTCACAATATGAACCGGGCATTGCTGCCTACTGGATTCTCATAGGCACCACTCAGGATCTTCATAGCACAGCCACCGAGGAAAGGACATTCTCATCAGACCTCAGCTCTCTTGGTAGTTAGAATGAGGTCCGAGCTATGGTCCAGTCTTTCTATCATACAAAGATCAGAACGAAAACCTGATTTTCTTGCAATCGCGGAACTCAGACACCCCATATTCCTAGCGGGTCTTCACCACCCGAGTGTTCTCGCAGACTCTGTAAGGTTTTTACTCTCTTCACAAGTGTACCGACGCATATAGGACCAATAATGGTGCAGAGAGTAATTGCCCAGACGATCACAAGATACATTTCTGAGCTTCCCTGACTTTTGGAATCTTTCCGAGCAAAGATACCATCCGTCTCAGCTAGGGATGCGATGAGAAATCCAATCTCACCCCGCGCAACCATGGCCAAGCCTAAAATAGATGCCGGGTACAGTGAGCGGGGTTTCGAGGAAGATTGAGTTCTGCGAACTTGTGACACAGCGGAATTGTTTGATGTCTGGACGGCTTGAGCACCCGCTTCTGCCGCTGGTGATTGGGACTGCTGGGCCTGTGGATCCTGCCCTTCCGTCGAGTCATTCGTCCTTTGTCTCTGTCTTTTAGTCGCATTGCCAGTAGATCTGGGTTTGCTCGCCCTTTCTCGAAATGTGCAGAACGGGAACGTGACGCGAGGTCTAGGCCTGAATTTTGTAAAGATCGACGGAGGGGCAAGTGAAAGACGAATCAGGAAGATTCCCGTGATCATCTTGCCGAGAATCATGATGAGGGTGTAGACCATTCCCCGCCAGATGACCTCTCCACGAAACATTTTGGTGATTGGGATTGAAAATCCGATGGAAGCCTACGTCGGCCGAGTCAGCGATCCTTCGCGGGGCCAAGATGGCGTGTGTAATGAAACTTACAAAGAAAAGTGGACTCAAGACCCGCTTCAGAGGCTCCTTGCAATATCTTTCGAACACCTGCTCACCTGTTGGGGCAGGTTGATGGGGCGTGCTCCGCTGGGGTTCTGCATCGTTTTGTCTCGATTGAGATCTGCCTGCATCAGTAGCAGATGAACGCTGCATCTCATTTGCAGTCTCATCATTGGTAAGAGTTTCTGTTCTGGGACTGCTGCAGAGAGTGGCAAGAGTCTCATCAAACCAAGAGATTGACGCCCCAGCAAGATAGGCGGCAAAGAGACCCGAAGTGCCGGCATATTGAGCTCCACTGACAAGTCCAATCAAAATACAGATGTGAGCGACAAAAGCAAACTGCGTGGACTTGATGCTAGGGGGAGGACGCGTGGTGCTGGCTTGGATCTTGCGCATGGCCATTGTAACAATAAATCGGCAGAAAAGCCCCAGCCCGAAGGCAAACCCGAAGGCAACCAGTATGGGTCTGATGACGATGGTTGCATCGAATGAGGATCCTGGCCCTGACTCGCCACTTCCGATATTCGAGATGATCTGAACCATCACCAGTCCTGCAACATCGTCCATCATGGCTGCACTCCCCAGTACAACGCCAAGGCGTGTTTTGGCTAGCCCTGTAGTGGAGAGGATGGTGAAGGTGGTCCCGATGCTGGTTGAACACAGGGCCGCCCCAGCCGCAAATGCTTGGAAAGGAGTTGCATCGACAAGGCGAAGCATGCTGAAGGACAAGCCCATGGGAACGGCAATCCCCGTCGACGCCACGATGGCAGACAGTCCCATGTTCGATTTTAATTGGGAGAATGACGTTGACAGTCCACCTGAAAGGAAAGTTAGTTGTGAGTATTACGATATTATTTTAATAATCAAGAGCCACCCACCCTCATAGACAAGAAGAAGCAACCCCAAATACCCCAATTGCTGAATCGATTCCTGCACCTCAAGCTGTAGCCAGTTCGCTCCGGGCACGCCCCAAGCCATCCCGATCAACAACTGGCCGATCAAGCCACAGTAGATCAACTTGTCCAGGACATAATTGATCAGATTCAGGGCAAGAAGAAAGCATGATTGAATCAGGATCGTCGTGATGTCTGGCTCATGGTAGGCCAGGGAGTCTTGGGATGCTGCCATTTTGATGTCGTCTTCAAGCGACAACTGGATGATCAATTAGTTCAGGGCAGTCAATTAGATCCATCGATTAGATTGAGATGAACATGAATGTCGTCTGCTCAGGGGTATCGCATGGACGATGAGATGACGAGAAGTCGACATTTGTCGCGGTCAGGTTGCGGGGGAATCTGAGTCATGGCTTGGCGTCTTTATGATGTTGATGGTGGGCATTCTGATGGACTCAAGATGAGATGTAGAGTAAATTATGAATTATGAATTATGCCCATCCTCATCTCTGACATCGACATCGCAAGTCCATCTGAAGCTGAAGTCGAAAGAAAACACTCGATATATCTTGGGTGGCCTCAGGCAGTCATCACGTGATGCCGGGTCACTTTCCGGTGTCAGACAGACATCAACACCAACAACACACTCTCTTCGCTTCAAACCATCGCAAGCAGGCTATCTGTCTTTTGTTACGGGGTCATATCTTTGGTAATACACTAGATGAGCTGGTATGAGTGTCTGTGAATGACCTCGCAGTCAACGGTATCTGACCAGTTGCTGCGGGGCAGCGACTCCAACTCGGGTTTAAATCATAACAAAGCGTATAATATTGATTCCTGGTACTATTCAATATCCAAATACTTATATGTGCTATGCTAACTGTCTGTCAGATCAAGATGGATAGCAAAATATCGCTTAGCAGCATTCAAAAGACCGTCTGGGACGGACAACTACCACTGGAAATTATCCTAGCGCCTTCAGAGAGTCGGACGTACGATCAAACAGATCCATATCTTGTATTTCGCTTGCCTTCAGTTTAGACGGAAAACATGCTAATCATCTTAGATATCCTGTCCACGAGTCTCATATCTTCCATCTTTACTCCCCAGGCTACGTGTCTTTTTCTCTTCGTCACTGATTAACCCCAACTCTAATCCCCATGATGGGTGGTTCTCCTTTGAAGGTGTCCCGTTGAAATGGCACTACCCGGTGGGCTTGCTGTATGATCTCTACGCGGGTGCTGACCCGGCATCCAAAGGGAGAAGGGGAGATGAATTCGATGAGAGTACCGACAGCGCGAGCGGCTCTCTGCCCTGGCGACTGACGGTGCATTTTAGTGACTGGCCTGATGAAGAACTCGTCCGGTTGGATGCGGACGGGATGGTCATTAATGATGCTTTTATCAACAGTGTCAAGGAAGCGGATTTCCTGCGCAGTGGCAATGCCAAGGGGATTATGAGTCTTTCTAAAGAAGATTCGTCTGGGTTGTGGAAGGCTGTACAAGATGGTGAGTAATTATCCATCAAGATAAGAAAGAAATCTAATCTGAACAGTGGATCTTCCATCTTTCCAACGCATATCAAACATCCTCCTCCCGCCTCCTTCTCAGCCATTCCGTAATGTACCCATCCGACTATTCCTCCCTCTTTCCCCAGACTCAGACTCCCCTTCTCTAAAGGTGGTACAATCTCCTCTCCCACCATCTATCCCAACCTCAACCATCAACGCAAGCCAAGCGGCCATCTCGCGTGGTAGTCCCAGCACACAATCACAAACGATAGGAACTGCACTCCACACTCTCCTGCCTAACCTCTTCCCCAGTCGGAGGACGCCCGTGCTGGCCAAACCAGTCCTGCATGGAGCTGTGGTGCCCATGTCGGCGCCGATCGAGGAGGTGGTGAGGAGCTCTGCATACGGGGATGGATGGGCGTATATTGTTGTTCGCATGATGGGGTGATGTTGATGATGCTATTGAGGGATTTCCTGTGTATGCAGAGTACTATTGCACAGGTACCGGTATGACGTGTCATACATAGCATGAGATAATAAGACTTGAACATTCAGACAAAATGTCTGCATGCACATACCTATCATCATACAGAATAGTTACGTACACCAGATCAGCAATGCATCTGCAAGTCTTATACATGACTACAGGTAAGATCTAGCCGAGGAATTGCGAAATCCGAATCTACATACGTACATACATACATCCCATGCGTAATGCAGAGTACTTTACCACCCAACTCCACTCCGTATTGAGTTTTCCTTGCTTGAACGTACGTTTTATTGCTGCATTGCAGGTTCTCAGCAGACATTCACCATCCCTGATGAATAGCTTGGATGATCTCATTGCGCATGAACTATTCATCTTTCAGCAATTCTACACGAAGTAAATCAAAATGCGACCGAGCCAGATCGTCTCAGTATCTAGTATGATAAAGGCGAAAGACACGATAATTTGCCAAAAGATCTTTAGAGCACTATTATTTGTAGCGGGATTGAGGATAACTTCTGTCCTCTCTGATCCCCATCCCCGTATGTCAATAATTCACCAAAAGTGCCTTATACCGGCTGGTTATCCAGAGACTGCCTGTTGGACGGCAGCAATACCAGACATTGTCTCCCTGGCATACCATCCCTGCTTTCGACTTGAATCAACGGAAGAAACCAGGCGTTTGAGAGGAGAGGATCTTGTGCAAACGCAACTTGCCGGGAGAGGCGATATGTAAACCATCGCTATCCGGGAGATAATGGCGAAACAGATAGTATGATCACCCAATGCACGATATGGAACCACCTTATTATGCGTAAGAGCTGTGATGTGGAGTTCATGATCGTTAGAAGATCATGATCTGCCAGCTTTCCTGAGGGGACTCTGAATCTCTCTGGCCTTGGACGAGAAAGAGACAGACAGGCAGAAAGACACCGTCGACAATTTCCGTCCATTGGAATTCCTCTTCACCACTTCCTTGTTCTTCTTTTCCTAGATCAAACTCAGGCAGAGGCAGTAGAAGCATCGTTCATTGATACTTCTCAATCAGCGCCGCCAGAAACACCCTTTTGACCTCTTCCATGAGGATATCATGGCTGACTTTGACATTTTCTAGTCCCACGGCACCAGCCAACGCCCAGGAGGAACCCTGCTCGACGCCAAACTTGCGGCTTTGCTTGCCTGTGAGGATATAAAGCGGGTTATGTTGGTCGTAACCCGCCAACCCCGAGGCCAGCAGCGACTTGAGCAACCGATCCATCCAGGTTGCCAAGTCTGGCCGTGTGGACTTGGCCAGTAAATGCGCGAGCTCAGTCGAGGGTCTGGTAGGGTTGCTTTCGTGGCCTTGTGTCTGGATAAAGTATGCTTCAGACAGGTTAAAAACCAGCACAGAGACAGGGATTGTGATATCCTGGACGGCTGCATGGCTACCATCGAGGAACCCATCGCCGGTGAGCGTTTGGCCATTGGCGTCAATTAGGAGTACACTACCTGGAAGTACGCCTTCTTGCAGTGTCCAGCCCAACGCAGCCAGTATTTGTCATTTCGAGCAATCGCCAGAATGGTTTCTGCGTGGTTGAGATACTCTTGGAGAATGGCTGGCTCGTGATTGAGGTGGTGTGCAGTGTCCTCAGTGCTGATTCTTCTTCCCATGAGGTCGAATGCAGCCAGACCATGCTCTTCTTCGCGTTGCCGTGTGCTGTCCTTACATCTGCTTCCCAATCTCGTCTCCCTGGGCTATCTTCAGTTCATCCGTCAACTCCCTCATTCGCCCTCTTCCTCCCTGGAGATCTTCAGCTCCATCTCCACAGTGACAACTCAGCAGTGGGCAGTTCCGGTGGATTCTCTCTCCAGCTCTCTGGAAAGAAAAGTACTTTCTCTTATCAGCATTAGAAAGCTGTCCATATCCACTTCCAGGATGTATTTACTTACTTTGTTACTGTACTGCATGTTATCAATAATACAATAGCTAAATGGAACTATGATATATTATTCAAAGACTTCCCCATATTTATTCTTGTCGATTATCTCAAACTACAAGGCTACCAAAGCCCAATCTATTGTATACTCCAAGTGGGTCCGGTGGGGCATTACTCCACAAAACCGTATTTTATCTTATCGATCGAATAATACGGGGTACAATGAATTGGACAAGGTCTGTGCGGTAGTAGTATGTAGACTGCAATTTATTTTATTGTATTATGTATATTCCAGATTCCATAATAAAGTCCATGCAATCAAAGCCAAAACACGCAAGAGTAAATATAAATAAAGGAGATATCCAACTAAGTACCATGTAGTATGTATGCAATTTGGGTATCAGGGGGTGGCCGTCCTGCGACGAGGTGTCTTGTTCGTTATTGGTCGTTAAAAAGGGAAATCCAGATGCAAATGTCAGGGAATCATGCAAAGACAGAAACAAAAAGAGAAGAGAGAACAAACGAAAGAAACCAAAGAAAATCAAAACCAAAGAAAATGACTAGAGTACAAAAGGAGCCAACTACCTAGATGAAGTTGCCGTTGACTTGCACCTCACCTCCACCTTCTCTGCCTTTCTTGAGGGCCTTGGCAAGCATCAACTCCCGCATCCAGTCAATGCGGTCATCACGAGACTTGACAGCAAAGTGGTGGCTCTTTCCGTCCTTGTTGCTGAAGAATGCCTTCTTCTCATTCTCCTTGGAGGAAGGAATCAGGGAAAAGGCAAAAGCAGCTTCATCTTTGGACAGATTGTTTCCATTACGCAGAATGGACCGCTTGAATGCAGCTGACAGTTTGGAGTTGCTGGCCAGCGACGAGCAGGCAACAGCGTAATCATCGACGTCAATCGATTCCAACGCAAGAGAAGCGCGGTGCGCTTCGAGCTCGTCCTTGTGCATGGCCAGGTTAGTCCCACGCAAAGTAAAATGAGCATCTTGCCAGTCATGGCGGAGAAAGCGCGTTGTCTTTCGCTTCTTCATGTAGCCGCTTCGAGTCACATCGGGATCGGAAGAGAGCGACGAGTTGGAGGAGCTAGGGGCATGGAAGCCGATACGAGGGCTCCGCTTTAGGTCCTCCGGGTTCTCGATCGGTGTGAGAGGTCGGTCCTCGTTAACGCGGCGCAAAGGCGTACCAGCTCCGGGGCGAGTGGAAGCACTCCGCATGATAGGATCCTGGCGCTGCGGGTGAAGGAAGTTCCCAAAGCGCATATCAGGGGGGACAGATTGCGAAGTCTCCCGAGCGACGGGGCCATTGGGGATGGCGGTGAGGGGAACATCCATCTCGGAAAAGGGAGTACCTTGGCGATAGTAATCGCCGGGGCTCGCGTATCTTCCGGTGAATGGGCCATACTCCTGCACTGCTGTGGGGGAACCGTAAATCCGGTTGGCCATGCCTGGGGTAATGGTCCGCTGAGCCGTAGCAGTAGCGGTGGTGAGCTCATCGGAGTCAGAATCCGTTGGGATCTGCAGTTTGGGAAGGTTGCGAAGATTGGCAGCCATGTTCGTACTAGGCTCGGGAGCAGGAGGAGAGAAAGTCTGTACGGGCTCGGTCTCTTCCTCAGAAGAGGAAGGAGCATCGTCCACGTGCTGGTAGCTGAGGAACTGTCGCACAGTTTCCTGGGGGTCCAGCTTCTGCACTTCATTCAGCATCTCTGGGCACAGCCTGGGTGTTTCCTGGGCTGGTCCAAAGACATCCGACGAGGCGACCACCGAAGGCTGAGCATCGGACTTGGGTCGCAGCAAGTTCTTTGCCGTGTCCGGGTTCCCGGGGTTTCCGGCGAGCATAGCACCGCCAGGCAGGAAAACGGCGTCTGGGTATTCTGCACGGAGCTTTTCCAGCTGACGCTGTCTCCTTCTGTACTTGGAGCAGTTCTCACCCTTGGAGCAGCTGTGGGGCTTGGGCAGGAGCTGCTCAATTCCCACGATCGAGACCGACTCAGCAGGAGTGATCTGGTTGCCAGCCGGTGCAGGAAGATTGTGGGAGAGGACTTCCCCATTTGGAGAGACAGACACTGTGTAGGATCGTCTTTTGGGCGAAGAAGTGGCACGTCGAGATTCAGGTCGAGTCTTGAGCATGGTGCTGCGCAGATGGTTGATGGAGCCCATGATCTGGTAACGCTTTCCGAAAGAGTGAATGCTGAGTTCCTTGAGGTCATCGATTTGGAGGTTGAGGAGAACCGATCCACTGATATCGTTGATAAGGAACTTCTCAATCACGGAGTCGTCATAGCCCGCAATGTGCATCCAGTGTGCGACCTGACCCGGCGCCCAGTTTCGGATCTCAGCCTCTTCCACCTGGGAAACATCTGGGTGCATGGCCTCGGGAGTGTATGCAGGGAACATGGATGGGTTCGGAGCACTGGAGCTCTCAGTTGTAGAGTGAGAGAACTGGCTGTTGGCCGCGGACAGGGGGAGTGGGGGAGTCTCAATTTCGGGCTGGGAGAAGTGGGTTGCAGCTGCAGAGTTAGGAAGGGGGGTCCCGACAGACGACTGGGAGAAGTGGGTTGCAGCTGCAGAGTTGGGGAGAAGAGTCCCGACGGATGAGTGAGAGAAGTGAGTTGCAGCTGCAGAGCTAGGGACGGACCCAATAGACGATTGAGGGAAGTTGGTACTCGCAGCTGAGTTAGGAAGAGTTCCAGCAGATTGGGAAAAGTTGGTAGTCGCAGCCGAGTTGGGCATAGTTCCAACCGACGATTGAGAGAAGTTGGTTGTAGCAGCCGATTGAGGGAACTGGGAAGTTGCAATGGTGGAGTGGGAGAACTGGGTCGCCGCGGCAGAGTTGGGGAACTGAGAAGACACGGGCGATCTCTCAAAGTAGAGGTCAATTTCCGTCGATGTCGACGAGGCGACCGATGAACGGAAGAGATGAGGCCCCGATGGACCCCGGACCAACTTGTCGTCACGGAATGTAAAAGGCTGTCTGGGAGCATTGTCTGGAGTTGGTGGGTCAGGTGTAGAAAGAGTAGAATTGCTGTCATAGCCGAACTAAAGCAAGACGTATGTCAGTGAGATGACAGACAAGATATAGATTAAGCATGTACACATACCGAGTCCAGACTCATCCGGGGCGATTCATTCTCCGAGTCACTGTCTTCGATGTCTGTGTCGAAGAAATCCGTGGTGCTCGATACCGGTCTTTGCACCAAGGTCATGGCAGGGAAGAATTTATCGGTGTTTTTCATATTAAGCGATGCAGGCACAGCCTTGCGTCGGTTGCGTAGAGAGTCCTATATGGAGTTAGACGAAGCCAAACCAAGCAAGGCCAAACAAACTTACCATGATGAAATATGAAGATATGAAAAATAAAATAAAAAAAACGTCTGGTCAAGAACCAAGTCCCCAAAGGGAGTTTTCAAGTCGATCAGATGCAGTCAATGGCAACAGTAGCTGTCGTCCAGAGCCCAGCGTATATCCGGCAAGACAGCAGAGAACTAAATGGGGTATCAAACCGACCAAATAAACACAGAGAGAGATAGGAGAGGACAGGAAAAAGAAAGAGAGACCATGAAAATGAGTGGGGGGGAAGGGGGGTTGAAGGCTGGGGAGGTGCAAGTTATAAGTTATACCGGGCGTGATGGCGCTGGGCGGGGGTGTGTGAGCAGAGCCAACAGCATGAAACGACTTCGCGCCCAGCGGCATCGCAGCGACTAAAAAACTGCAGGATCCAGCGAATCACAGCCCAGGGCAGAGCGAAAAAGGGATTCTCGTGATATGCAGAGATGGTGAAACACAGCGATAGCCTCTGGATGGAAGGACCCGGCGAACATCAGCGCGAAAGGGCAGCAATGGGCTGGAGACCGGCCAGGATTAGAGGTGACGGCGGAGTGATCATCGTGCAGTAGTTCAGCGCCGAGATTTTGAGGCCGAGGAACATGCCATGGCAACGGGCCAATGGAGGAGGGCGAGGAGGATATTCGGCCAGGCGAAAGCAGGGCAACAGGAGCCATCGTGGGATGTGACAGGTGGAGAGAAGAGGCCGTTGTGATTTCTCTAAGCGCCGGGCTCGGAGACAATGGGCTGTGGCCGCTGTGAGTGGCTGCATGGCCTTTTTTTTGCTCTGTTAGTCTCTGGAGGAATGGCCAGGATGGTCCACTGCGTGAGGGGATTGGCGATTCCCCCATCGGGTGATTTAACGGAGAGTTGAAACTGTGAAGCTGGTGATGTCGTATCCGGATTCCATACTCTGCTGTCTTTGCCCATCACCATCACCATCACAGCCCAAATATCAGCACAATCTCAGGCAAAAGTAACCCATTAATTAACGTCAATTCCCAGTCTGAAACACCTTCTTATCTCCCATTTCTCGTACATCATAATGATAATTCCCTGTCCCAACGCAACCCCCCGGCTTGGTGCAATGTGCCCAATGCTTCGCAGTCACAAACCTACAGGAAAAACGACGTCAGTCCCAGCATCGAACCGATTCCACCTCCCTGTTTGAGCCAGTAGAGAAATCATCCTGGCCCTGTCTTTCTTACCGACTCGTATCCATCCAATCTGATATAAACCCCCTTCACCGACTATCGTTCCTTGTCAGAACTCGGTGCCAACAGCCCTATCAACACTGCCATGCGATGATTCTGTGGACAGACCATGTGCAATTTCCTCCCCACACTGAATAAATACTGGTCCAAGTCTCTGCAGAATTACCGAAAGAAAAAAAGAAAAAAACTCTGTCGAATATCGAGTAGAAAGGTCGAGCTTAACACCAGCCCTGTCACTCAATTGAGTCCCCTCTTTTATGCATGCCCAAGCGAGTCTCCCTCTGCAACAATAAGGCACCTCTTTATTTACCCGGGCCAGTTAAAAACAATAACCGCTTTGTTGCTGCTGTCTTAGAAGTGGTTGGGCAGCAGGTCCAAGGTGCGTAATTGATCAATCTACTCCATACGGTTGGCTCTATCGAATCACAATTTCAAGATAACCTGGTATTGTTTCATTCATCGACATCATGTATATCCCAGAAACCCGAGTCACAATATCAACAGATAAAGGAAAAACACATAAAAAGATTGCTTTATCGACACAGAAAACATATTTTTTATGCAGTAAAGAAAGGACCCAAAACCATGACTGTCCATCCATGAAAAATCATCCAAAAGCAGAAACAAAGAATATCCCACCATTCACAAGACAAAAAAGAAAACTCGATATATACAGGCATATATCCAGTGAGAAAGATAAATCAAATAAATATTAAGTAATAAGAAGTGAATAAGTCCGTGGTATCATGCTGCACAGCCATGGGAACAAAGTGGTATCATACAAACGAGTCAAAAAGCGAGATAACCAGATATATAAATCAAGGCGAAAAAGGAGTCGGTAGAAGGTACGAGTCATATATCCAAAACGCGTTTGGAATGTCATTTATTCTTCAGTCAATGCATCATCGCCGGTTTCGCGCCAGTCCTTGGATCGCTCAGTCAAGTTGCGGACTCCCGACACTCGCTGAGCCCAGTGAGCTTCGGACGGCGTCCGGAAAGTGTAGGCGCGTTGCGAGGAGATCACTCCGATGCCCTGCAGCACGGCCTTGCGCGAGTCGCGCCCAAATACGGCGGGATGGTTGATCCACTCCAATGCAGACTGGAGGTCTGCATCGAGAGCGACCATGGTCGTCGAATCCACCGCCGCGACAGGAGTGATGGTTGCCGTGTCGGACGCAGCGGAGGAGTGGCTGTCGGGGAAGTTGGCAGACTTGGGCGACGAGGAGGTGGGAGTGTCTCCTCGGCTGCCGGAATCACTGCCGCCCGACGGTTTGGGGGCATTCGGCGGCAAAGGTGGGAGGCCGCCTTTGCCCAGACCCTTGAGGATACTGCGAGTTTCGCCCAAGAGGTGCTGGGCACGATCATGCTGTCCGCGAGACACCAGAGTCAAAGCTCTGGTCAGCATGTCCGATGTGAGCAGCTCCATGCGTCTCTGCACAATGGAGGGGTGAGGAGGAATAGGGGGTGTGGAGGGTCGTCCACCCTTGGCCCGGGGGTTGGGCGGAAGCATCGTGATCGCGAGAAGCGAGGGTCGTGGGGAATGGGTCAGGTGGCCGTCCCGGAGAAGATCTCCGTAGGTGAGATCCGCTTGAATCAGTGGAACTTCTTCAACGCTGGACACACGCGGTTCGTCGCCGTCAATTCCACCGCCAAGGGCTTCCAAACCGGAGACAAGGCTCTCCCAGGGATCCTGGGGCATGTTCTCCTGGGTTGAGTTGTCAGGCTGAATGACCAGCTGGACCAACACATCGCGCTTATCTCCGAATCTCAGGTCACCGAGAGCGGCTTCCGCATCCCTTCCAGTGGCACGCTTGGTCGTGTGAAGAGCACCACTGATCTTGACGAACTTGGCCGGAGATCCTTCAGGCAGTCGGAGCTTGAGCTTGACATTTTGGTGCGAAGTCGTCTGCAGAGCACCCAAGCAACCAGCCACACATTCCCGAAGCATCATCCAATCCTTGACGTAAAGGTAGGATCCCTTGGTACGAGTCGAAAGCTCAATCATAGTGTCCGGTTTGTGTGTCAAACCAAGACCAAAGGAGTGAATGCTAACCCTGCAGCACAGTCAGTACATATTATCTAAATATAACAAGGGGGATACGAACTTGGCAGCTTCAGCCCGGGACACGACAAAGTCGACGCTCTCCGGGTCCGAGGTGGAGGAGTCGCTGATCAAAAGGATAGTAGAGATGGGGTTGTTGGATTTTCGCTGCATCAAAAGGTCCATAGCAACGTTTGCACCTTCCACGACATCGGCGCGCAGGCTCTTCTGTCCAACAGGTCTGATCGAGCTCAGGATCTTGTTCCATCCGTTCCACGACTTGGTAGTCATTCCCACAAGGGGAACCCCGCCTCCACTGGAGCCAAAAGTGACCAGGCCCATGCGGTCTCGCGGGCCCAGGTTCTGGACGAGGAACTTCAGAGCGTCGCGGAGAAGGGTGATCTTCAAGCCTTGCATCGACGAAGAGACGGGGATCACGACCACAATGTCGAGAGGGATGTGGATTGTGGATGCAGTCAAGCTTTCGGGGCCGGCGTTTGTGTAGTCTGTGATGGCAGTGTTGTTCGATCTTGCGGCTCCGTAAGATGAGTTCAGAGACGCCTGTCGCTTAACCATGCTCGTCCGGTAATCATCCTCCTCCGCGCCCGAGTTGTCCACGTCGTAGTCAGCATTTCGGGAGATGTTGTCAACGGGGTGGAGATCGATGAGAGCACGTCGCCAGTGCTCCAACTGGCTCCGGTTCTGGAATCGTAGAAAGAAGCAAGGAAGTTCGCTGACGGATAGGTTCAGAGCGAGGATAGGTTCATCTATTCACGTCAATAATGGAACAGGAATTCCAAATACGATAATTGCTTACCTGGAGTGCCCTCGATGGCCTTCAAGTGCTTCTTGATCAGAATAGAACCCTTGAGTGTGTACCGGGTGGGCTTGCGCTTGGTCTCATCGTAGTGGTCGTGGTGACGGTCGCTGTTCTTCTTCTCCTTGACGCAGATAAGCATCTCCGCGAATAGGTAACATTCCAACTCCTGCCACGACTCGCGATCCTTGCCCACGCGCATTTGTCCATGGAGACGGAGCTTTCCGAATCTACAGAATAATTAGCAAAACGACGAATTTATTCTCGGGGGTCGCCGCCTACCGATTGAACTCCAGGCCATGCCAATTGTCCACCTTGTTCCTCAGCTCTTCTGCAATCTCATCCAGGTTCTCCTGGGGCTCGTACTGGAAGGATTGAGACGACTCGCGCAGGGTAGGCTGGCGCATCACACCGTAAGGTTCCTCCTGAGGATGCGATGGGCCGGTGGGGGCATGTCGCAAATCGTCCGAATCCGGACGCCAGTTGCCTTCCGGTACTTCGACCGTAATCAAGCAAGTCAACGTTTGCTGCTGACGAGATCGATTGAGAGTAGGGAATTCGCTTCGGATGGTTACTGTCGGGGCGGGAATTGGGTTTTTCATGGAACCGGGCCGGGGGCTCAGATCCGACTCCATGGCTTGCACATCGTAGTCGTGTCGCCTGCCGTTGCTCTGCTGCTGGGCATCGTTGTATTCACCCGATGACCCAGCGGCACTCCCATTTCGAGAATGGTGTTGACGAGAGCCGGTAGTTAACCGGTCAACACGTTCACGTTCACGCTGACTGATACCTGTGTCTCGGCTGTCACGTCGGGCGTAAGGGTCCCGACTGTCGCGGGTGGTGTACGGCCGGCTTCCCGCATCGCTAGGCGCTCGACGACCGGTGTTTGTGGTATGCTGGTCCCAGGGGGTGGGGGTGGTCAAACCACTCCTTGCCGTTGCAGCATCGCTGGTAACAGAGCGCACAATGTTGCTAAGTTTTTCTACCAAAGAAAAATTAGTTATTAATTCTATTTTCATGGAGAACAGGGGTATGATATTTACCGTCAAACTTACCGATATCCAAAACGTTGCCTCCGCGGCTGGTGTCAAGGCCTAGAGGCGCATCGCAGGTAGGGCAATATTGGCCCTCAAATTCTCTAATGTATTCGTAGAAACAAGCTTCGTGCGACACGTGGGCACAGGAGAATTGCAAGACACGTTCTCCACGCAGGGTATGTTCCAATGGCTCCTCGCAAACAGCACACTCGGCGCCAACAAAAGTCCTTTCCCTCCGCGTCCTTGTACGGTCGACATCCATCAAGCCCGCCATTGTCCTGCCAGATCGAGAATTGAAGGAAGCTCGTGAGGGGTTATTGGAGAGAGAGGAAGGTTGCCGGCCAGAGGCAAGATGTTCGGGGAGACGAGAATTGCCGCTAACGGTAGAAGGGGCGTGAGACTGCGAAGCGTCCGTCTGATGGGAGAGGCTACTGCCAGGACGTTCTGAACGGGAAAAGGAACGAAGAGAGCCAAAGGTCGAACGAGAGGGAGAGTCAGGACGAGAGAATTCTGCAGGACGAAGGAAAGGTAAGTCGAGGTTAGCTAAGGAGGCCCAGAACCAGGATGGACGGCATTAAGCATTAAATGACACGACGGGGCAAAATAGTGAGGTAGTATTGCATAGCAAGAAGGTTTGATGTACACACAAGCTTACTCCAAGGAATGACAGAAATCCAAGAATGACTGATGAAGAGGGGAAGGAAAAGAATGAAGAGTGAAGAAGAGTGAAGAAGTGAAGTGAGGAAGAGAGAAAGAAAGTGTAGAGGAATAATTTTAGTCGACCTAGGAAGATAGTACTATGTACTTACGAAGCGGAGACTTCTTTCTGGAGCGGCCAAAGAAGCCACGCTCGGGCAGGTGAAGAAAGCCGGAATCGCTGCTATTGTTGCTATGATGATAATTCCCAGACTTGGAATCCGATCTGGGAGAAGACCGGTGTTTCCACATGGGTCAGTGTTCCTATCACGAATGGACAGGAGACTGAATAAGATGGACAGAGACGGTCAAAAAGAGGGGGGATAAATTTTAGGGAGAGTCAAGTGGGGGTAGGCAATAATTAGAAGCAAAGCCCTTTCCGGATCTAGAATTG